TATTAAAGGGGATTAATAACCTTATAACAAAAAAGATACTTATGCAGCTACTTTAGCTGCTAGAAGCTTTAGAGTTATTTTAGCTATTTTAGCTAAATTTAACTTAGAAGCTATACAGCTAGATACTATAAATACTTTTATAAACAGCCTTTTAGACAAAATAGTTGAACCTAGAGGACTTAAAATAGTTCCTAGGCATATAAATTATAAGGGACTAAGCTAACAAAAAGCTCTAGTTATCTTAAGACTTTAATATTAACAAAATTGCAGTAAAATTCCTAAATTCTAAGGATTTAACTAATTTAAGGGATATTTCCTACTATAAAAACCCTATTATTAATAAGAACCTTAAGCTTAATATAAGCCTAGCAAAAGCTAATAATATATATTAATTTTAAAGCCTAATTAGCTCTATAAACTACACTAGTGTTTAGACTAGGCTGAATATAGCTATAGCTTGCTCTAAGCTAGCAGAATACTTATTTAACTTAAGCAAAATATATATAGAATTAGCTATAAAGGTTATAAAGTATTTATATAATACTAAAAACCTAGCTATTTAAATTAATAGAAATTTAATAGTAGAGCTATTTATATTAGTAAATATAGCTTATACTAATAATAAAGGCTCTAGAAAATTAATATAAAGCCTTTTAATTTAACTATTTAAAGCCTCTATTATTTAGTTAGCAACTAAATAAGCTACTATAACAACTTCTTTTATAGAGGCTAAATTACTAGCTATTTTAGCTATTGCAAAAGAAACTATAGCCTTTTTAAGGCTTATATCTTAACTAGGCCTAAAATTAAAAGCTAAAAAACCTACTATATACTGCAATAACCTTTAAACTATAAGGCTAGTTACTCTAGACCTTTCTAGAGTTAAAATAGCTCTAAGGCATATTAATATATATAATGCCTAGATAAGGCAGGCTTATAAAGAAGGAAAATTCAATATAAAATACTTAAAAACCTTAGAAATGCCTACTAATAGCCTTATAAAACTCCTTATAAAGTAAAAATTCTATAATTTTAGACAACAGCTAGGCCTATTTAATATTAAAGGCCTTATTTTAGCTGAAGAAGCTATTAAAAATTCAATAAATTAGCTATATTAGCTATATCTATCTTTATCTATTTTTTATCTATTTATCTATTTATTATCTATCTTTATTACCTATTATCTATTTATTATAACTTACCTAGCTATATTTAATATATAGCTAAGGGGGTATATTAGCAGTAGATACTGCCTACTATAAAAAACAACCTATAAAAACAAGGGAAACAACTGCAATATATAAATTGCCTATAAGGAATGTTTATATATATTTTATATACATACAAGGATTTAATATACTTTATGCCTACATTTCTTTGCATATATAATTAAGGTTAAAAGAGGAATACTAGCTAGAATTTAACAAAAAGACTAATAAGCTATAAAGGCTAATCTACTTTATAGTAGAAAAGCAGCTATAAAAGTTATTTTTAGCTTCTAAAGTTATTTTAAGCTACTATCTATACTTAATTTAGCAGCTCTACTATAGAATTTACCTATAAATAACTCTCCTTCCCTCTAACTAAATAGAGAGGAAATTAAGTCTTTACAACTATACTCTTTAATATATACTATTATATATAATTTTATACTATATCTAAAGTTACTTCTATTATACCTTAAGAATCTCTATTATCTTATGCTTAGTAATTAACTAGATTACATAAGCTCTATCTATTATATCTATTATATTATAAAGAGTCCCTTAATTAGCCGACAATATGTATAGATAACTAGATTAAGAACAAGCTTGTGCTGTAACCTATATAGTGCTAGATTAAGCAAGCTAGAGCAGCTTGTTTAATACGTACTCTTTTAGCTTAATAGCTAAGAGCTCTAGTATTACTAGAATAACTACAGCTAGCACTTACTATAGCTTAATAGAGCTAGTCTATTATATTTAAACAAGCTTTCTAGAGTTGCAGGTTTAAGCTGCACAAAAAGAGAGAGTGCAAGAGATACTCAACCTAGGCTCACAAGAGCTACTGCCACCCTTAGGGGGTGCAAAGTATAGAGGGCACAGAAGGGGGCTATATTATAGTCTAAGCTATACTTAACCTTAAAGATGCAATATAATAAATACAATAGGCACTATATATATAGATAACTAGATTAGAGACAAGCCTATACTGTAACTTATATAGTGCTAGATTAAGCAAGCTAGAGCAGCTTATTTAATATATACTCTTTTAGCTTAATAGCTAAGAGCTCTAGTATTACTAAGATAACTGCAGCTAGCACTTGCTATAGCTTAATAGAGCTAGTTTATTACACTTTACTTTAGCTTAAGTACTTAATAGTATTACTTTCTTTTTTTTACTTATTATATATATATAAGTTTAATATATATTTAAAAAGTATTTAATAAAGTATTAATATAGTACTTTATACCTACTTAAGCCTATAGCTTAAGTCTATTATAAGTAGATATACTAGTTATATAGCTATATAGCTATCTAGAGTAATTAATATATAATATTATTTATTATAAAATACCTTACTAGCCTGCTCTAGTGTCTAGTACTACCTTTAGTAGTTAGAGTTTTGCTAGCTAAACTATAAAGTAGAGCGGGCACAATAAATACTTAAGCTTTGCATTATAATTCTTGTCCTTAAATAATATTTATTAACGTACTAGCAAACTAGGCAACCTTATTGTTGCAAGCTACTTATTTTGCCTAGTTCCCAGTTTACATCCGCTAAAAACTCCCTGCAGTTTAAAGGCGTAATGTAACTATACCAATATCTATCTCCATCATGCGGAGCTTGGGGGCTTTTCTCATTGCAAGCTAAGATGGTATTCTCGCTCTGTAATTCTCGTCGCTGCCTCTTACAACTACGCTTCTCTGTTTGGTCTGAGATATACAGCATGTCCTGCATTTCTTGGCGTGAGCTGAGCTCGTCTCGAAACAGACTAAAGGCAGATGAGTCGTGTGCTTTTGATGGCGTTATGTCGGGTACGAAATTAATAGCATCATCGGCAGGCTCAGCGTATTCTTTCCGTGCTCGCTTGGAAGGGTCTCCTGGGGGGTTATGAGGGGAACCATTGCCTCCACTCGAAAAGCTGGGGATGATCGGCGTACGACCTCTAGTCTCCCACGGGGAGGTGGCCCCTGAGACCGTCGATGCCGGGAGATTCTGAGACGCAAAAGGTTTCCACAAAAGCATCTCGGCAGCTATATTTTCAATGCAGCACATCTCGTAGTGATGACGCAAGGCTTTGCGATCAACAATCGAAGACAATTGGGCGACAGTATCATGATAGTCCAAGAGGACGTCGTACGGCATAAAGACACGAATTCGATGCGTTTCAGGATGAATAGAGAAAAGCCTGCAGTTAAAGGCCTCGTGGAGATGACTCAATAATAGAATGCCATTTTTCGACGACCAAGTACGATTCCAAGACTCACGCAGCCGCCGTGGACTGTATCTGCTGTCGCCGAAAGAGCTCGGAACTGGGTAGACGTGATAATGCTGCTGGGGCACAATATGGCATGCTTGCACAGCTGGGCCGACACTTGGCTTCATATACCACGATCGCCCTTTGCCTGTCACTGCGCATCTTGTACCTGCGCGGAGGCATGAATCGCGAAACCCCGCCATAATTTGCCGCGCTTGCTCGAAGGGAATGTCGAATGTAGGCTGAGCGACCATGTTCGTGATATCTTCAGCTTCCGCTTCCTCGATATTAGACCCGACATGTTTCGCTGGCGATACGGAGCCAGACGCAGAGCGTTTCGACGGGCTCTGGGACCCTCGAGATGGACGTATTGCTTTTCGATATAGAAACTGAGCGAAGCGAGGGTCACTAGATGCCTTGCTTGGGGGTAAATATCGTTCATCGTGACGGAGGCTAGGGAAAGGTATATGCTTAGCGCATCCGGCTGGACAAGATACCTATTAGCCATGAAAGTGCTACCGCTGAAACATGAGAACTTGCGTACAACGCAAATGAGCCGTGAGCGGCTCAGTATTTCCAATACCGCACTCTACATGTCGTACGGCATGCAACCGAGCTATAGGTAGTTGTGCAAGATCTGACAATAGACTCTCTTGCGGTGTGGAGACGGGTTCATCCAGGCATGAACCTGAGATCAGTCGGGGAGAAGAAATCGATGTAGGGGCATCGTCACTAAGTGGCTGCGAGTTGACACCAACAGAATCTCCGTATCCAAAAGCAATATTCGCCCAAGATTCGGCGCTCTCGTCGAGATCTGCCCTGGGGTCGATCGGGATATGGAAACAAAGGCGCAATTCGTTCACGATGTCGCGATAGGTCAGGCTGGTGCTGCCCGGCGGGTGGAACAGGCCTGCGAATCGGTCGCCTTCTGGGCCACAGAGAAGATGGACATTCCATCCAAGGGCGCGAGAATCGGGTGCTATCGCTTCACTAAACATGTTGTAGAGCTGCACGACAGAAGATCCTAACGTTACCTAGTAAACATGATGCTTCTTTTCAGTTGTTGACAGCAACCTCTCTGATGGAGCACAATTTTTTTGGCGTGGTGGACTCGGCAGCCCGATCATGTGGTGCAAAACCGTTGTCGAGGCAACGCCGCGCCCACCCCAGGTTCTAGCGGGTCGTGCTATTTGTGCGGCAGCATCGACACAATGCTATTATGCCTCCCTTGGAAGGGCCGCCGGTCATGTTGCGTCGTTGGAGATGCTTGAAGCCGATTGGAAGAAGCGTCCTGTCATCAAACATGACTTTGTCATGTGTCTCGAGGGAACGGGTAGGCAAGTAGCACTGGCGGGCGAGTACGAGGCAGCAAATTTACTCCTGAACTCGTGATACTTGTGCCCAGCACAGCCTGGAAGTAGATGGGAAGAAAGTAAACCAGGTTGTACATTAGCATGGAGTGTAGTGAGGTGATGGCAAAGCCACAGACGGATGTACGGTACGATAAGAACTTGGAAGGCATTGCCGGTTCCAGAATCATTATTGTCGATCAGCGGTAGCAAGCCCGCCCAGGCCGGCAAGGCCAAGTATGAGCGGCACCATAGTCCTCCACGACGACCATAGGTACTTGACACCGCCCCATGTAAGAGCAACAAGCACACTGGCCACAGAAGCCACCAGAAGAGCGTTGCCGCCAAGGTCGACGCGTTTTAAGGAGTTGCGAGCGCTGTCCTTAACATACTTGACCGTCAAGCACAGTGCCAGCATGACCCAGGCGACGGCAGCAATGGGCAGCTTCATGTAGAAGATCCATCTCCAAGAAGCCCTCTCGGCCATGAGGCCGCCAATAACAGGCCCAAGGACCACGGGGATAGTAGTGAAGATGAAGATGATGCCCATGTATTTCGGACGCTTCCGAAGAGGCACCAGATCGGCCACGGTGATGTTGACGAGGACATTTATACCGCCACCGCCGGTTCCTTGGATGGCGCGCCCCGCCACCAATGCGCCCAAGTTGGGTGATGCTTATCAAGTTCCTAGAGGAAGCGATATTCATTACAATGACGCACATATAAATGATCACCAGGAGCATAAGGTTGTGGCATAAAGCGCTTATACTGATTGACTCGCGACATGAATGTTGCTAGCAATTGGTATATGAGCGCCATGTACCGAGCGATTGGATCAGGATCAGGAACCTGGCGCGCACACTCATGCTAACACAGGCAGGCGGTTCTCGGGTATAAATAGGTGATGAGCGAGCGTATAGTAGATAGCAAGTCTAGCAGCTTGTTTTATTCTGTACCTAGATACTACACACACACACTCACATGAGCCCACCTTCGGAACTTCCACCTTAGAACTAGCAAGTGACAGTGATGAGAACAGGTCATGACTACTAATAGTTACCTTCCCAGCATAACGTTGCCATACCGTCTCTTTACACCGTAAGCCACACGTTGCCGCCCTGGGACACGCTGCCATACCGAGGCACACGATAATCAACAGAACTACAACTTCGGCAAAGGCTTGTCGCTTATGTGTTCTCTTGTAGCCAGTCGTCGCACCACAGCTCATTAGCAGTACTTCGTTGTTCCGGAGCCCACTGGAGCATCTTCCGCATGAATTCCAGGAATTGTCTTCTTTCGTCCCCAGAAAGAAGCGCCTCCAGCTCTTCTAGCGGTGTTGGGGGCGGTAGTTGAATTCCTCCAATATATGTGCCTAATAGGTTGAACTTGTTAGACGAAACCAAGACATGATGGATATATTGCGTATAGGGACTGCTTACCTTGATCCGAAAAGAATTTATTAGTGAGCTGGCCCCGTGAAAGGAGATCCTTTGGCGGAAGCCCTAATACCCCAATAATTTCTGCGAGATGGGCCCTCCTACGATACTCGAGATGTTCCCGGTCGATGGCATGGAATAATAAGTCACCCTCAAACAGATTCCAGGCCTGCATTTTTGGGTTAGAATAAGTAAAAAGAACCCATCCTAGGCGGCGGGCGACTTACCATACACCCGACATTCCAGATGTCAATCTTGTGATCCCAATGGCATTTTAGAATCACCTCAGGTGCCCGGTAGACGTGGGGCTGTACACAGGCGATGTTCTCGCGGTCTGCAAATACTGCAGCACCAAAGTCGCATAGAACTGGCGGGCCAATCCTGCCCGTGGATTTAAACGCCCGAGATGTATAGATAGTCCTCCCTTTCAACTCCTTGCGAGGGCAGGGAGCCTGTAGTTCTTGCCCCGCAAAGTCGGTTAAGATGGAGGGATCAGTGATGCAAAACATAATATTATCAGCCTTAATATCTGTTTTGAATAGTCAGTCTCTTGCGATACTATTATATAAAGGACGTGGGGTCCCGCACCGGTATGAATTATTTGACACTCGACGTGCAAATAATCAAGGGCAAGGAATATGTCTTTCAGAATATAGCGTAGGCCCGAGGGGGGGAGCCTTCGGGGGGAACTGCGACGGATGCCTACCTCGAGGCTGTCACCTAGCGGTGGATGGGCGAGGACTAAGTGTTCTCCATCTGGCCCGTTTACTTGAAAAGAGTCTAGTAAGGTTCTAATAGCGTTCCGACCTGCATGAGAAGATGGGAACTGCTCTATGCGCTTATATATAGATATTTCATTTTTAATACTATCACCAAGCGACTGGGAGCGTATAAAGACTTTGAGGGCGACATAGTCGTCCTGGCTATTATCTTATGTAAGAATTAATTTAGATAGACTCTATAAGCATCGTAACTGAAATACCTTAGATCGTGTGCTAGCCAGACTGTCGAGGTAGCGCCAAAGCCAAGCTTTCCAACTACTTGGTACCGGTCGGCAAATACTTCGCCAATCTGCACGGGGTAGTAACGCGCTGGGAGATAGTCTGGCAAAGTTTCCTCCTCTACTTTCTGTTCGGGTGGGATTCTAATGAAGTTAGGGTTGGAATATACACGGGGTCGCAATGGCGCCCTGCGACAAATTCGAGACAACGCTTTTGAAATGAAAGACATGTTCGGTGAGAGCGTTGGTTAGAGCGGCTTGGAGGAGGCTGAGGTCAAGAAATTAACTACGATTTGGAATCTTACACTAGTCACGTGACTTCAGCGGCTGCCTCGTGGCAGGATCTTGAGACCGGAGGGGCACCCCTACATATTGGTCCAGTAATTTCTCAACTGGAACACTAATACTCCGTAGACATAGCGAACTTTCGTCAGAAATAGTGGGCATCCTTTGACCACTGTCGACCTTCCGGGTCTTGTGATCCCTATGATTTATGATAGGAATTGCCTCAATCTTCACTAATGACTGACGCACAGTCCCCTGACCGTGATAGACCCGAAGTTGCTCTGTCGGCGTGGCCCATCTCTCGGATCAAATGGTCAATCACGCATGCAACTGGAGAGGAGGCAAGCCGCGGTGCTAGTCACGCTATGCCGTGCGGGCCTCTTAGCGCTAAGCTTGATTTGGCACCTTGGGCGCTTAATTCTGGTAGATCCGCTGCACTAATGCAGGAGTCGTTTGAGTGGGCGAGCAATAACCTTGGCCGTGCCAAGCTATAGCCACGGTGAATATTAATAGCGTCTCTACAACTCACCAATAAACGTGGTGCATTACCACTTACAGCGCTTCTTGAAACTTAGCTACGCGGCCTTTGTTTTATCGGGGACGCGCTGTCACATCACGCGTCAGCGAGATTCGTCCTCGATGTTGAGGAGTCAGGACCATGGTCATGTCGGTGTAAATTTCGCCTTGGAGCTTTGTACATACTATGTAGACCCTCTACCTGAAGCACATGAGAGGATTCTTAGAGAATAAGTATCATTAATACTAGCTCTTCTTTTCGATTTCAAAGTAGCGACATAATTAACTTACCCCGACTACATTACAAACCGCGATATATCTCTGTATATCTCTCCTTCTTTAGTCTCTAGAGCGCTCATTGGGTTTCTCGTTTTTCTCTTAACTTGAAATGTCTCGTTTCTTTTCTTCCTCGGCCGCGAATGCCAAGGCTGCTTTCAAAAGACTTCTAGGATATCCTCTTGAGAAGCTCGAACCACGGTGGAAGTTGGCTGTGGAGACTTACAAGAAAAAAGGAGGTCCTCGCGTTAGTTAAGTCAAGCAATATCTAATTTATTGTTCTTTCAAGCAAGTAAAGTGACGAACCTAGGAAAAATAAACAGAAAACTAGTCAGAATGTAGCTGATATTATAGTCTAGTAAGTTTGCAGCTCCACTATTATCTTTATATATTATACTAATACGCTACTCTCTGTTAGCTACCCGGCAGACGGCTCCAGTCCAGTCCATACCTCCCGATATAACCCGAGCGATACGAGACCGATACTCAGTGTTAAGCTTAAGTTGGCGGATGGCAGCTTTGCTCCGGACACCCATCATATCTTCAACGACGGTACGGGCACGGCTAAGAAGGATGATGATCCTGAGTAATCCAGGAAGGCGGTGGAAGAATGCTTGAGCTTTTCGGCGTTTCTATTTACATATAAGGAGAATTGATATTGTACTATATTGCCCCCTCTAACTTGTAAAAGCAGGAAGCTTGTAGCACACCAAGTTTAGACACTAAATACAAACCGATTGTAGTGCTAAACGCTCAAGTCCTAAAGGTGCAGCAATTGTAGTTTTACAGGGACGGCCCGTAGCACTACTGTTAATTTCGTCCGATTCGAAACTATCTAATAGCTGCAGTAGCGACTACTTTTTAAACTGCCTTTCTTCTATCCAATAATCGACTTCAGGTCTCTGAGGATCCAAGATCAATTTGGGGATCGAGGACCCAAGAGGTCTCTATACAAGAAGTGGTCAGGGGTAGAAGCCTCAGGCAGTCAGGGTCCTCGTGACCGTTGACGTTTTGTGTAACCGTGATGCTAGCCTAACCTACTTTATGTTAGCGTTATTAGCTTGTGTTACAGCTAGATGATCTTTACCGTGTAATATCCGCTTACTGTACCCTAGCATTGCTATTTTCTTTACTCTGTATTAAAAGTAACTTAAGTACTCTATATATGCTACGTAGATTTTAAACTTCTATTACTCTATTATGCTATGTGTTAATACACTTAGCACGTATAAAGAGGGTTCCCCAAGAAAGAGAAGGGGAATTAAAAGAGGCAATGCATACTTATCTTGCCGCCGTAAGAAAGTCAAATGTAGGATGCATAACACGCGCCAAGTATTCTGTTAGCTTGGACGGAAGCTGATCCGTCGCGAACAGCTCACGGAGAGCGACTCAAGTGCGCTAACTGCAAGTTAACTGACCAGCACATTGCTAGCTACTCTCTTACCTCTCTTACCAGGATCCTTATTCAACACGGCGCACAATTTAATACTACCTTTAGTAGTAAGAGCTTTGCTAGCTGAACTATAAAGTAGGGCGGGCACAATTAAATGTATTAAAACTTCTTGTACCTATCTAACGCTAGTTTGTAGTTTGCAGAATTTTCCCGGTTGTTGAACAAGCCTCAGAAGAAGAATAATCTGCTCGGCGGGGAGTACCCTCGATATGCCTTGCCTCGCCGAAGTTCGCAACAGCCGGTGCCCTCAACCCGCTTCTGCTCAAGTAATTCGAGCTAGTCAGACTCTACATTCGCTATTAGTCTCAATCTGAATGCTGCCGAATTTATTTTGTGATGTGCTCCAGCTTAGTTAGGGCCCAACCAAATCCGACCGTGTCTTTACTAAAGTGGGGTTCTCGAACTCCTCCTTAGGGGCGGATACGTCTTTGCCTTTTCATCCTCGACATCTATTCTACTTCATGATGGCCGAAAACGAAACGGCTTGCGGACATCTTGGAATGCAGCATCAACTCGTGCAGGACTGTTCTGGTACTACGCCTCCCGGCCACCAAGGCCGCATGCCCTTGACGCCGCCGGGCACTGCAGAACTACCCAGGCGAGCCGCACAAGCGCCCTGTGCAAACGCGTTGATTCGCCTACTTGACACAATCAACGCTCAAAGACAGACCGACGAGCCCGCGAGCTGGGTTGAAGTTACAGTTGAACGAGATTTATATCTATCACATCAAGAAAGAATCGAGCGATCATTCAGGCGAACTGATTACGACCCAAACCGCAGTCTGCTTAATCTTCGGATGCCTTCGCCTGTGCACGAGTTCTTCGCGAACATCCTAGCTCTTAATTTACAAATTCAACTTCATAGAATAGCCACCCAAGACAACGACACGGGTACTTTTGCCTCTAGAATTCGAATTGGAGGCTCGGCCACTATTCAACTTGCTGAGGGTGATTCTGAATTATTCCAAACTATTCAGCGTCAACCAGACGCACAATTTCGCCACGCAAATACCCAGTACCCAGGCGTTGTAATAGAGGTGTCCTACTCCCAAGATGGTAAAAACCTAAGGAAGCTTGCCCAGGATTACATCCTTTATTCAAATGGAGATATTAAAGCTGTTATTGGCATTAATATCAACTACACAGGGAAAGAGTCTACTGTGTCACCTTGGCGCCCGAAATATACACGCATTAAAAATAGCGATAGCGATATTGAAGAACTAGAATGTCAAGAGGTCATTTCATACGAGGTATGTAGACGCAGTAGGTATAATGTGGGTATAAAGGCTGACCCAGAAAGACGTTTCGATCCGTTGATGGATACGCACATAATGGGGAAAAACACCTCAAGCTCACACTCGGCGACTTTGCTACTGATGCATTGTCTACTTCACACAGTTTAGTGCCGATATCTATCTCTTACCGCAGGCTCTTTGATATAGTCCAGGAAGCCGAGGAGATGGAGCCAACCAAGGTGGCTAATGTAGCTGACAGTGTAGTCAAATCAAGAAGAGTAACAAGGAAACGGAGATTGTCATTTAGCTCCGCAGAACAGCTATGCTCAGAAGTCCAAGCAAAATACGCCGAGTCGGAGGAGGTTGTAATATCTCGAGCTGAACGAGATGACGAGGACTATGAAGAGCAGTCGACTAAGCGGCCGACTGAGCGGTCGACTAAGCGGAGGGGATAGACTTCTTGAGGCTTATTTCTAGAGAGTGGCTGTAAAGTTAATGCGCTGCTCTTGTTTGTAGATAAAACAGTATGGAAGGAAAAGGCGAACTGTAATGGGCAGAAATTTATGCACAGTTTAGTGGCAGGCTTGCATTACGTTCAAAACAGGCTGTTCAGGTTTGTTACCGTATAAAGTTGAAGTGCCGTAGGTGATCTCTAGGTGGTGTTTGCAAGATCATGTCTAGCATCAGCACCTAGGAATACACACTTTTTCTAGCCGACTTTCGTCATTATATATTAGCATTCGCCTAACAGGAAGCGCCAAGTAGTTTTGAAACTGCTTCGTCGATATTGCTGAGTTGGGGTCAGAAATTCTGCCGCAAAAATAGAGCAACTCAGCAATAAAGTCTTCAAAATCAATACGTGTCAGTCGGCTCTTGATATACTCGACACATAAGAACCGCATTTTAGGTGAAGGCAGGAAGGATCTGCCACTGCTTCCCACGTCGAAGCTTGGTCATTTGCACAGGCATTTTCCGCTTTGGTACCTGCATCCATACCACGATGACAGTCCCCCTGTCACAGCCAGGATTCATCTACAAAGACCAAATGGTATGTCTCAACCTCGAGTTCTCTGAGCATATACAGATAAGGCCCTGGATGTTATCATCTCGTTGGTGTGTGGTGTGGTGCATCTTTTTTCGTGGCAAGTCCTTCAGGGCCCTGCTGACAGCATTCTTTGATACGTTTCCGTTGAACTTGTTGAGGTAAGAGTCTACTATTTCCTCGGTATATAAGTCGGGCTCTTCATTCAGTAGATCATACAACGGCTTTCCTCATTGTGGTGTAGTGCCGTAACGAGGGCTGGTCACGAAGATCCGGGCTTGGAGCAACCAACTCAGGTTATCATACTCCATATAGTATTTTGGTCTCAAGGTCTTTGGTTTCTCCATCTGAAAGATCCGACCAACGAAGATGCCTGTGTGTGTCACACGACTGGATTACTGAGGCACAAAGGGGCTGGGGCCCCGTGCCTTTGTGCCTTTCATGCCCGGGCCCGCATGTGCCCCATGAGAGCATCGTGATAGGCAATCTTTGTGCATTGCAGCGACGTAGTCGTGGTGAAGACTACGTAGTCGTGGTGAAGGCTTGACCGCAAGTTTCGAATGCGGCTACGTCGGCCAGTGCGAGTTCTACGTCGAGGCATTTCCGCCGTTTCTCTCTCCGAATTCGTTGGACAACCTCGAGCTCGCATCAACCAGCCACTGTTCTGCGAACTTAGAACAGGATTTTAATCACCGAAACACCACCATGGCCAAGGGGAGAAAAGAGTCGTCACCATTGGCGCCGACATTCATGGTCTCTGCACCAGGGAAAGTCATAGCATTTGGCGAACACGCAGCCGTGTTTGGCAAGCCCGCCATTGCCGCAGCCATCTCCCTCAGATCCTGCTCCTTGTAGCCACCCTCTCAAAGTCCCAACGCACCGTCAAGCTTAATTTCAAAGACATCGGCCTGAATCATACGTGGAAGATAGACACCCTACCATGGGGCGTTTTCCATGGTCCAGAGAAGAAGAAGTTTTATTACTCTCTCGTCGACTCCCTCGACCCCGAATTGCTTGAGGCTGTTACACCGCATGCAGAGGCAGTATCCGAGCATCTTCCAGAAACGCAGCGAAAAATCCATGTACGATCTGCAACCGCCTTCCTCTACCTCTTCCTTTCATTAGGCTCCCCGCTAAGCCCTGGCTTATTTACACTCTCCGATCCACCATTCCAATATGTGCCGGTCTGGGTAGCAGCGCCAGCATTTGCGTCTGCCTGAGTGCGGCGCTGCTCCTTCAAATACGGACCCTTGCAGGACCGCATCCTGACCAGCCTTCCAAAGAAGCCCGGGTACAGATTGAACGTATCAGCCGCTGGGCATTCGTGGGCGAGTTGTGCACACATCGAGATCCCAGTGGTGTGGACAACGCCGTCTCTGCGGGTGGAAAAGCTGTGATTTACCAAAGAAACCACTCCGGACCGCCATCTGTCACTACTCTCGCCAAGTTCCCAAAATTACCGCTCTTCCTGGTCAACACTCAGCAACCCCGATTAACAGCTACGCTGGTGGATAAAGTAAAGGCATTTAAAAACAATCGCCCCGTAGTGACGGAGTCAATTTTGGAAGGAATTGGCCATCTTACAACGTCTGCACTGGAGCTTATTTCGTCTGCTGATTTTGATACCAGTGGACTGTCCGGCACTTTCGAACGCTTGGGAACTTTGATACCTATAAACTACGGGTTCCTGGTTTCACTAGGGGTCTCTCATCCTCGTCTAGAGCGCATCCGCGAGCTTGTGGACTGTGCAGATATCGGCTGGACAAAAACTTACTGGTGCCGGAGGTGGTGGGTGCGCTATTACACTTCTCCGACCGGATGCTAAAGCTGAAACAATTTAAGGGCTGGAGACGAAGCTCTCTGCTGAAGGATTTCAAAAACATGAGACTATCCTAGGCGCCAACGGAGTTGCGGTGCTTTGGCCCGCTGTGTTCAGAAGCGGCATTAGTGGGAAGGGCGGTGAAGAGATTAACCAAGAAATATTTGAGAATGCTGTAGGTGTTGAAGGTATCGAGCGATTAGTTGGAGTAGGAGCGCGTGAAGATCGAGAAGGATGGGAAATTCTAGACTCGAGCTGTTTGGGAGAAATAGGGATCAACGTACGACTGATTGACTTCTACACCAGGCAAGGACATGATGAGAATAGCAGAGCTGAATTATAATCGGAGGGATAGATTTAGTGGAGTTTAGTCCAACCTTGTTTTGGGTTTTTGTCCGATTTGTGTTAGGTTTTCCCCAAACTTTTATGCATGTGCAAAGGTTAGCTATCGAGACTCTGAATACATGTTTGTTGCGTCAATATTAGCCAGACAAAGAGCCAGACAAAGAGTGATCTGTGTGGCAAGCTGGCATCGGAGGTGATTTGCGTTCTCGAGGAGTAGCTGTAAGGCGTCTTGCTATTTTTTTTTTTTCATGTATATATAGTCGCTACTGATCCCTCTTGTTCTTCTAGCAATACAGAATCTTTGACATTCTACAAGATTATCTTTGAAATGAGCCTCTTTGTTCTCCAAGCCTTACACTGCAGCCCTTGTCACATCAGAGCTACAGCTCATCTTGAATCCTTTGTCGACAGACTAGAGCATGTAAAGGCTGGAGAGAATAACAACAGCTTGCCGAACATAAAGATGACAAGTTTTATTATATCCGTGACGAGCTCCCTTGGTGCAGCATGTCATGCTTCCCTGGTCATCCGAAAGCCTAGAGAGCAGCTAGGCAGTCTTGCTTGTCAGGACACCCTTGAACGCTGCCACGTCACATGCTCGCTGAGTTGATATTAACTGGAATACCACCTATCTGTTAAACGTCAGATTCGCCGCGAGTCGCTGTGGGAACCGGCGATATTTAGGTCATGGCTTATCGGCATACGCAGAGAGGCCAGTTTGCTACGTACGCAGCAACTGCTGTGCTGTCTCTGCAGCGTTACGCAGTAGTATTTTGAGATGATAACTGTTGGTCTAGAAGCGACGAACGGGCCTGCTCTTCATTCCCAGGCCCGTCACAGTTGGGTCGCCAACAACGCCCAACAACAGGTTCCACGACACAGCTCACGAGGCCACATCCTAGGCCGAAGGTGTTGGCAACCTCAAAAAAGGCGAGAGTGCTGGGTTGACCGACGCCTTATAGAATGAAGCTCTTCCTGCCTCAGAGGCTCTTCGAAACGAAGGACTCTGAGTACCAAGGCTAATTGTTAGCTTGAATGGAACCCTTGACTCCAAGCCTAGTCTTATCATTCCTTTCATAAAGCCGTGTCATCCATGACTGGGCGCCGCAGCGAAATTCCTGACTGTAAAGCATGCCGAGCTCAAAAGACTGTTGGCAAGATGAGCACGGATACATTCTTCGTTGCTCCATTCGTCACAATGTCTGTGTTAGTTGTGACTTCAACGCGTCACGGTTTTCAGGTACTTGGCCAGGCCGCTGCATGAAATAACAAGACGAGGGCCCGTCCTAGCCATAGTCCCTGTATTTAAGTGTGGCCGACATCTAAGTGCGCTCGATTGGGCAAGGACAGGGAATGAGAGCGGCAATGCAACTTGATCAACACTCGAAAACCCGGTAGCCATGCTGGAAAGCATATTGCGCTGCCATGCCATCAGTGCTAGATAATATTGCTCGGGCATGAACACGTCAAGCACACTTTGGTTAGACAGCACATGGATAGGAATATTCGTTCAGGAGCGGCTTCAAGCGCCGGCTTCCCCCCCCTTTCTCAGTCACCATCAGCGCATTCAGTTCTAGCGAGGCCACCTGTCAACCACGTACAGGTGAAGTTTATAGTAGCTCAAGTTCAAGTCGGGTAAGACAGTCATTCTCCAGACTACGACTGCTCCAAGACTCTAGTCCAATCAAACTTCCTCCAGCCTCGTTTCCACTCATCAACCCTCGCATCACCACGCACCCACCGGCCCTGCTTCTTGACGAGATGCGGTTCGGCATCGCAAATCCCGCCCAGCACTTCCCTCGCAAACAAGTCCCCCCGTGGCCAACGATCGGCATTCTCAACAATGTGCCCCAGCCCGCCATCGAGCGAAAACCAGACGTGAAAGTAGGGCATCTCCTTGGCGATGCTCCTCCTGAATGCCATTCTACCCATGCCGTCCCTGGCCCTGGCAGCCGTATCAATGACCTTTTTGTGCTGCGACCACTCCTCGTCACTCGATAGGATGCCTTCCTTGAAGTAGGCCGGGGCCGTGGCGCCTTCTTGGTAGGGAATAGGGGCGGCAACCATGGCGGCGTGCATCCGGCCATGAGGCGACGCGGCGTTCTCGTAAAAGATGACCTCGCGGCCTTGGTCGTGATACATGCGCGTGAGGCTCTTCATGAAGTTGCGAATCTCTTCCCACTCGTCGTCGTCGCATTCCAAGAGGTTGCGGTGGTGCGTAATGGGCACAATGACGGCGCCGCCGGGACTGACCTCGGGCTCCGTCGCGAGGGTGAGAAAGACTCGCGTTCCGAGAGACACGACGGGCGCCACGGGCGGCCGGCCTTTGTCTTCGTTGTGACACAGGGGGCACTTGTCCAGGGCGCGCGTCAGCTTTTGAAACTCGTTGACAGCCATGTTCTTCAGGTTGATCTCGCTCTTGTGTACGCGTCTGGCGAGCTTTTCCGCATTCTCGTCCATGTAGTCCAGGTCATTGTCGTATTTGCCGTCCTTGGCAATGCGTTCAGCGAGACGCAGCCCTTCGCCGCCAGATTGGTTCTTGGTGCGGCGCTCCTCCCTGACCATGTCCTCGACGGACATGTCGTTGTTCTCCTCCACTAGACCTCTCTCGCGACCGCGCCTGGTGTCGACGGCCTTGACTTCGCCTCTGGTGCCTGCTAATTGGCGGTGGTCCATGATGCCGAGGACGACGGCCTCGTTAGCATTGGGCCGGGGTCCGAGGGCAGCGGCGCGATTGTATTCCTCCTCCAGCTGTGCGGCGTTGGGGGCGCGGCGCAGCTTGGCCTTCATCATTTGTGCGCGCAGGCGATTGAGCGACGTCTGGTCCATGGCTGCTGGGCTCTGCGCTGCTTCTGCCCCTTGCGCTGCCATGACAGTGCCCGAATCTGCTTCTGCCGCAGCTGATTCGTCATGTGCCCTCGTCTGGTCGTCTTCTTGTCGAGCTCGATACAAGTCTCCCGTCGGCCCTTCCTTCTCCTTGTACCCTTGACCGTAGATGCTGCGCCGCTCCATCTCCTCCTTCTCTTCTCGTGCGTCATCAAAGTCTCGCAAACTGCCGTACCGCTCAACCGCGACGTCTTCGACTGGGCGGCCACTTGCTTGGGCAGTCGTGTACACCCCTCTGAGCTTGGTCATGCGCCATGAAGAACCAGAGTCACCAAAGACGTAGTCCACTTTTCTCTCAGCGGCGGCGGGCTGGTGCAGGTCCGACAGCGACGACTCTTGGTTTTGTTGCCGGATATCTTGATTCAGTTCGCGTGAGTGGACGATTCGCTTCGGCGGCTGCGGAGGCGGCGATGGAGGCTTGTTCCTCTCTGCACGATGTATGTGCTCGACTTCCATGGACGACGGTGCTCTCATCCAGGCGTCACGCACGGGAGCATCGGATGGGCCCTCGTTTCCCGATGGGCCCGGTTCCCTCTCGTGCCTGCGGCGTGAAGGGCGTTCCCGGCTGCTGTTGCCATGGTGTTTGTGTCCGGATGGACGGGAGTCGTCGGCGCGGTCATCGCGTGAGTGTCGGCTTCTCTTGTGTCTATGCTCATGGTCGTCTTCTTGGCGGTGACGATGTCGGTGATGCCTGTGCTGTCTGTCTCCGTCGTCGCCGTGGTCATGGTGCCGATGATGATGGCGGTGTTTGCCATGACGTTGTTGACGGTGTCCACCCTTGTCTGCCCTTTCAGCCTCTGCGCGCTCCAACCGTTCGGCGGCAAGGGATTTTTCAAACTCGTCTAGGCCGTCCATAGAAAGAAATAGGCTGGGCCATGGGCTCGCGACTGCGCAGTGAGTTTTGATGTCAGATGTGGATGAACTGAGCTGGGGAGCTACAAATGCTTTGCTTGGCCATGTGGAGGTGAATGAGGGTCTCGGGTGGACTCAACTCTCAACATACAATTGGTTGGGGCCACCACGCCAGTGCATGTGATCAAGGCTCTCATCCGGCATTGCCATGTTCCGTTCAGATGCGCAAGCAATCCCAAAGTCCGCAAATACAACAGCTCAACATCGCTTTGGTCAAGTACGGCCAAACAGATGAGCGCGAATCGTCGCCAAGCTCTGGATTGGAAACATTTTACAGTCCCGGACTCGTCCTACTCCTGCTCGCGATTCCGTTTCCATCACGCGCGTGTTAAGTGGCTATAGCTCTATGGTTGGCATCAAGGCGATCTTTGCAATGCACAATACTTTGCGCTGATCGAGTAATGCTCCCTTGCCGACTCCTGTCTCGCTCAGTTCCCCTTTCTCGAAAGTGGGCTTTCGCATGCCGATTACAGTTTGTGTTCCTTCACGATGCGGTCATACCGGCCTTTAATTTTCGCAGGTGCACGGTTCTTGGTCTCAATCTCTAGGCATTGCTGGTATCTTCTGGCAAATATTGACGTGGCCCCATGACCATCCAGTTTACTGTGAACAGCGTCAACGGCGTTAACGATATCAACAGTATCAACTGTATCAACTGTATCAACCCCAGTCCGCCCTCTATGCGAACGCCAAGAGACAATCTCCGTTCCGAGGTGCCTTGCAAGCTTGCCTAAGTCGCCCTCGTCCACACGGATCCGATTTTCTATCCAGGACTATACCGCCATCTTTCGTGGTTTTCTTTTACCCACCACCGTGTCACGAAAGCCGCTTCTTCAGCCCACTCGGCCGCCTCGGTACCGTATTTCTCTTCGACAGCTTGCAACAGTTTAGCAAAATCAAAGGATCTGATGGGATCATCTTCATGGGGGTCGTCTTCGAGATCACCGAACAGCCACTCCAAGTCCTCAATCAGGGGAGCCACCAGACGCCAGCGAGGCTCATCCATGCTGCGTACCGAGACCCCTTGACCACTGGGGCTCACGGCCGTGAGCTGCCACCGCTGCTCTGCATCAGGCGCCCGCCCCTCTAGTGACCGGATGAGTGACGGGGCCTCGTAGTTGCCAAGGAGGTCCCGTGCCGCCCGTTGCTGGGGCATCGAGAGCGAGCCGGTTTCAATGAGAAGGTCCAGTATGGTCGGTGCAACCGACATTGCCGTGACCGACTCCTGGATCTCAATGGCAGGCAGGCCGGGGTGAGAAAAGACCAAGGGTACCCGAAAGCCTCCAATGTTGGGGATTCCCCAGGGAGACATGCCGCCCGTCTCTGGCAAGGGAAGACCATGGTCCCCGACGAGCACTATCAGTGTCTCGTTGGTAGCGTCTTGTTCCTCTATCATGCGAAGAATCTTGGCAATCCAGCGGTCGACGTAGCCCACGGCGTTGAGATACATTGACATGTCGTTGGCGTAACTGCCACTGTCCTCCGGCGTAAGGGCGACGTACTCTTTGGCCTCCGGTATCTCGTACGGGTAGTGCGGCGTGCTGGTGAGGTGAGTGAGGAACAGGCGCGTATTGTTCTCCCTCGCCGATTCGAAGGCGTCGGCGATGTACTCCTCGAGCGCTTCCTCCTCCCAGCCCATGTAGTTGACGTACGGTCGGTGGGGGGGTTCAAAAACAGCCCGGTCGCCCTCCAAGTATTCCACGTCGATGAGACCATCTTCTGTGTACCCCATGGCTTTCATCAGTCGGTCCTGGCTGTCGTACTGGCCCGTCACCGACATGAGGAAGGAGCTGTTCCAGCTGTATTCGGTGTATGGTCGGCTCGCAGGGCCGCCGGCAGAGCCGTTCATGGCGTTGAAGAGGTTGATGATGTGTGAGAGGCATGGCTGGTACAAGTGGCTGTAATATTCGTGATTGCCATCAACGGCCAATGGGCTTATGCCGCAGAGAGTCCCCAGGCAGCTTTTCACCGTGTATGTCGCAGACGGGGTGCCGTGGACGGCATTGATGCCCCCACGACGCCTCCTCTCAGCGTGGTCAAAGCCGTCGTCGTAATCGCCTGTGATGAAGTTGGCAGACGATGTGAGATTTGCAAGTCGCTCTTCGACGTCATCGGGTATTCTTTGGTTTTTCCAAGTCTCTTCCAACTTCTTCCAGATGTATCCATCCTTCTTAAAGGGGAAGACGTCGTGGCGAGTGCTCTCCAGTAAAATAACCATGACATGTCGGATGTCGACGTCGGCAAGCTTCCCACGCAGGCCGCCAAGCAGGTCATTTTCGACGTTGGCCTGGCTCAAGGGATCTAGATCCGAGCTGTAGTGCTTTTTCTCAGAGTCATACCAGTCGCCAAACCCGGCCGGGGGGTCGTCCGTGTTTGGCAGCCAAGCCCAGCGACGGGGTTCCCCCAGCGCAGTCTTCCCCTCCCACCGTTGAATAAGATTCGGATTGTACACCGGAAGCAAGTTCGTCAGCGGGGAAGTGGTGCTGAGAATGTCGACGATGGGAAGGGCAACCGAAGTCCACGACAAGAAGATGAGAGAGCGCTCATTTGGCCTCAAAATGTACGCAATAGCCTGGGCTACGAGGATTGCGCCAGTCACGGCTTGGATGAGCCAGACAGCTCTTCGATGGCGACGTCTACAGCCCCGCGTCGTGTCCTTGCGCTCCGGGCCGTAGGGCTCCTCTTCGTCTCGAGGAACTTTGCCATATTTTGGGCGGGCCGGAATTCCACTACAACATCTCAACCCACTCACGACCACGGCTGAAGACGCCTTGATGACATGAAGCGCTACGCCGGCAAAGAAATAGGGGATCCCCATCAGCGCGAATGATGCGAACACGAGGCCGGCAAATGTCATCATGCAGGTGGGAAGGCCCTCGGCAAACGTCGACCATGTTGACGGATCTGTGATGATGCCGGCATTTCGCCAACGGGGCTCGGACCCGATGACGAGGAAAAATGCCGTGTTGATTGTTGCTACCGCCAGCTGTATCAGGGCCACGGTGGACGCGATGACGAAAGATGTAGCTTGCATGTAGCGGCTCGTGTTGCGAGGAGGCGGCCCAGAATGAAGAAGCAGCCTGAGCAAAAGTAAAATCGCAGTGTCTTGTGCGAACAGGCTGAGGGACCATATCGTGAGGTCGGCAGATGTGAGCGCCTTTCTGTGGACATGTATGTGCAAGCATTTGCTGGTCAGGGCAGAAGTAGCTGCGATGGAGAATACGAATCTCAAGGAGGCCGTGCCGACAGACAGCATACGATGGGGGCTGCAGAGGCAACGCCGAGCAAAGCGAGGTGCGTGGCTAAGAGTTGTATGTCTAGGAGACTGCATGGTGGTGAGTTTGGGTCCGCAATCTTCCTGACCTTGAAAGTCCTGTGCAATCGTAGCGAGGCTGAATGTTCCTTCGAGATGTGAAATAGGTCTTGGCCGCTGTGAAAGTAAGATGCATTATCCATTGGGCTGGCACCGTATGCCATGTTAACAACAAGGAGACTGGTGAGGTGCGGACGAGGTCTGGACATCTTCTCCAGCCGCAGTCTACACCAAGAGTCTAACGCCATTATGAATATGCATGCATTTTAACCATGGATTTAATCGGGATTTCCTTCGTGTTTGGAAAACAAGTCCACGTAGACCTGGGCAACTACTCGGAGAATTCACAAACTAGTAGTTCCAGTGTCGCGTGACGCAACTCACACCAGCAAATTGGCTGGTTGGCCATGCAAAGAGTAATTGGAGAGACCCGGGGGCCAGGTCCGATCCTAGTTTGAGACCAAGAACAATCGACTTAGGCTCGTGCCTCGATGCCGTACGCGTTGAGTTGCTCAGACGTGTTACCTGTTGCTTCGTCGGAACCAAGGCATCTAGCAACCAACTAGTAAAGACTCGACTAGATAAACTAGAGACAGTGGCGTTTGTCCGGACAAGGTGCGTGTAAGTAATGAGGTGAACCACCTCCAGATCGGCACCTTGGCATTTCTGGGCCCGAATTGTGGCTTCCCCAGATGCTGCTAGCGAAGTCAATCGCACAAAATTTGTGGCAGCAGCCTTTGATCCGCGTTTCAACGGACAAATCAATCCGAGACATGACTGCTCTGTTTCAGAATCAGGCGAATAGGATAACCCGAACCGGCGTCAGTTCGGGAAACTATCAAGCCCAGGGCTCGCACAACTATTGTCAAGCAAAACGCCTTGCGACGTCTCGACTCTTGGCTCACAACTTGGTCGGGACCGTACCTTTGTTGTGGGTTTTTCAACCAAAAAAGCCGTCTTTGACACGCGAATTGGGCGGTCCAGCAGGATGCCAGACAAGCTCCAAGACCAATGAGAAACGATGCCCAGATCATCTCAGCAAGCAGGCTGGAATGTGCATCACGAGCGCCGCATCGAGTCGCCGGCGAATGTTGTTCACCAGGTCCTCAAAACCTGCCGCTGGCGACTTCAACGCGGCTCAACAGCGAGACTCAAACCTCGTCCTCACCAGTCACGGAAACACAGCGCAATCAGAACGGGTCGAGGCAATTCTGTCCCACAGAAAACGCAAAAGGTCTGTCTCTATTACCAACCCTATCTTTACGCCAAGCAACGCCCCAAAGCTCAATCAACATGCGCGTAGCGGGGGCTTCCTCTGTAATCCCATTCCAACCGCTCCCCCGGTCTGCTATTCCGTACTAGTTGAATGCGCAAATCAATGCCGGGGTATCATTTGTCGTGGTATTGATTTCTGTGCTTCCGCTCAATGAGAGATGCATCGTCTGAAATCACAAAGTCCATGAAAAATCGAGGAGCGTCGGCCACGGTGCTGCTGCTACACCACACTCGGAGGATAAGTCGTGTCAAACACCCCAAGCCCTAAGCCCCATGGCGATTGAGTAATTCGCCATGTTGGCATCTAACGGGCAATCGTCCCACGCCGTCCCCTGTCACGGTCTTTTCGTCCATCGGCCCCCGTCACGCGCATCCAATCCTCCCACTCTTTGCTCATCTCCATCAAGACCGAGCCCATGACCGTTGCGCTGGCCATCAGACCGTGTCCTTCGCCTTCCATGACGCGCACTTCGCAGCGACGCATCGTCTTGCCGAGCCACTTGACATTTTCGACGGGCACTCGCGAGTCTCGGCTGCCGTGGTGGATAATCACGGGTCGTGTAATGTCAACGTAGCGAAATCCAATGTCGTGTCTTCTCTCCAGACAAACCAAGAGGTCAACGGCTGGATTGGCTCCTGTGGTGGCCAGCTCCCAGATGGCCTGAGTCAAGCGGGTGTCGTACGTCGTTTGCCGTTCCTTGTCTGTCGCGACATCAGTCGTCGACTCGGCGGCCGTCGAGCCTCTGTCCACAATGTTGCCCCCACCTGGCTGGATTTGGTCCATATTCTCGCTCATGTTGGGCGTGTCAAATCCCTTCCCTTGCTGTCTGCCTTCTGGCGCGTCCTTGCCTTGAGGGGTGTTGTTGAGGTCCTCCTTGTCGTTGACGGCCGTGGCATTGCGGTTGGCGGCGTTGACATCCCGGCCGTGGGTATTCGACTTTCGCTTGGTGCGACGTGAGTTCTTGGGCAATGAGCTCGTAATGGAGCTGCTGGTTGCCGTCATGAAGCTGCTGTTAGCCGCCTTCAGGAGAGGCGTTGGTAGAGCACGCAAAATCTTTTGGGACGTGGGAATAGCGTTGGTCGGGGGGAGCGTTTGGGATCCGCCAAATACGTTCATCTGAGATGGGGGGATCCATGGCGCCAAAAGATGAATGCGTCCGCGGATGTGCTGAGGCATTCGCAGCGCCGTGGCCAGAGCATAGATTGCGCCTGCCGAGTGGGCAAGAATGGAAAATTTGGTAATCTTCAACGCTTGGCAAATGGCATAGACGTCGTCTGCGCCACCGTCAGCAACCCGGACCGCTCTTCCACCACGCAAAGAGGTCGCGTCGCCCAAGGGAGGGAGGGGGGAGGGTACGTACCGGGCCAGCTCAGAGGCGTCGTCGTCCCATCGGCATATGGCTCACTATCACCGACCCCGGGGCGGTCAGGCGTAATGAGGCGCAGTTTCAAGGTCAAGGCCAGCTCGTCGTAGAAGGCCATGACGTACCTTGTCAAACCCATGCCGACGCAGCAAAAGACTGCCGATCCATTTGCGTCACCGACTTCTGAGAAGGAAATGACTCGGCCCGTCTGGGGGTGTCGAATTTTTTGAGACAGGCGTGGGGAACAGAGGTATGACTCGACCGCATCATCCACCGAGTCTGCAGATCCGGGTCGTTCGTAGCCCGCAGGATAGACTTGGTGAGCTTGCTGGGCAGCGGGTTCGGGCGAGGCGGCGGCACTCGTTCTCGTAGATTCGCTGCGGGGAGTGAGCGGGCCCGACAGGCGCTTCAGGCGCGAACTGCCGCCACGCTTGATTCGGAGGGCCTCTCTCGGAACGGGACTCAAGCGGCCGGACAACCGACTGCTGCTGCGTTCAGTGCTGTGGCTCTCCCGCCGTCTCTGCGCAACAGCGGGGAACGGCGCAGCTCCCTCGTCGTTGTCGTCGACAGGTTCCTTGTTGAAGTCTGGGCGGGGCCGGGTTGCCCTGGATGCCGACGCGGGGGATGCTGGGTAGTCGTCCGGGCTGAGCAGCAAGTGTTTTGCTGGTGTACCCGTCTCTGAGCCCGTGCGAGCATGCTGCTGGCGCGGCAAATTGCGGTCAATGACGTGTTCTTCGGCCTCTGGTATGGGCTTGGCTGCCGGGGCGTCGCCGTGCCGCTTAGATCGACGCGCGCTTGTGCGTTTCAAATGAGACCGCGACTTTCCCAGGCTCGACTCTCGCATAGGGATAGGCTGCGGCTGCGGCTGCGGCTGCGGTTGCGGCCGCGCGCTGCTCAATGGGCTTGGCCCATGCGGTTCCGGGCTGCCGCTATGGGAAGCAGGCTCTTCGTTGATGACGGTATCAGCGAGGGAAGAGTCCGGCCGGGCGCCGCTATTCATGGTGTGGTTCGGGGGGCCTCTACTTGGTTCGTTTTGGCCAATGGACCTCCCCTGCAATCGTTTTCTTTCAAGTTCTCTTTCGCCGACACGCTCCTTTGAACTCGTGTAGACGAGTCCCTTCGTGCTCCGAACGGATCTAGTTCCCCAGCTGTCATGCGACGGATGGTGTTTCAGCTCGGGGGACTCGGCAGATGTACGTTCTATCGAAAGGTTGCCTATGCTGTGGGCGTCGTCATTCTTGGACGCAGCAGAGGCCCGGGAGGATGGACGCGAGGCTAAACTGCTGGTGCGAATCAAGGAGCGCAGGCCCGAAGCGCTCTCGCGGCTGGGGCTTCGGGTCAAGGAGCTCCTTGAGCCTGTCAGTGGCGAGTAGCCGCTGGTTGGTTTCGAGGTACGAATGATGGGCGGACTGGCGGCGAGGTTGTCGAGGGATGCAGAGTCTCGAGCAGGATCGTCGGGCCGGCAACGAGTGTAGGCACCGTAATCGACGCCAAAGCTGCCGGTGCTGGGGCTTCTGGGGCCAGCGGGCAGGTCGAAGTTGATGGCGACGGGATGCGACTCGAAGTGGGCGCTGGCAGGTGGTGAGATGGCGCTGAGGCTCGTGATGAGGTTGGATATAACCTCAGGGGAGGCGGCAGCGGCGGCAGGGGCAGCAGGGACGGCGGAGGCGGGCGGGCGGGAAGTGCGCTGGAGCGAATTCCGGCGAGGGCTGCGAGGACTGCGAGGACTGCGAGGACTGCGAGGCTCTAGATGGCGTGGCTGTCTCTGAGAGAGGCGGAACTGGTGGTGGTTTGGGATAGGGGGCAGGTTCTCGTCGGGGTCGGCGGCGGCGTCGACGTTGAGATGCATTGTCACGCTTGGTTGTCTTTGGCTTAGCTTGGGCGGACTGGGCGAGGCGTCAACGGCCGGGCCTTGGTGCCCCCGTGATTTGGGCGCAGAGCACGGAGGATCAATGGATGAAGAATGGATCAATTGTATGGAGTCTGGTAACGTCGACGGCGGTAGGGTCCGGACGAGGCCAGCGCCAGACGGCGGCAACTTTGTGGGGGCGGCTGCGCCTCGGGCGTGCGGCCCCAACATTTTACCAGACCAGCAGAGCACAGCACAGCACAGCACAGCACAGCGCAGGTACCGCAGGCGCCGCACCGCAGTAACTACGTACCTGTACGTACCACAGCAGCAAGCAGGCGGGTCCATCAGGCGGCGGAACATGTCTGGTTTGATCAATCAATCCCTGCATCCAAGATCACCAAACTTCCGCGTCGCTCACATGACCAAAGGAAGAATGCGGTTTTGCAAGTCGCCTTGGCCAAAGCGACGATTCGTCAATCGTGCCCGCCGCCGCCGCTGCAACGTCATGATGCCAAAAGCGGCTCAAAATGGGACCACGCAGCCACCCTTCCCCAGATTGCCAAAATCCTGTTTGCCACGCCTCGCGCCTCCATCCTGGCCTCTGCTACGTCGTTGCCTGGCAGACAATCCGTCGTCGCTAAAAAGCGTCAATCAAGTCCTGAACATCAACAGCCTCTTCTTCTGCTTCTTCTTCATCTCCCCCTTCATCGCCAACGTCAACATCAAAACACCAAGCCGCGCGCGGCCCGCCTCGGACCATTCATTGCCCACAATGTTGGACCTCCTCCTCTCCATACCCATCCTCTCCTACGTCTTCTTTCCCACCACCGGGGCGTCGATATCCACCTCGGTCAACATCATCTTCTTCTACATGACATGGACCAGCCTCGTCTTTTCGCACCCAGCTCTCGAGCTGCACTTGTCCGGAGTCGTCGTCGTCCGCGTCATTTTCTGGCTCATCCCCTCCCTCGTCTTCCTCTTGTTCGACGCCGGCTTCCCCGGCCTCGCCGAGGGCTTCAAGCTCGGCGGCCGCAGCGCCCTGCCCACCCGCGATGCGCGCAAGCTGGCCAAGATGCTCGCGCTGGCCTTGCTCAACGTCCTCGCCTGCCTGGCCTCGGAGGCCGCCGTCAGCGTGGCATACACGTTGCTCTTCAAGCGGCACGTCTTCAGGATGAGCACCACCCTTCCGCTCCCCTGGACCATCTTCAGGCACTGCCTCTTCATCTTCGCCTCACGCGAGCTCCTCAATTTCTACACCCACCGATACGTTCTGCACGGCTCGTCCTGGCTCGCCCGCAAGCACATGGCATTTGCCCACGCCAACGCCGGCGCGCCCTTCAGCCTGCAGGCCTTTACCGATTACCCCCTGGCCACGCTGCTGCACCGCTGTCTGCCCGTCCTTCTGCCCTCGGTGCTCATCCACACCCACATGCTCACCTACTTCCTGGTCCTCATCATCACGTCCATCGAGGAGACGCTGGCCATGTCGGGCTACACCGTCGTTCCCGGCATCATCATGAGCGGCATCGCCCAGCGGACCGCCATCCACTACGCAGGCAAGGGCGCCTCCAACTTTGGCGCCTACGGCGTCCTGGACTGGGCGCACAGCACGAGCCAGGGCCGTGGCGTCCTGGACGACGTGCGCCAAGAGGCCGACAAACACCACGTCCAGGAGAAATCTGCAAACAAGGTGGACCATGGCGCCAAGACGGTGCACGAAGGTGTGGACTCGCTGAAGAAACGACTAGCCCGATCCAAAAACGACGAGTAACGGAAAACACGTTGGGCACATGCTTGGACGACGCTGTACTTTTGGACGCCAACACCAGACGACTAATTGAAACGAAAAAGAAGGGAAAAGGGACCACCTCAAGGGAAACAAGATGTGTAACATGACAGTGACGTGCTAGATACCCCAGATACAGTTTTTGCATAATGCAGACAGCAAGTAATGACATGTCTCGGCCAAAATGTGGAAGTTGTCGTGTAACCAACATCTATATAAATATACCAGTATAATGCCGCCATCCAATCGCCAATCGCAACAACAAGAAGAGGGAAAGAAAGAAGCAACGTGTCGTTTCCATCATCAGCCCAGCGCCGTCACCCTTCATTTACTCCAGTACGGCCCATCTATGTGTATCCAATGCCAATGCATGCCGGTCCCAGTCCTGTCTATTCCGTAATGTCAAGAAATCACGCCCAGCCATGCTTCTTTTTGAACCATTTCAGGGTTTCTAGCCCGCTCTGCACGCGCATGCCCACTCTTGCGTCGAGCACAAACGTCTCCCACGCTTTTACTTTTTCCAGGTGCTCCTGGCACTGGTTCGCCTTTTCGCGCCTGTAGCCGGCCACTTCGTCCGCTGTTCCGGCCGGCGGGTTGCAGCACTGCGTCCACGCAATCACGGCCAGCTCGTACGTGGCCACGGGCAGCACGTAGTCGTCCTTGTGGGTGCCCTTGAACACTGATCTGCAGCATCGAGTGCTATTAGCTCAGGAGGTGGAAAAAGAGAGAAAAGAGCAGGAAAAAGAAGAAAGGAGAGGCAGTAAGTGAGACAGTGATTGAGAGAGAGGGGAATAGAGAGTAAAGAGATAAAAAAAAGCCCCAGTTGACAACAACCTCCCTCTTACATAGAGAACCAAGCACAAAAAAAAAATGAAAATAAAAATAAAAATAAAAATAAAAAAACACTCACCCATCATACGCCAGGACATTGTCTTGGAGAATCTTTGCCGCATCGTCCATCTTCCCCTGCGCCCGCAACAGCGCCGCCATGCCAATCGCCCAAACGGCCACGTCGTCCCTTTCCCGCCGCAGGGCGCTCACGACGTCGGCGTCGGCGGTGCACCTCTCCCAGCCGAGGTGGGCAATGGCCTCGCCCACCTGCTCCTCCGACATGCGCTTCTGCCCGTTCCAAAAGTAGCACATCTCGACGGCGGGCGAGGGCCCAATGGCGTCGGCCAGGTCGACGCCGTGCGCCCTGGCCTGCTCCTCCCACTTTTGCAACTTGCGCTGGATAAAGGCCTCGAGCGGCAGCTGGCGGGCCATGAGGCGGTGCTTGCCAGAGACCTGGGGCGCCCGGCGGAGGTACTCGTGCGTCTTGGCCTTGTGCACCAGCGCCCCGGTCTCGTCGCCGGCGTGGTGGGCGTCGCGGTACAGCTCGAGGGACGCGCAGCCGGCCATGTAGTAGTACACGCCGTGGCTCCAGTCGCTGATCTCGAGACAGCGCAGGAAGGTGTCGCGCATGAGGGCCCATCTCTGCAGGATCATGGCGTTGATGGCGAGCTCAAAGTCGTTGACGGCCGTGACTTGCTTCATGGTGGACTCCTTGCCCGAGGACAGCACGTCGATTGCCTCGCGGACCTTTTTGTCGTTGGCGTGGAGGCGGGATTCCTCGACGCGCCACAGCCGCGAGTCTGGATAGCGGCCGCGCAGGTCGGCGAGGAGCTCTCTGCACTTGTCGCGTGGCGGGCCGACCGACTCGGCGTCTTGGTCGTAGTCGCCGGCGCTGGGCAAGATGTCGACGGTGCCCAGGAGGCTGTTGTAGTAGGCGAGCAGCATCATGCCGGCCATGGCGCCGTTGATGTTTTTGTGCGCGGCGGAGCGCCAGAGCATGCCGACGCCGCGGACCCGGTCGCCGCGGAAGCCCACCATGGACAGCATCCGCGAGAATGCCGGCGGCACCAGGCTCAGGATGAGCAGGATGAGCCCGAAGCACATGTTTGTGCCCGAGTGGATGAAGGCGTCGACGGCGTCAGTCACCTCCAGGTCCGTGTCGAGGGGGGCAGCCGGGGGCTCGCCGTTCGAGTCCCCAGAGGGTGGACGGGGAACGCTGTCCACATGCGTCGACGGCGAGGCGTTGTCGACATGGTTGTCCATGTCGCCGTTGGGGGTTTGCGCTCCCCGTCCCGGCGTTGACGAGCGCGAGCCGGCCGCCGCGGCCTTGGCCTCGACAGCCACTATGCCATCAAGGATGATAAAGGCCTTGCGCAGCTTGTAAAAGCTCTTCATGCCCTCGACAAGGCTCTCGTTGAGAACGCCCACGACGGCACTCATCAGCTGGGTCTGGGCGCGGACGAGCTCGTACTCGGTGCCCGGGGGGTACACCCTGCTCGCGGCGTGCCGGGAAACGGCGTACTTTTGGGACTTTTTGTAATCGGCCAAGGCCCTCGTCTCGCAGTCGGCCAGCTTGGCGGCCGTCTGGGCCATGACGTGCTTCTCGAAGCCGAGGATGGAGCGCATGAAAAAGGTGACTGCGGCTCCGAGGCTGTGGAATGACGACTCGCCCTTCTCCAGGCCTTGCCAGGCGCCGTCAATGTCGTCGTTCATGATGAGCCCGGTCCATTTCAGTGCGTCGGCGAGGTTTTCTCGCTCCCCCGCGACAAATGTTTCGGCGTTGAGCGAGTCGGCGCTCGTGTTGGCGCTGCGAAACCATCCGTTGAGAAGACTCATGGTGACGGCGGAGTCGCCAACGTCTGGTGCGAGATCCGCCTGGCTGGCGACGCGACGTGACGAGACGTGACGAGACGCAATTTTTTATTCTTGGCGGCCAAGGAGAAAACTTGACCCCGTCTCCTGGCCGGACTGGTCTGGTCTGATCTGGAATATAATGCTTCCCGATTGCCTCCCGAGGTAGATAAGAGGTCCTTGGGCTCGGCCGTGGGTAGCAGCCGTATTTGAACAAGCAAGCCACTGCGCCACAGGCCGTTTCGAGTGGTTCAAGACAGCCGCCGGGGTGAGATGCCGACTATGGAGCCCAGGGCGCACCGGCGTCGACCTGGCCGACGCCATTGGGGACCTTGGCCAACGTCCCGATCCATGCGTGGGTCGTCATAGTCGAAAGCCTGGCAAGGCTGACGCTCTTTGCGCGTGAAAGACGACGCTTACTGGCGCCTGTGAGTTCGTTGAACTCGTCGCCATCAAACACTCGCTGTGCAACATCCCCCATCCGAGACATGACTGCGCGTTGTATTCCGAGAGCACTACACTCGAGTTGCCGCGGCATGTGGTACGGAACATTCGAACTCTGTGCTGCGCAACAGACTTGTTGTCCGGTTCTTCTTGAGCTCGGCCTCACTATAGGAGACCAGGACTCGGAATGCTCCGACACAGTAGTTATATTGATCAAACAGAAAACTCTTGCAACGCCGCCAAATTCAAGGAAATCATCTAGTAGTGTCTATACGGGAGGGAGAATTCACCACGTCAACTAACCAACCTGCGGACACCTACCCTGTAGCAAGCTGGTCCGGCGCCGCGTTCTTCCGCCCCGGCCAGATGCCCGCACGGTGCACCTACTCCCAAGCTCATGCTCGCCATCGAGAGGTCGTCATCCGGCCACGACCACCTTTCTCCTGTCATCCCGAACAACAGATTCTCAGCACCCCCGACTCTTTTCGTCATCACAATCCCCTCGTGTCTCACCATACAAATCCTCAGTTCACTGAAACCTGCGCTCAGATGGCTTCAGACGCCAAGCCCGAGCCCCCGCCCGCCGACGAGAAGAATCCAGAGCAAAAGAGCACTGCGCTAGGCGAGGACGACGAATTTGAAGATTTCCCCATCGACGGTACACATCCCCCCCCCAATGCCCTGGCTTCCCTCCCTCTCACCTCGCCACCGCTCCATGGCACCAGGGAACCGTGGCTCGCCCATAGACTACAGAGAAACGAGCTGACTAAAAGCAGACTGGCCAGAGGACCAAACCGAGGCGGCCCAGGGAAACGGCGAGACGAAACACCTGTGGGAAGAAAGCTGGGACGATGACGACACGACGGACGACTTCTCCACGCAGTTGAAGTGAGTGCTGCGCCGACGCGTCCGTCGTCTTGATGACGAAAGAGAACCCCTTACAGCTCGTTGGAAACTAACCTGCGCAGGGAGGAGCTTAAGAAAGTCGAAGCCTCGAAGCGAAGATAGGATGAGAACGTAGAATGGACTAGATGATTATGAATATACACAATGGACCACGACGTGGAAGTGTATGTGTGCGTGCGTGCATGCTGCGCATGCGGTGATGGGCTTGCACCGGCTGGCTGGCTTTTGTTGACGAGCTCACTGTGTTCACCCCGACGGACGAGTGCGATTTTACAACTTGATTCATGTTTGAAACTAAAAAAAGCGACTTTTCTGATTGTTCTTGCCCGTCAATTGACCCTCAGCCACCATGTCTTATATAGTATTCGATGGCCGATGGTTTCTGGCTCGTCTGGTTTACTTACTCGAGAGAGCAACAACGCCAGGGAGCTCCTTGCCCTCGAGCAACTCCAGACTGGCACCCCCGCCCGTAGACACGTGGCTAAGTTTGTCCTCGACACCGTACTTGGCGGCGACGGTAGCGGTGTCGCCACCACCAATGATGACAATCTTGCCATTCTCGCAACCCTTTACGGCAGCGTCGAGGATGGCCTTGGTGCCGCTGGCAAACTTGTCGAATTCAAAGACACCCGCGGGGCCGTTCCACAGGATGGTCTTGGCCTCCTCGACGGCCTCTTTGAAGAGGGCGGACGACTTCTCGCCGCAGTCGAGACCCATCCAGCCGTCCGGGATACCATTGTCGTCCGTGGCGTAGCCAGACTCGGCATCTTTGGAGAACTTGTCGCCGGTGACGAAGTCAACAGGCAAGACAACCTTGACATTGTTCTTCTGGGCCTTTTCCATCAGATCTTTGACGTTTTTGGAGCCGGCCTCGTCGAACAGTGAGGAGCCAATGGGCATGTCGTTGAGCACCTTTTTGAAAGTGAAGGCCATGCCGCCACCGATAATCAGCGTGTTGACCTTGTCCAGCAAGTTGTCAATCAGCTGGATCTTGTCCGAGATCTTGGCGCCACCTAGGATAGCCAGGAATGGACGCTGAGGAGACTCGAGAGCCTTGGCGAAGTAGTCAAGCTCCTTCTTCATGAGGAAACCGGCAGCCTTCTGGGGCAGGTCAATGCCAACCATGGAGGAGTGAGCACGGTGAGCGGTGCCAAAGGCATCGTCTATTCAACCGGCTGGTTAGCTTCCTGCTGGAGAATTACCCCCCCGCCAAGGGAAGAGTGGGTTGTAAAATCTCACTGATGTAGACGTCACCAAGGGCAGTCAAGCCCTTGCGGAACTCCTCAACCTTGGCCTTGTCAGCCTTGGTCTTGTTGCCGTCCTTGTCCTTGGAGCTGCCCTCCTCCTCAATGTGGAATCGCAAGTTCTCGAGCAAAACAACAGCACCGCCGTCGGCCTTGTTGACAACGGTCTCAACCTCGGACCCAACGCAATCGGGAGCAAAGGTGACGCTCTTTCCCAGTAGTTTCTCGAGCTCGGGAACAACGGGCTGCAGGGAGTACTTTGGGTTGGGAGAGCCGTTGGGACGCCCGAGATGGGACATGAGGATGACCGACTTGGCGCCATGGTCGATGGCATGCTTGATGGTGGGGACGGCACCGACGATACGCTGGTTGTTGGTGATTTTTTTGTTCTCATCGAGGGGAACGTTGAAGTCGACCTGCATACTGGGTGATTAGCGCTTGCCTGGCTCTTGTTTTCGGCCACGCAGTTTCATCTTGCGACACTAAAGTGGTGGCTGAGAAACTCCGTTGCCCGCTTCCGCCGGCTCGCGCGGAGCATTGAAAGTCGACAATCGGTGCAGATTGAGGCTAGGAAAAAAAAAGCCCAGATACGTGCGTGATATCTCCTTGGTCTCGAGATCCCAAAACTACTACTCTCATGTCCATCTCGCGGGACGAGCCCATGCACTCAGACGCAGGGAGAACAGCTCATGGCTCCCGAACTCACCCGAATCAGGACTCGTTTGCCCTTGACGTCGACGTCGGTGATGGATAGCTTGTTGGCCAGGGACATGTTGCGGGATGCTCGGGATACGGTGAAGAAAGTAGACAGACGAGCTCGTAAGGACAATATTATGAGCAATGGGCTGATTTTACCGATGGTCAAGAACACGGAACGAAAGATGCGCCAAATGGAAAAGAAGCAAGTTTGAGCTATGGAGGGGTCGGCTCTTTGGCCGTTCGAGATTGGTGGGGGGGTGCAGAGGGGCAGAGGGGCAGAGAGCCAGAGGGGCGCCACGTGAACTTGGGCGGGGGCGCCGATTCCTCTACGTCCACATGTCCCATATTGTGGCCAATTCCCTTTGAACGAGAGGGAAGCACCAAAGATCCAACGCCACTGAGCTCGAGAGCAGTGACGTGATGCCGACGTCTTAACTGGCTAGACCACGTCCACTCGAGTTCAAACCTTGCTGGAGCTTGTGGCTGTCAAAAATCACCCCGACGCCGCCCCGTCGTTTGTTGCGTTGGTTGGATGCCGACGTCAGTCACGCTGAGCGGCTCGATGCGCGCTCGTCCATTTGTGAGTTTGTGCACACGGTTTCGCGGCCGAGGACACCAGACCCAACGTGAATGCTAGCAAATTCCAATTTGCACACACGAAAACTGTACATCAAAGTATGTATCACAAAACGGCCGGAATGCTCCAACGCCAAACCGTCAAGACGCTGCCTGTCCCAAGTAAAACGTCGAAATTGCAACCCGAATCAAAGACATCTAAATGTGTATGTGCCATGGCCAGTCCGATAGCAAGGCCCCATGGCCGTATTGACGGACCACGTGCTGCGGAATCCGCTGGCCATTCAATGTGGTGCATGTGGTGGACCGTTTCTGGTAGCTGCTCCATTTCACACGCATCTCATGCCCGATTTTTTAATGCATCTAGTCGGAGGCGTTGGTTAGAGACAAGTACGCCGTCCAAGCGATGCCAACAGTCGATACGAACGGCTACGCAGCGCAGATGCTAGTCAGTAAAATGGTGATTGATATGCCGAGGCCGGGGGAGTGGTCCATCATTCAGGGATGGACTAGTCAAACTTACCAGCTGAAACTGTACGGGCATGAGGCGGAAGTTGACAATCTGCACAGCCGGCCAGACCACATAGTTGGCCTTGAGGGTAGGTACATACATGTCGCGGAGCTTGCTGCTAATGGCGCGACGTCCACCACCTTCGGCAACGGTCATGGCGACAAAGAACAGGCCCACACCGAAGGGGGCATACACAAACTGATCAAACACGACGCGCTTCGTGGCTGGCCCAAATGCGCTGGTCTTGGTGATGGGGAAAGCTCGTTCAAGGAATCGAAACCATTTGAACTGAAGGGGCGCGACGCAGAAACCATAGGCCATGAAACGGGTCAACCGCTCAAAGTCAAAGGCTGCTGGCGGGGCCTTGGGGTTGGGAATAAAGTCGCGTTCAAAGTCTGCGCTTTTGCGGTTGAGTTCGTGGATCTCAATGGAAAACTCGTCCTTATCTGGGCCCAAGCTCTTCTGAGAAGCGCGTGTTCGTATAGCAGTGATGCTCTGGGCAACGGTGTCGGCGACGCCACCCAATATGGCATTGGTGACCATCATGGTCATGACTACATTTTGGGCAGTGGTTAGCCATGTCGGTGGAAATCATGAGCGGCAGGACTGTCTGTAGGCGCATGCATGCGTACGTGGTCGTTCTTCATAGTATGTATTGAATCTCGCCGTCAATCGAGCGATGAGGGCCATCTCGATTAAGAAGACGATGGCATGGAGAATCGGCTGGGAGAGAGGACGCGGGTTAGATGGACTGCAAAAGAAACGCCAGATCCAGGGACGCCACATGTTGACGTCGATGGGCTGAATCCAATCTCGAGGACGAGGATGCAGACAGTGGAGGCGTAGGCACATCCACGAGAACCGATACTTACTATGCGACCAAAGAGATACTTTTCGTTGATGGACCGGAGGAGCCGTCTGCTGCTGAGTTGCCAGGACATGGCGGGCGAAATTGGCGCGAGGGCAAGGGAGGATGAAAAGGCAGAAAAGGAAGGCGGGCCGAGACTGGGGACGAGAATCGCACCAGCGGGTGGATTCAGCGACTCGGCGATTCCCGATCGATGACGACGCCGACGCGGGCGGTGGTCTAAGGCTGCAGGTCGGACGTCTTTGTTGCGCGGGGTGAAGGAGGCAACAAAAGAAACAGAGGCAGAAGCGATGGAAGCCGCAACAGAAGATGTTGACGAGGCAGAGAGATTGGCGGCGATGGGGATCGGATTGCCAAGGTGGCCAAAAGGACTGACGACGGTCGGTTCAGGGTTTGTGGTTTGTGGTTTGTGGTTTGTGGTTGGTGGTTGGCGACGCACTGTACGGAGTACGGCCACCTGCCAAGCCGCCTGACCGCCTGACCGACTGCAGTGTGCACCGTCTGGATGGCACGGCGGCACGGTGGGGACATGGATGCAGTGACGACACAGTGGGGACATTCATCCTACGGTGGCTTGAGGCGCGTCTTTGATGCCTCCGTCTTTGCTTTCCTGCTCGAGATGAGCCGGGTTTGCAGGTGGGTATATTTCTATTTGACAGCTGCAAACATGTAAGGCCAAGTTTATCAAGGGCCAACAGTTGTCCTAGATCGTACGGAGTAAGTCGGCACAACCTATGAGCCGATTCGGGGCGAAAACCCAATGGGCGGAAAACAACCATCCAAGATGAACGAGTCGAGAGCACGCTTGCGCAGCTCCTTACTACCCTTTCTTTCGTTCACTTCTTATACGTTGACTACGTTTAAATTCGCATTCCTGCTCCGGCAGCTCATGCGTCTTCTTGACTCACCATCTAGCATAGCGAAAGGCGTTTTCAGCGCAGCTATGTTTTCAGAATCCGTCGAGGGTGCTCAACCGGTTAAAATCATTCTTGTCATGTCCTGCAACGATCTCGTTGGCAATGACTCGATTACCGCACCACTCCTCAATACAAAAACGGCAGTAGCTTGCAAGTGTTTCTTCTTGGTGTATGACTGTGGATCTTTTAGGAGGCAAGTCAAGACTTGGCATCACAGAATTAAAAAGATCAGAGCGTGCTTGCTTGTGATGTTGAGTTTGAATATTGATAGAGGGTAATTGAGTTTATTGAAACCTTGGAAGTATTCTTGTGTATTTTCCGTAGGTAGGAACTAAGCTCCATGCCCAAGTCAAAGCTTGGGGCATGGCATTATGACGCGGCTTCAACATCATTCATGTTGTGTAGTTGGTGCGTGGTCGGCGGACGCGTGCAGCGTCCAGACTGCCGCCCGGCTCTTGGGCATTGACAAGACAGTGAATGAAGCTTGGGGTAGGATGTTGGAGTGTTTGGGGAGTTTTACATGCGGCAGATTTGATCAAGTTATACGTCACTACAAGTCCACATTCCCACCCCCAGTGCCTGGCCTCGTTTGTCTTTCGGGAATGAATCTTCGCGCCATCGCAATTTACAAATGATTCATCCTCCAAGGACTGGACTACGTATGCCAGACACCTCGATGGACTGCCAACCGCACAATTTTACTGGTCGACGCGTCAAGGAATCGCAGCAACAGCAATATGGCACGCGTCCATCAATGTAAACCCGCTCGCAATCGGGCAATCGAGCAAAGAAAGTGGCCCAGATACCTCGTTCTCATGCAGCGCACCAACAAATAGGCAGTTGATCAAGTGCACGACATATACCCGCTAGTACTGGCACAATATCCAACCCCCTTGCTGCATTCCTGTCACGTCTTGTCCGCTCACGTAGAATGCCAGCATCTACAACACGCTCAACTTTTGACAAAATCTTGGTGCTGCAGCCACATGTACAGGAGGGATGGATCCAAACCAGGCCTGGCTGGAGAGTAGGAGGCCGACCACGCCTCCTGCACACATAACATCGTAACTATATAAAGGCAGTGTAGCCACCGACATGCTGGCACGGGAAGAGACATATAAAAAGAAGAGAAGCCAGCAAAAAGGGCCAAAAAGAGGGGGAAAGCAAGAAAGAAGAAAGACCTCATCACGAAGCAGAAGCAAAAACGACCAACAGGACTTGACACACCAATATTTTTACTCTTTCAGATCTTTTAAACACATATAAGACACACCTTGTACCAATTCTTTCTTCTTTCAAGCCGACTGCTCATCATGAAGTCTAGTCTTGTTGCCGTTGCTCTCGCCCTCTTGCCTGGCACCGCCGTGGCAGGTCCCGCCGCCGTGCGCCAGATACTAGCCATGGACAATGAGAAGGAAGCCCCTGGCCTCGCCAAACAGCAGACGGACGAGATTGACGATTTCGTGACTAGCCTGCGCAAGCGAAGTCCGCAGGCTCTGGATTCTGATGGCGACGGCATCGACGATGTCTCTGAGGAACCCGACGCGACGGAAACCCCAACTGATGCCCAAACGGGAGATTCCGATCCTGGGAACCCGGGCAACGATGGCGAGTCCGTTGAAAATGGCGGTGTGGATCCAGATCAAGCTCCGGTTGACGATTGCCCTATTACTTCATCTATTCCATCTGAGACTGACAATAGCGCTGTGACTGCTCCAGCAGCGGGAGCCGGTGACGGTACCGGCAACGCACCAGCTGGAGCCACGTCGCCGACGACAACAACAACAGTAACGGTAACGGCAATCCCAACGGCAGCCTCTGCTCCTGGTCGTGGCTTCCTGGGAGGTGGTTTCCCAGGAGGGGGTATCCTGGGCGGCAGCATTATTCCCGGAATTTTGTAAATAGAGATTAAACGCTGTACAGTGCTACCACAGGAGACGCCGTGGGCTCTGAAAGCTGCCGGACAGGTTTGGGATGAGAAATGTGACATACTTTTTTTTTTTTTTTTTTTTTTTTTTTTTTTTTTGGACCGCGTCATTGACTACGACGGTTTGCCATGCCATCGCTAGACGGCACGGCTGTCAGCCCGCAGGCGTCTCGTACTTTTGCTAGGAACTAATCTGTTGGCTTTTAAATAGCCCGTAGTCCGCCAACGTGAACCTAAGAATCACTTAAAAGTCAGTAATTGGTCATTTTGGTTCTGGGAGTTATTTGGCGCGCAGCCATGCTCCCTTCCTAGAGCATCACCATTGACATTTACTATATAAATGTGAATATTACTCGAACCCCCAAGTGGTCTCGTAGATCAATGGCTTAGATCGCGGCTTTCCGGTGGCCGAGGTTCCAGGTTCGAGTCCTGGCGGGATCGATTTTTTGCCCACACCACGGCAGTCCGAACTTGGTTTGCCCAGTCGCAAAGATAATTTTTTTAACGGCGTCCATCGATCGGTTGGTTAGTGCTATGATAATGCATGGATTCTCCTTGCCCCTTACAGCGACTCGAGGTACGTACTTGCAAGAGGTCCTCCTCCGAGCCGGCCCGTTATCGCGCTCGGCAGTCAAAGAGACAACGGCTACCTGGTGTTAGAGAGCTTGCGAGCATACAAGCATAGACGTGCAATGTAATAAAGATGATCCATCTCTTCTTGGCCAAGTCCGACATGCCGCATGCCCCAAAATACGCCGACGGTCCCGCAGTCCATCTTTTCCCGTCGGTAGGAGGAAGGAGCATCTGTCATTGCCATTGCACGTACGGAGTAGACGTTGAAAAGCATTCCACCGCTTCAACGTCTCGGTCGACCAAGCGTCGAGAAAAGCAGCATTCCTGGCTTTGTCCCCTCCGCCAGGACATGCCGCAAAGCAATAACGAGAGCGGGAATAAGGAAGAGACAGAACCATGGCGTTGGATTTTTCAAATCATGTTTCAACAAAGATGCGGCACGACTTTCTTGGCCCCCATCGCAGTGTCTCGTCGCCCCACATGTCTCACTCAATCAATCTGCGACAAGTTCGATGCAGAGAGCATCGTCTCGATAAGCCTACAATAGAGCCAAGCAGATCTGCCTCGGTGCCGTTTATGTAATCAAAACTTGAATTATCGGTTCCCATCCTTCGCAGCCCACACCCTCCTCGCTCTTCCCAGCTCTACGCAGCGGTCAGGAGTGGTGTTGGACTTCCAGCCCCTACAGGACAGGCGCAACGCACGACTCAAGCTGTTGTTCATTCCAAGCGCGGGTGTTTGAACCTTCAGCACCATCAAGGCAGGAGTTGTGCATTGCAAAACACGACAAAATCAGCAGAGACAGTGGGGAATCGAGCAGATGCAAGAGCAGATCAAAGACTTTTTGTTCCTCGGCATGATAGCCCTCGTGTAAATATCCGGGTGACATTGGCACGGGACCGTCCCTAAGCAACTCGGATTGGCAGCGTCTTCTCCTGCTGACCATGCCCCCCGAAATGCCCATCGCTGGGACTGTCAAGCGACGGGGCCATGATGCCGTGGATGGGCTCAAAGTCGGACTGCTCACCCAGTCCAGGCGGGGGGAATGCGCGATTCAGCCCCCAGAACACGACGAAGCCCATGGCCAGGCCGACTACAAAACTCAGGTTGTACAGTCGGATCCAGGCCGTCCAGGCCGGATCCTCAGTGGCATTGACAGAGGCCGCGAGACCGGCTGCAACAAGTCGTGTTAGCTGGCCGGACATGGACCTCCTGCACAAGTATGGACGGATGGATGCGTCTTACGGATCATGGGCCATGCGCCCATGGAAAAGGCCGCGAGGGCGCGCCAGTTGAATCCGCCGTCGTACCAGTAAATCGACGAACCGTCTCCGCGGTAAAGGTCGCCTATCTTGAGCTTACGTCGCCTGATGACGTGATAATCCGCAAGCATGATGCCGCTGCGTTGGCTGTCAGACACCCGCGCCGATTCTTCCTACTCTGTTATGGACTGTACTCACGTCAGGGGGGCCAGAAAGATGCCAAAGCCGCCGAGGACCTGGAGAAATTTGGCAGCAGTGGCGAGCAATTGCCACGGCCTGTTCCTTGTCAGCAGCTTGCCGGGCAACAGCCGCACAAGACAGCAGGGAGGTGAGAATTACTGAACGGCGATGCCAATGACGGCCATGAGGGCGGCTCCGCGTCGGATGTTGATGTAGCGAGGCCAAAGGCCGGCCATGTCCATGCCGCACGACATGGCGTTGAGGACGACGGAGATCTAAGATCAGCGCATGTGAATAGCCGTCAGCGGTTGCACGACGCTCGATATGCGCAGAGTCTCCGAGCTTCTTACAGAGAGCTGAGAAGCAACGAGGCCCAATCCGCCAAAGAAGACGCCGGCCCGAACGCCAGCGCCCGACCCGTAGTATTCCTGCATGGCGGCAAGCAGGTAAATGGGATTCCAAATGACGACGTCGCCGCCGAGGACGTCGCGTGAGGCGCTGGTAACCACGATGCCAATGATGGCAGTGACGGAAATAGTCAGCGGCGTTGCGACGAGCTGCGACGGCACCGGCGCCAATTGCCTCGTTGCATATCGAGTCCAGTCCGATTGGCCCAGAGTGCCTCCGCCCCAAGCTCCCAGAATGGCAGTCAAGCTGAACATGAAGGCCCATCCCAGGTTGGGTGCCGTCCCAGGCTCCTGGAACATGGCTCCGGGACCATTGGCCTGGCTGACAGACCTTGATTTTGTCCAAGTCAGCACAATGGCCCAAGCAGCGGTGTGTTGTAAACAACTCAAGTTCGGCCAATTTGGTCCTACCATGTGAGCAGACCGAAGGCGGTGCAGCAGAAAAGAACAAAGCAAACGGCGAACGGAAGCTGTAGCCGTTCGGGGCGGATCAGGATTGCCGGTACAAAGGCGCACATCCAAACCACCAAGCCGATAAAATCCTTCGTTTCGAGGTGAGAGCTGGCCGAAAAGGAGTTGGGCAGACGAGCGAGGCCTTGTCGAGTCTCGTGTCAGAGTCACGCCCGGCAGATGGCTTTGCATCAAGGCCTTGATGACCCATGGAAGAACTTACCGGGAATGACGGCTCCGATGCAAACTCGAGTAGCCTGGCCGCCCCAGAATGCCTGGATGCCGAACCACATGGATGCGATAAAGACGCGCAGGATAACAGGAACTGCCGGTTGGAGTCTGATTAGCTCATGGGCCCAACATGCCATGAACAGGGAACCGGGCGATGAACTGACAGTATGACCCTCTCATTCCCCACGAGAATCGACTGCAAACCGTATAGCCAATGTAGTGTTGGGCACCCATCCAACCACAGGCCACCGCGAGAAGACCGGTAATAACGCCGCCAAGAACCTTGGTTAGAACTGCACGTCAGTCACCGCTGGTAGTGCATGGACGCGCCAACCGGTACTTACCACGGCCGCGATGGCTTGTTGTGGAGTGAGCCCGAATGCCAGCAGCGTGCTTCCGACGCTCCAGGCCGAGATGTTCGAGCCCGAGACGGTCCAGTATGCTGTCAAGATGTCAGAGGAAACTGTTGTCGCAACAGTCAGGACAACCACGCAGCCAGGTGCCTTACCCATGTACGAGATGGCGCCATAGGTTCGTCTTTCCTGGGGAATGGGAATCAGGTCGCGATTACACCATGTGGTGTTTTCGTAGTTGGCGTCATCGTCTTTGGGACTGTTGGAGGCAAGCAGAGGTCAGCTGCGGCGAACCTGCACAAGGCGGACGGGCAAGGTAGGTGAATCATCAGGTTGTACAACCATTGTAAACGCTCCCTCAGGGACGTGTTTCGTCTTTGGTCCATTGCGAGAGGAAATTTGCCCCCGGCTTCTGGTCGCGGTCTTGAATAGCCCGTCGCCGATGCCGCCGCCGCCGTCGTCGTTGTCGTCATCCACAGCGGCGTCGTATCTCCCGACAATGTTTATAACGGTAGTGTGGCCAACACAGACATGCGGGCAGGGACCTTTGTGGTTTATCAGCTTGGGAAGGGCTATTATTGTGATATCCACCCAGGCCTAGAATGGGAAAGCTGAAGAGAGGAGTCTGCGTACCTGTAGGGACAATACGTAAAACCCTGTGGTTGACCGAGAAAGCACACCATGTCGTACCAAGGCAAGGTACGGAGTACTCCGTATACTATACATTCATATACCGGCTAACCCTGGCTCAAATCCTGGTAACGTTAGAGGGGCAAGGAAAGGCGTCTTCTGTTGGTTCAAAATTTGACCCTCCTTGTGAGCCCCAGTTTCGTCTCATGTCGGCCCGCACGTCATGTTCTGCATGCCGGGCATGTTTGCCTTGCCAAGTCATCCCACCGTCTCCATTCTCGCTTCCCACCATAGGACGGAGCGTTCGGCGGTTCCGGCGAGCAGGCAGGCAAGTTCGTTGGTTGGTGGGGGCCGAGGCGATAGCCATGATTACCTCCGTCTTGTCGTGTGAGCAGTTGAGACCTGGGCTTCTTGAAGAGTCCGCTTTGAGACTGGTCATGCCGGATGGGATCCCCTTGTCTAAGTTTGTTCTCAGGTGGGTAATCACATCCATGTAGCGATAAGTTTACATGCCGCCAAGGGATGGTGGAGGCTGTAATATCGCACAACACATTAGGTTCCCGCTGGGGCCTGCAGACATCCGCAGCCCCACGTGTTACCTTGTAACAAACATGTATTAAGTTGCATGATGAGCGTCACATTGGCGAGCTCCTTCGTACTATGTAAGTGGGAAACCAGGCGAAGGATTGCGAAAGCTGTCATTGTCGACAAGCGAAGTTCCTGTTGTTGACAAGGCAGAGGATCCAACGGCGGGACGTGATCCATTTGTTCCTTAAAGCAGGACATACTGGATGACCCGGTGACTTGACCTGACATCTGCGTAGCATCGCTGCCCTTCGACCCTGTCCGTACGCAAGGAAGAGGAGAAAGACATGATGCGGAGCACCACACAAAGTCCATTGTGGGACTGGTAACAATATACAAGAACGGGGCCGCAAGCTGTTCTGCGCCAAGTCATGTCAACGCCATAGTCTTTCCTGTGGGCTTGTAAATTTTTTTGCTTCCCTGTTTGAGAAGTGCTCCTTTGGCTCCCGCGGATACTGGGCAAGAAAGTACTCTACTCGCAGTTTTGTTTCAGAATACCGAGTGAATGTGCGGAGATGAGCTTGAGCAACTTCACATCGGCAAAGGAGTTCATTTGAGAAAAAGAGAAGACACTGTTGGTGCGACCGTCTTCCTTTCTACGGGCATCATATATTCGTTATTTCTACAGATCGAATAGTCAGATGCATTTTGTTGGGGAAAAATCATACGTCATAGAGACTCGTCGGCGCCTTTAAACCAAGACGGCTTTGTTGAGTGCTGTTTCAACATCGGATCGGCGAAAACCAGCGGATCTGCCTAGGCAAAAGGCATTGCTGAGCAATGCTAGGCAAATGAGTCACCAAGCGTCGGGGGAGGATCCTTCGAATTTTTGTTTTGGAAAGGAACCATCCCGGAGGTCAGCTTGTGTGCATTAGCACGGGCTTGTCCTCGTGGTGTGTTGTCGTTTAAATCACCCGCGGTGCCGGCGGCAGCCACAAGTTTGACGTCTCTCTCCACGAGAAAGCACTCGACATCCTGCATGTCAAACCAGTCGCCATTGAGCTGTTTCTGTATATCGGGGGAGAAATCTGACAGAGGGACAGATCTTGCCTGCCAATGGCGGGATCGGCGCCTATAGGGACCCAGTTCCGGCGGCCAAGTGTAGTGGGTTCCGGCACCGCCAAGTTGAAAAAAGGGAACCGACCTCCAGCGATTGCCTAGTTCGTTCTAGATGATCTCGGCATGCAGAGCTGCGGCAAAGTAGGCTGCGAGGCAGCCACGGCCATTGCTGGATACAACAGTCCAAACTTTCGCCGAATGCCTTCAGCCGGAACGGAAGGATTAGTCAGCACCAGGTATCCGTGGTAAAGGATGGCCATGGGTAGTTGATCCATGAATGCAGAGCACTGGACGGGAAAATCTGCTTGCGAGTCTTGCGTACTTGGCCGTGTTGCAGGCTGGGGTAGCAAAGATTGCATAAAGAGCTCCGGATCTCATGACGGCTGCCCGAGCAGACTGTTAGCGACACGTGGTTCCTCGATTTTGCATCTGTTTTTTACAGACTCGCTTGGGCTTGATTCCCCTTAATCGTCGGAATTGGTGGTTTTGGCCAACCGCAAGCATTTCTCCAACGTCTCCCGAGTACAGCTCAGATTGGCGTGAGGCGCAAGAACACCAGATTGAAGAAGAGAGTCGCTCAAGGTGACAACGGTGGTGCTCATGTCCTCAATGGCCTGCTCTAGTTCAGATACATTTTGGGTCAGGAAGGATATTCTGGATTCTTTGCACAGGCGATAGGCTCGTTGGGCCTCACGTATCTGTCTCTTCCTCCTCTTCGTCCAAGGCAAGATGGGCAACTTAGCAATGCTGCTGTTAGAGCGAGCCTAATTTCGTGACGACTCACTTCTCTTGATCCCTCCGGGCCAACGCTGGGTTGTCTCTCTGACGCAGTGGTCTTGAAAAAAGACGTTGCAGCAGATTGGTGTCTTGGAACAAACGTAGGCTGCGGATTATGACGACTCATCAAGTTGCCGAGGCCCCCGGCATCAGCTCCACACAGGCTGGCTCCAGTCTCACGGTCAATATCTAGGTCGAACGACGAGGGCCGTGGGGAATCGCAAGCAGGAAAGTTGGTTAGAGTGTTTGGGGCAGTCGGAATAGGGTAAGTGCGCGCCGACAGGATGGCCATGAGGTCGCTGTTGGCCATGTCGACATGAGACGGTGCAGGCCGAGGTGTCGACAGGGCGGAGGCGGAGAGCTGGTCCGGTGCCGTGCCTGCAGCCCGCGCCGCCACGTCGTCGTTCCTGTCTCGGCTCACTCGCTGGTTGTCGGAAATAATCACGTTGAGACTATCTGTAGCCGGCGACAAGGGGCAGGCATGAAGTCGGGTCAAGTTGCCGTACAAAACGGCCACGGATCTGGTGTCGGCCCGAGGGCTGGGTGGGCAGGGGCGACCCTTACTATGTAGGATGAAACACGTGACACTAATGCGCAAGAGCCAGGCATGGCATGCATCCGAATAGATGCCTTTCTTGCTAAATTATCATGCATGACAAACATCCACCCATCGTCTATAGACAGTGTACACACACTCCGGAGGCCTACATGTATCGATGCGTCAGCGTCGGAGCGCGGGAGAGGCGAGACATGGGCCGAGGTGGCGGCCCGGGGAAGACAGCCGCAGGCGGGACTTGGACTGATTGGTTGGCTGGCTCCATGTGCGGGGCCCCCGCGCGCAGAGCTGCCATTCTGGCCTGGCTCTCCTCCGCCCTTCGGCTTCGTGTTCTCCTTCGACGGACACACGCAACACCGCACCACGCCGCCAGCACCACCGCAACACCTCCAATCACCACTATGGCAATGAAGGCGCTCCTGTTTCTGTTGATCCATTCGCTGGCTCCGCCGCCTCCGCCGCCACTTTCCGCCGCCCGACACGTCCCGCCGTAGCAGAGAGATGCTGTCCCGGCGCCGCCACACGGCGTGCCGTCCAGGAAGTCGGCCCCCGTCACCCGACATGACTGCGAATCCGAGTTCGATCCTGACCCCGTGGGAGAGCAATTCATTTGGCAGCTGTTGAAGTCACAAGCCGACGCACTCGCCGACCGGCCGGTCGAGTTGAAAAGCACCAGGCTGCATTGCATGCTGCGCGACGTGCATTGTCCCGAGGCGCATGTGGTGCCGTTGTTCCCGTCGCCACACGACTGTCCATCAGGAAGCCGGACATCCGTCGGGCACGAGGCTGAAGATCCATTGCACGATTCTTCCGGGTCGCACGGCCCAGTACTCGCTCTGCAAACACTGCCGCTGCTCGATACCTGGCACTGTGACGTGCAACAGCCGTCGTTGGAAGGATCGCACGCGGCGCCGTTGACGAGCTGGCAAGTTGCTGGATTACAACATCGACTGCTTGCGCCGCAGCCCGCTTCTCCTCCGCAGTCGCACTCCTCGCCAGGCTCGACGACGCCGTTGCCGCACACTCCACTTGAAATCGTCCTCACATTCTCATTGTCCGACAGACAAGACGTGCGGATGAGGTTGCGCTGCATTGCGGTGCAGATGGTGGCAATGGTACATGGCGAGAACTCTGTCATGCTGGTCGAGGCCGCCGGGTTCATGATATATCTCCCATTCGCGTCACAAGCACTCCCGCTGAGAGGGCAGCATCGCTCCGAAGAGGCAGAGCGGCATTCTGCCGTGCAGTCATGGACCGCTCCAAAGTTGTGTCCGAGCTCGTGTGCCAGGACCTGCCACTCGGATCGCGTCCTAACAACCACATTGGCTCCTGGCGCTCCCCTCGACTGGCTGTCGCCTCCGTTGCATGCGGTTCCGATCCAGGCGATGCCGACAGTTGAGCCGGACGGACATGCACTGAACAGAGACCAGACTGCGTTGCCGTCTGGTCCCGTGCTGCGTTTCCAGCTGGTGAGGCGCTGGAGCCGACCTGAGATGTCTACTTGGCCACCGCAATCCAGATTCCACGGCGTTGAACTCGAAGCACCGCTGCTCGGGCAGTTTCGGTCGCTTATCGTCAGGTTTTGTACCCTCAACGACATGTTGAAGCTCCGCTCGTACAGCCCAGACGCAGTATTCACAACCGACAACACATGTTCGCGGAGCTGGTCCGACGATTCGAACTGTGCTGTGTAGGAACAATCCGTGGCGATTCCAAGCAGTGCAATTTTCCGCGACGTGGGACAATCGGGAGGCGATCGAACTAGGCTGCCGAGGTCCAGACCACTTAAACCGCCGCTCTGGCGTCTCGCCATGTCCTTGTTGCCAGTCGCCAGACCGAGATGGACCTTGTTGAAGTCGAGTTCGGAAATAGGGCACGTCACATTATTTTGCTGTCTCTTTTTGAGTTCGAGGCCGAGGTATGGCAGCTGTGAAGACTCTGTCCATGCCACCAAGCGCGGACCTGAGCCTGCTTCAATCGAAACATCCGGCTCCCCGGGAGATCGTGTTCTTCGGTAGGTGGAGTCCTGCACAACATGATACTCAATGCCGTTGATGCTGAATGCACCTTCACCGAGTTGCTCTCCGTCCCTCACAGAGAACGACATCCTTGCCCATCCCGAAGGGGACACTGTTTCTGCCTGTCTCCCTCCGTCTTGCTCCAAGCGTGCCGTGCCGCGAAATGCTAGGTGGCTGCCCGCCGGTATGGTGGCAACCGACTGTGTGGACCCGTCCGCTCCAACATGACGTACAACAACGGGGTGCAAAAAGAGATCGTCATTCCGTTGCAGATCCAAGATGACCTTCTCGTGCAGGGCGCCGCGGATGAAGAAGGACATTCTTACACTCTGCGATGCCGATCTTGTGACGAGCTCCGAATACTTGACCCCATCTAGGCGGAATACCTCTCGATGGTTGTCATTGCGGAACGATTCGCCTGCAGATTATGAGATTTTGTCAACACAGCCATGGGCCAAGAGAAATAACATCCAAACACCACACAGTGAAACACGAACCATTGCTATGCCGTATCAGCAACAAAAGTATGACCCAAAACGCGGGCAATAGATTGGGTATCTGCATTCTGTTTGAACTGCAGCGGGGAAGAAGAAGAGAAAATCATCCCGGCCCGGTCTGACTGTTCACCAGGGACAAGGTGAGTGGCAACGCATGATGATATATGTTTTGTTAGAATCTGGCGTCGCATTCCGGGCGTCGTTGACGACGAAGGACGAAAGAAACGAAACTTGGCGGCCAAGAACTTGCATAGCCTCCGCGCGAGGCCTTTTTTTTTACGGCCAAGCCAAGGCGCAGACATGAAGAAACGAAACTTCGGGGTCTATTTCGTGCGTCGTCCTATTTCGTGTGTGGTAAACATTGGGTCTCTCTCTCCAAGCCCTGCTTCTTGACTACTGACCACTGGCCAACGCGGCCTCTGGCCTCATTCTCCCGATGGTTTTGAGACGGCGACTGCTAAATGGCGTAAACTTGGCCCTCCGGCTTGAAGTGCAGGTCCACGGACGGGGACAACCAGCTACGGGAAATACCATTTACCATTCATGTCTGACCAGACAGGAGGCTCAAGTCACAGTCAGCCATGACTGTAAGCTGCATAAGGGATCGGCTTGCTACCAAGAACGGACGACTACAGGTCGAGTCGATTCTGACATGAATTGTCAGCAGCCAACATACGCGGCAACTCAGCCACCACACACAGCTAGTAAGCCTGCTTCGGAAGCCCGTTCCCGTCGTGTAGTCTGGATGAGCCACGCGTCCGTGATCAACGCACACTTGACCCGAAGCTTTTACAGTTTCATGGTTCGAAACGGGTCTTGGCGGAACCACAATATTGGAGTAGTGCTCCAGTCTCCGTCCAAGGGGACGACGCCAAGTAGGCCGATAAATCCGGGGACAATTAATATTCTGAGAACTGCAAGTCTCCTCCCGCCCACGCCAATGCCGCCAATGCAATGCCAGTACGCGTACGCGCCAGTCGCCCGGGTCCACGTCAGGTTTTAGTCCTGCGTCTTGGGTGCTGGCTGGAGTCTTGGCTGCCGACCAAGGCCTTCGAGATAGACTTCCGTGCGCAGATGTGTGCGAAGCCTTGGCACCGCGGCCTTTGTCGCAATCCTGTTGCGTCCAAGGTACAGTATTATACTCCGCATGGTGGCTTGTTTTGCTTTGCTTCATAAGCGTATTTGTCAGCCTTTGCGACGAGTGCAGAGTTGTGAGTCGGACACAGCCAACTGCTGCCACGCGTGGCACGGCATGAGGAATCTGGTTTGCAGCCCTAAACAAAAACTCTGTTTCTCGGGCTAGCAAAGTGCTCGTCTCCCGCGCGCGTATGATGAGGCAGGCCCTGGCTTCACGTGCCCCATATTCAGAAACATGGCGCAGCGCGGGAACGCTTGCCTGCCCGTGTCCCAACGCTAGACTTGACCAGGACATGCGGCAACTCGATGTAGATGCGGATTTTTTCCAAGACAATATTATCAAACTCTTCTTTGTTCCTGTAATCTATTGTCGCAGCACACCTGCTTATATGTGCTTGACTGTTAAACGGAAAAGCCTCAACTATATGACTAGCTGCAATACATAAAGGTTGCAGCTATCACAATAGCCTAATTAGCTACTAATAGGCTTAGGCGCTAAGGTATTAGGGCAATAAGGCCTAAAGGGCATAAATCTCTTTATTGCCTAGTTAAGTTATATATATAGGCACTATTTTATATATAAAACTCTTATTAGTTAGGCCTGTCAAATTAAGAAACTAAGGACCTTAAGACTATATAATGTTATATGTAAATATAAGTAATTTGCTCTGAGCCATGATCAGACAGACCAAGCCCTTGTTACATTGACGACAGCTTTGGCCGACAATTTGCTACCGAAAACCGACGATCCAAATCCACTGTCCCAATCAGAAACCAGTTAACACCAGGAAAACCAAAAGGCAATTTCCATCAGGCTTTGCGCAATAATGTCGGGTCGCCTGTGGTGTTGGGGGGAAATATGAGCTCCTCTTATGCGCCGGTGTCCTTCATTTGATTGAGCATCTCTGCAACCTCCAAAGCTGCCTGGAGAGCTGCCTCAATAAACTTGCGCCTCGCCTCCGCCGCATTCTCAATGCCAGCAACTTGGCTCCCGTCCTGGGTTAACGAGCCTGCACCATCAGGTACCTGTCTGCTGGCAGAGAGCGCCATGCAAGACGTGGCAGCACCTGGCCAAGTTAGCAGCAGCACTAGAGTCGGCCGTGAGGAGCAACAGGGACAACTCACAGGCCAGGGCAACAATCCCAAGGCGGACCATGGGGAGTAGCACAGATAGTTTGTATGTGTGTAGGTGAACTGGAGAGAGGTTGGGCGTTTGGCCTCTTCAACAGTGCAAAGAACACCGGGTAGATATAGTAAGGGAATAGACTGATACAGCTCGGATTTGTGGCCGCGAGTCAGGGATGTATATTAAAGAACTATCCAAAGTGGCATATACTCCACTATTAGGACATGTAGTTGGTAAAGAACATGACGAAGCGTCTTGCCAGAATGTTCCTAGGGGTCCAGGTCCCTCATCGGCCTTTGTTAGACTACCGACTTATTGCGAGGTGCCCTGATCTTAGGACCATGCTGGATTTATACCGATATAATCAGGGACTAGCATATTGAATTGCTTAAATAGACGGGCTGTGGCTGGCACCTGACTTGTGCGGAGCTATAACCCAGACCCTACGCAATATGACAGCAGAGAGCGATATAACAGTACATGAACCCCGAGAAGGTGACGAGATTTCTCTCACCAACTCTTGGGACACGACGCTGGAGGTATACGGCAGTGAATATACCTTTCCTTTGATAGAACAGTACATCAAGGTGAAGTGTGCTGTTTCCGCACAGAAAGTTGCAACAGCAGTGAACAAGGATAGGTTTGGACGTTTCTTGGACGTGCAGGTGAGCTGTAGATGGCCCCTTTCCGCAGGACATGTATATCATGACTATGTCTATATTGGGCCTGTGCACGTGTAAGCAGGAACCAAGGCGATATATATGTATATTTATATATTACAGTTTTATTATAACTCTGACCTGTTAAGGAGTAAGTTATCCGGCACAATATCACTAGATATATTGGACAGCAGATTTCTGCTATACAATGTTACGCAAGTAATAAAAAAACCCGAAACTCGGCCATGTTCTCCAATAGTGAATGTCAGAATAAGATATCTAGCTACTTGCCCCATACAAGCACCTACATCGCCTCACCAGCGACCTTCTTGTGCCGGTGCCTAAAGTTCCGCGGCTCGTGAGATTGTATCATAATGGCAGAAGATGGTGAAAATGGTCTCAACCACGGCTGTTCTTCGCTAGCTGTCTGCATCATGCCCAGGAGCGGTCCTCCAGCACACGCTGCCTCGTATCTACGAACGTAGCTATTCGTTCATCACTTCTCAACGAGGACCTTCACATTGTCCATGTGGGTCTTGAAATGAGCAAGCCTGACGACGGGCCAGGGCAAAAGGCAAACTATCAGCTTACTCTGGTTTTCGGAAATGAATTCTATAGCATTGCTGTGGGGATGTAGCCATGACTCGTGGCATTCCGAGTTTTGATTTTTACAATTTTTATGTGAGCAGACAGGTCGATATCAGGGAGAAGACGATGCTAAAGAAACACCTAGTTTAGAGCAGCCAGTCGAAATATAAATTGCGTGGAATGGTCTGCAAATAGTGCTGGCTTTTCACACTCTTGACCTACTACTGTAGCCGAAATTCTACGAGGCATTTGTCCTCATATTCACTACACACACAGCGGATCGGCGGAGCTTTGCAGGCCATGAAGGCCTACAAATTCATTGCAATCTTTGTAGGGCAGGCCTTTGCGGCTTCAAGCTCGGATCTCGAAACACCGGGCACCTTGAAGGGCACAACCGCAAACGCAGCCAGCGAGCTGCAGCTCAGTGGTCAAGCCACTCAAGTTATTCGAGATGACGCAAAGGCAGCATACCACGACTACAACCCCAGGAGCGTCAAACGCCAGATTACCACGACCCCAGCAATTGTGTATCGTGTAGACACATTGTCCCCCAAGCAAGTCAGGGCACAGGGAGGATTCCCACCTCGGCAGTCGAGTCTGTACGTTGCCGACTTTAGCATCTACGCGCACTCACGAAGTACCCTCACTCACGGGCGGTCGCCGTATGTTTCTACCTCGATCCGTCCGCAGGGGGCGGAAATCTTCGCCGCCCCAGGGCGGGCTTCCTGGCTGTACGAGATTCATGCCACGCCGAATTTTATAGATACTTTTACTTCGCTTGGAGGGGCCGAAATGACGACTTGCGGACAGCCATACTGCTTGCATAGAGCCGAGCGAGAATTCCTGGCAACCGGCGGCATCCGATGGGACCAGGTCATCAGCTCTACTCGTCTGCGTAACGGCAGAGACACACCTGGGAAAGATAGAGTGGTACGGCGCAACAAGGACTACAATGCCATCTACAACGAGCTCAGGGCCGGCGGGCCGCAGTACCAGCTTGCTGGGTTCCCCAAAGGTCACGAGGCGTGGACCAAGGAGCGATGGAGTCCCTATCTGGAGGCAGACATCTCAGAGAGCGGCCTCAGATTCGCAGACGAAAGTGGCAAGGCGGTAGGATTAAGCAGAGACAGTCCGTTGCAGTTTGACATTACGTACAAAGTTGGCAAGGCAAGCGCCTTCTATAGGCCTTCGCCGAAAAAAAACAAAGACCTGCCGCCGTCTAAAGGGAAAGGACAGGAGAATTCTGTGCTTTGCCGACGGTCAGGACAGACGTCACAGGATTGCGACGACCGCCGAGAAGAAGAGGTGGCAGAGGAGGAGCCCCCAGCAGGTGCTAAGCAGATCGAGGCCGCCAGACGGGCTGAGAGCGTATCAGACAAAGAGTTTGTCGAGCTGGCAACAAAATACGAGCTGAGCAGGGTGCCATGGGAGTGGCAAGCAGAGGGTATAAAGTCGCTCTCAGACGTCCGAACAAAGCTCCTTGCGTATAGGCCGATTGAGCCGACTTCGCCAAGATTACGTCCTGGAAATGGCGGCGCAATTATGAAGGTTGTCGGAGAGGCGGGAGAGGCCTTATGGGTAACCTCCGTTGTTCATGCCTTCGTCACAAACTCAACCGCCTTGGGCCGGGCGGCGGCCATCACGGCCATCATCCCCTTTGTGGGCTGTGCTGTCAATACTGCGGCTGAAGTCGAAGAGAGGGAGGACTCTGCCATCATCACCATTGACTCGGCCTTGTGCTTCATTGGTGATGCCTTGATTCTGGGCGGCCTGGTCCCTCTTGGTTTTGTTTTTCACTTGGCTCGAATCATTATCCAAGCCTTTACTCCCCCTCCTGAACCTCCAACCAAGGAGGAGTTGCTCAAGGTCCGCGACGAGCTTTGGAATCATTTTCTCCATGAGCATGTCTTTAGATACATATACTCGCACAGCTACAACGACCCGAAGCAAGAGTTTGCTTTCAAGTTGAATAATACTCTTGCCATCACTTCAAGGAGCGTCGTGTCTGAGGCCGCGCAGACCATCGGCGCGCTTAATGCTAGCAGCGAAATACACGAGTCGTACATGGACTCGGAGCCAGGACTGGATCCAGTGAAGCTCGAGACTGGCTCACGAGAAGCCATTGGAAAGATAAGAGACTCTTTGGCTGCTGAGATTTTGCGCAAGCAGCGCGAAGTAATACTTGGTATCCCGACGGCTTTACACGAGGGCGAGGCCCTCTCACTTAGGGAGACGGGCGAAGCGTTCAACACGAAGTTCATCACTCGTCTGACAAGCCGAGAGACCGTCGAAGCGTATTCGCCGCTGAAGTGGAAGCAGTTTTTCTTGGAGGGACTTTTAATGCTCGGACCAGGTCCAGGAGACGCTTTTTTGACGCCGCGCATTGAGGAGTACCCCTATCAGCATGCTCGCGCGCACTTGGTCAGGGCTGGAGAATATCTGAAAGCTGTGCCTGTAATGATGCCGCGCATTTTGGATACCGCCTTCGTTATTGGCCAGTCAAAGGGACTGGCAGATATTCACCGGCGCCTTCTGTCAGGGCGCGATTATATCAAGCAGGAGGCGAAGAGATTGGGGGGATTCGATTTGCCAGACACCTCTGTTGATGTGTTTGCTATTCTGCAGGCAATCGACGTCGCGAAAGTGCTCCAGGGTCGGCTCAAGGAAGAGAACATCACCAGGGTCTTCCCCGTCGAGAATGACGAAGCATGCCGCGGACTGCAACTTCTACTTGCTATGAAATGCGGCAGGCTTTACGAGGATGCAAAGCTCGAGGCAGCCGAGAGGGAGAGGCGAAGAAATCCCTGGATCCTTAGTACCGAGCCTCCCGAGGGACTCGTCAATCCACTCATTCCCCCTATCCCACGGGATCCTGACGGATTTCTCGTGAGCCTGATGCTTGGAATTATAGATACAGTTCTTGACGTGGAATATGATGAATCGGCCAACGGTCCACTGAGAGACGAGTTGGACAGGATACAAACACGTCTCACGAAGCTTCGAGAAATGGTACAAGATACCGTGGCCTTGGCTAGCTTTGGGCAGAAAGAATCAAACCACAGAGCACCCCAACTGGTGTAATGCTACGTCTCACGCTCGTCTAAGCTGCCTCGGATATCAAGGGGAGCAGACTTTCCGTGGGCAGAGTCTGGTCAGGTGTTGAACTGTTGAAGCAAGAGCTTTTTCGCAGAGTTGACAGTCCCCGACGACAAGGAAATCCGCGGCAGGAGGCGCGGTGTTCTGGCTGCCATCTTCAAGTTAGAGGAGACTTGAGCAGGATGTTTCGGTCATGCAGCCGCCACTGTAACTAATGTAAGTTCACTGTCGTCTCGCCAGCTGCTCGTGCAAAAAGAGTAATACATCACATCACCACCGGCCTGGGAGATGCAAGGTCTCTGCTCATTCTTGTGAGTGACGTGATGATGTTGTGCTGGCGGATGGTCCAGTCGCAATACGTCTCCCATGCAGTGCGGACACGGAGGTCAGTGACGTCCGATGCGTCAACATAGTTGGACACAAATTTCCGTCGAGGAATATCCCATGTTCTCACACCCACATCCCGGACACCCCAGACTGAATTGGCTGTCGCGGCAGAATGTGCCCGTGAAGTCGGCGTCGCTGCTCAGGCGCGAAAACCACGTTAGCGCTTGGTTCCCGGGATGCGACGGCGCATGGTGACATTGCCGGGAAACTTCTGGACGTTGGGAGGGCAAGAATCACGAATCATAAAGTGTGTGTTGTGATCACTGATGGTGTGAACCGGCGTTGCGGGGACTTCCCGAGGCGGTCAACTGTGCAGTGGTGCCTGATTTGGGTTGTGGTGCCTGACCGGGCCCACCAGGACGTGGAGCCTGACCAATCATTCTGCGCGAACACGCAACCACCAAATTGGCCCTTGATTGTCGACTTCGCGAGCCTCTTGCGTCGCTCACTCTCGCCCATGCCCGCCCGTCTTGACGGCCTTGCGCTCGTTCACAGCTCTTGGAGCATCCCTTCATTATCCGCGCGATTTCCCACTTCAGCCGCTCACTCGTTTAATCAAGCCGTCTACCCATTCGTCTCTCTTCGCATCCCGCAGCGCCAGCCTGCACGACCGGTTGACCCTCCTTCGTCTCCACCTGGCGACTCCCTCGCCGCCGTCAAGTTAGTTTCGTCGCATGCGCATTCCTTCCCTGGCTGCGACGGGCCTGTCGCTGTCTCAGCTCGGCGCCTACCACGTCTCCGCCTCCGTCCCGCCGCCGAAACGAGACGACACGTCCCCCATCTGGGCGACGCCTCACGATAGCTACTCGTCGTCAATCGGTGTCCTCGGCTGCAAAATAAACACCAATCGAGTGGCATACTGGCCGCAGCCCGTCGACTGCGACAACATATGTGTCTCCCTCGAGTACCGCCAGCGCCAAGTCTACCTCCTCCGCATCGACCAATCTACTGGTGCCCACGATGTCAGCTACGATGCCTGGAACTACCTCCTCACCGGCCGATCTGCCACCGATGACCCAACCTCGGGCGGTCCCGTGGCAATGCAGTACCGCAATGTGGATGCGTCAAAGTGCAAGTCCCTCATTCACACCAAAGACAACAAGCTGCCCCTAAGCGCCGCCAACAGCATCAACTTTCTCGCGAGCTGTCTAGCCGAGCCCAACAGCTGGGTGGCGAAAAATTACATGCTCATCAATATCGTCGACTCGATTTGTACTCTTGGCGTAGACGAGCGGTGCAAGTTGGACTGGCCCGAAGCCAACCAGCCGTCTTGTCCGCATACTCTGGGCAACCTGATTTCACTCAAAGACGCCCCTGTTTACAATATTCAATATCCATCCGGGAAGAAGGTGGTCGCTTCGTCCGGCGTCTCTGCACCCGGCGGCGCTGAAACCAATCCTGCCACTGAGGACAATGCTGCACGGCATGTCCCATGTACTTGGAGCCTACTAGCCTGGTGGCTGATTTGGTACTTTTCTGATGCCATCCCTATTGATTAAGCTTTGTTTTGTTGGATACCCTTGATGCACTATGCATATTTATCCTTTACGCCACGTGCTACCACAACAATTTATAATTTCGCCTTGATAGCTTTCTCTCGATTTACTGCTATTCCCATACATGCATATCCGCTGCGACATCGCTTCGGCAATCCAACTGCATTGGTCTTGACGCGCTTTCGACCAGCATCCTGTGCATGGCACAACCACTCTCCAGAATACTGCAAGTATTGCCAAACACTCCGGTCACCGTAGCGGATTTTACTCACACTTCGTTTTCCTGCGAGTCGAAATGAGGCATAGGGCGGTTCCGTGGCGACGTCGGTCCTCCGCCACCATGATTGACAATGTTGGACCGGCCGAAGCCACGGACGGTACCGTCGAAAAAGTAGTGTTTTTCTCACAGCCACTTCGGTGTTCAAACCCAACTACGTACCCAAATCGTGGCCTCAGGAGTGTTCAGCGGCGGGCATCTTTTCCCGCCGACCTCGAAAGCATGTTACGCGAGGTTGCATCAGTCAAGTCATCTGACCAGCTCCCCGTGCCGTTGGTCATCGCATTGCCAGCAGCCACATTCAACATCAGGGTTGATATCTAGAAGATGCTGCGTTGTTCCGGCTGTTCATGTCCCTGCTGCCCTCCATCAGACCAATCCCAAGGATTTGCTCCCACCTGGAAGTCGGGTCATGTCCGTCGTGTCGGTCTCCTGATGCCGTCTGGCGGGGCCCCAGAGGGTTTACCGGAACAAACTTGCAAAGCCATGCAGCTTTCTCGTCAAACTTTCTCCAGGGGGAACCAAGGGTAACGGTCTCGCTCTAATAAGGAGCCATGCACAGACCCATAGTGAGCCAGTAGACCGCAAACGAACTGCATTGCAAATGGGCAAAACCTTGCAAGCTTGGGTCAGCCAGGCCAAAATCGATATAAAACCTCCATATACTCCTTTGAATCATGTCTGTTCTGGTCCGTCAGGAAGTCCTTTCAGCATCACCTAGTTTCTTCCTCATACCTCGCATTAGACATGATGATGTACCTTCTTACAATATTCACTGCTGTTGTAACAGCAACAACGGCGAGTTCAGCCTCTGAACCCCCGAGCAGTATTCCCGGAAATATCACCGCCATCACTGACAAGCTTCTGTTCGACACCACGCTTCGCGACTTTATCGTGCTCCGGGAGAATAAAACGCCTCGGACAGTAGACTGGACAAGTGATGGATGTACCGGAACGGCGGACAATCCGTTCAAATTCCCATTTTTGCCTGCCTGTCAACGACATGACTTCGGGTACACCAACTACAGGGCACAGAAGAGGTTCACCCGAAGCGGCAAGCGGAGAATCGATGGTCAATTTCGCACAGAGTACGTCCCGTCCTACGCCGGGTCGTGTCACGAAGAGAACGATTGCTAACGCCATCTTGTTGGATCCCTAGCCTCTACTTTCAGTGCCAACAGGTCAAAGCAAGAGGAGTCTGCAAAGCTCTAGCAAATATTTACTACGCCGGCGCTCGGTTATTTGGTGGCAGAGATCAGAAACCCGGAAAGCGTATGGATCAGGAATCAGTCTCGGAATACCAGAGGTTGATTGAAATTTATGAGGAGGAAGTCCGAAAGGCGCAGAATTCGGGAGATCTTCCCTTGCTCAAGTGACACCGAATATCTTCAAGAAGCAGCTCGTTTCGATATGGCATGAGATAGTGCACAACAGTCGTTTGACATGTCGGACGACTATCGTGCTACACCAGTACAAGCTGATGAGACAATCTCATACTTGTGGGTTGAACCGCAGCTCTGCACATGCGTGATTGTACGGCCTCCTCGTCGAAGTCAAATTTAAAATCTGTGTCTTGTAAAGACGTGAGTCACGCCGCCATCTATGGTCATTTGCCCCTTCTACAGCCTGTCGCCTTTCGGTATCTGTGCTCGGAATCCAGGCGAGGCTAATGTCTTCATGCTGTATGTTAGGAAGTGTTTTGTCGCGTTGATGGTATTTGTAAGCATACAGATTCTTCTTTGAGGCCAAACATGAAGTCATGTATGGTGAGTCGAGCTCGAATCTTGCACCATGTATTTCCCCCGTACCCTAGACAAGGAGAGTGCGTGTAGTCGTTCGGTCAGGACTCAGCTGACTTTTCGGCCCTCCTGGGCTCTTTTGTCTTTTCAAGGGGAACATGACGGGTCTCGAGCTGCTCTTGGCGGCCCGCGGCTTGTTATTTGTATTCACACGGGAGACATCTCTCAAGTGCAGCCAACTGGCTCCTAGGCCAGCCAGCTATTCTGATCGACTGGAGTGACTAATTTATTCCATTTCTTTGCCGTCAAGTGGTTGTATGTGCATCATCATTTCCATATCGTTTCGGAGCATCTCAACTCTAGTCTTCAACCTAGTTTGCGAACTGTCCTATATGAGACTTCGTTGTTGGGCAAATCACAATTCGGCAAACGATGCTTACTGCTCCGGGTCACAAAGTCCATTCATGCCGGCGTTAGACAAGTGTACGTGAAATGAGCTACTTGCTCCATGCCTCGTTACCACAGCCCTCATTAGACTCCATCCAGGTATGCAGTACACCAGAGAGCGAATGAACATTGATATATGGACTTACGGCAAGAGTTGTTGGGGTCACCAAGAATGCCGAGCCGTATGAGATGCTACGATAGACTAGGGTCATTTGAGCTCTGAAACATTTTTTCAAGGTGTAACGCTGGGATATCTACGTGACGCGCGGAAGGAAAGTAATCCGCCTCTCTAGCCAAGCTTTTTCCGCCGCAATGCTTCAAACTCGTCAGGCAGTCTTTTTTTTTAAACTTGTATTAGTGAAGCTTCAGCAATAGTGAAGTCAAATTTGCATCAGCCCTTCTGTGCGGGCTGGTATTAAAATACGCGGAGGACCACAGCATAATAAAGAGCCCTTGTTGATAAGAGGATCGTGCAGGTAGCTAGGAATTGGCGTGCTGAATGGGACAGAGAAAGCCAACACTCCAGTTCTGAGGCCCGCTCATACTGTCTGAGATGCTGAGCCGTCGATTACTCCTGTTCTCGGGCCCGGAATCCGGCGTCCCCCGACATCCCGGCGGCAAAGCTGTTGTGCTATGCCGTCACGGTGACAGCCAGGACACTCGGCATCGTCCATGTCCCGAGGCCAATTTGTGGCCGACGGAAAAGTTGCCAGGCATCCAAGGCACTATGACATCCCTGCATTTGACTTATTTCTCCACCGCCACGGCCGGCGTAGACTGATGGCATGCGGTCGGACAGGAATGTTCCTACATACATGATACAACAACTGGTTCTTCCGGCTTATGCACGATACGACAAGGCTCCACAGATTGTTGGATTGTCAAGTCGCCTTCAAAGGCATGCCACGCTTCCGCCTGGCCCTGGATCTATCCGTTAGCTTGCAATACAGGCAGCCGCCTTGATCGGTCTTCAGAGAGTTGCTATGGGCGCTAAACCGTGATCAACCGGCTATTGGTATGCAACTTGGAGTAAATGCTTCTCATTCGTAAATGCAGGATATAACCCATAACTCGTAATGCAATTTGGCAACATCAGCTGATGCAGGATGCGACTGGTAATGAACGAATGACGAGAATGCCAGCCGACGCAAGATGCAGCCACGGGGCTTCTATGGTTGAGTCGTATATTTGCCAAGGGGAATCACCGCCCACATGGATCTGGTTTCTCGTCGCCACGGCTGTGGGACTTCACACAGGGGAACGTTATAAATTGCCGCATGATTCTGTTCAACTAGGGATATGGACATGTCTTTGGGTCTCACCGGCAAAGGCTGTTCCATCGCCCAGTCTCCGTCTACGCTACACCGGCTTTGACCTAAAACTCCTACATGACACGACACACCTGTCAAATACCTTCCACCCTTGCCAAAAGTCGAAGCCGCCAAACAGTTCTGATTCGGAGACGAGTCTCTCACCCGATCCTTGGTTACTTTCGTCGTGAGTCGGAACCGGTCAGATAGAAGCTGGCCGGGATTCAAGTCAACAAGCAAGCTGCCAGCGTGCAGGATAAAAATCAGGTTCGGAAGACACATCCTGCCCGCAGGTGTCCTCACGAGGGCCAATTCTTGATGAGCTGTGGTCTCGACAGGGCCGGCGCTTCCACTACGATAGTCCTGTAGGCGTGGAAGCCAGATGCCGGTCAAGGAGCCGGAACGTGCCTGCAGTTCGTAACCCTTGGACACTCAGACCCCTCAGCCCGTTCTTATAAGAACAGCAAACAGACACATCGGACGCCCCTGGTCTCCGCTTCGACCACAGCCATGCTAGAAGCCGGCAGTCCGATGACTCGGAGACGCCAGTTGCCGTTGCAGCATCTCCTTTCACTTCTCTTTATTGTTTCTCTCCCTCCTCTCTCTGCTTCACAACTGGTTTGCAAGACCTTGCACCGTCAGCTTGTACAGGGCGTAGTATTGCATGGGCTTGACCCCACCGTTATCGGAACAGTACCTACCCTTGCCATCTGGGTGGCTGCTGCAGCAAGCAAAGCCTTGACCGTCGTCCCCGGCTCGGATGGGTCTCTGCAACTACATGCTGAGATAGCTGAGATATCTTGCCAGTGCCGAGTCAACTCGGATGGCAATCTGACCATTTTGTTTGAAAATTCCGAGTACGCAAACAGTTTCGAACAGTACTTGGAGGCTATCGCTTTAGCGGGCTTCACAACCCCTCGTCCGTATAGCCCATGTTTCGAGGAAGTCTTTGGCGAGCTCCTTGGCGTTTCGCCCGCCGTCTACAAATTACACAACTTCAGCTCCCTTGCAGAGGTAGATACCGTGCTACCAAAGAATTGCCCATTGTCCAGGCTCGGAGAAACCTCATCTGCTCTCGGCAAGGCACTGTCATTCATCTGGTGGGACGACGACAAGTACGGCGACGATAAGCGTAACCACGTTAGCGTCGTAAGTCGTGAAGGGCTGGACTGGAGATCCAGTGATTGTCGCATCAGGGACCGTTCATTGGGATGCCATGGCAAGATTGCGTCGCTACACCACGCTTCTCAGTCGCGCGATCTATACTCTCGTCACTTCTACGCTCCTGCTATCTATTAGAAACCTCTAGAGCGACGCTTTAGAGGGCTCTGACCGCTTCAGAATGCAGGATTGTCTGATCGCGGCATTTAATTGACCTCGAACCTCTCTTAGCAATCGTTTGGTGAGTAGTCATATTCCAAGTCTTCGGTAGGCACCCTTATGTTCCTCCCTCGCAGGTATTATGCAACAGTTGTAGGGTAGTATCAAGGCTGTAGTAACTTTGTCCAATGTCCGGAAGCGTCTTTCGTTGACTTCCCTGCATTTGATTGAACAGTGCTTTCTGTGCTGCTGAGGTTTGGCCGTCTATACGTAGGAACAAGAACTCTCTGGTTCCTGGCGCAACAAGGACTGAACGAGTGTACATATAGACTACAGAAATAAAGGAAAAGGAAAAAGAATGTATCTGTCTAGATCGTTACTCTTATCACGCACTATCTTCACCACGCTCTAGAGCGTCGTGACAACCTCGACCTAACTTAGCTGTAAATACAGGAGACAGGCGTTTCGTTAGTGATAGTCCTCGACACAAACTCTACGCACGTCTTCTTATCAACATTCTCAACACCACCGACAAAGATATTCCAAGGACCGTCTATGTCGTAATTGCAAGCCTGGAGGTTCTTGCCATCGAAAAGGAGATTCCCGGTGGCATCGATCGACCAGCCTTCTAGTTCGCCGTTACGAGGGGGGCCGCCACCATCTCTGGTGTAGCCAATATGGCCACGGCCTATAAGAGCGAAAGATTAGAAACAACACGCCTCGTGTAAAATTAGATTCAGATTACATACCCATTGCCGACCGATCAGCATAAACCTGCTGAGGCTTGCCACCGTCCGAGTACAGGAACAGCTGGGAGCCCTCGAGGTAGAAGGTGGCTCGGGTGATAGCGCCACTGCATTTGACGTCTTGCTTGGAAAGATTGAGCAGCAAGATGCCCTTTGAGGCGCTGATGGAGTTGTAGTGAAGGACAGGGCTGCCAGATCGGAGGCTTAGGACGTCAAAAGTCTGGGGGCGGGGGGCACCCAGGGCCGAGCTAGCCAGAGCGAGAAAGATGGCGTTAAACTTCATGTTTGTGATTATAAGATCAGAGGAAATAGATCAAGATATCTGTTGTCAAATAAAGTTGTAGGAAGTCGATGGTTGTCTGGAACGAACCATTTGGGTCTGCTTCCTTGAGCACCTTCTTATACCCACGTCTGGCACGACACGGGTTGTATGAAGCCAGGATGTGTCCAGCACTCTGATTCCAGAGATCTTCACGGACTACTATCGAAAGGATTTTCTTTTTGGACGCCGTGTTGAACATGGCAGTTTGACCTAATGCGGGACGAGCTAGCATGTGTCAAAAATACGAGGCCAAGAGGGACTCTTGGCCGGCATTAAACTCAGAAGGTCCAATAATAGCATATATCAGTCATGTGCTAATAATATAGGAGAGCAGCCAGCTAGCTGGGGGTTGGTGAAGGCAAGGATTGGCAGACGTCACTTTTCTGACTTGCTGCTGCATCGTGCCTCGTGTCAAGCCCCCGTAAGTTGACGGGGTGGGTGGGGTTGTGCATTACAGCCTGAATGACGCAGAAAACCCCGTCGGAAGAACTAGTGAGTTCGACAGTTGTAGGGCAGGTTTCCTCGCCCGCAACCGCAGCGATCAATACGTACGTATATTGCTGGGCGTGCCCTTGAATATGACCCTGCAGACGGTTTCCCTTTGAAAAGACACATGGCCGATCTGTGAGGTAGCCCTTCTCGGCAACCCTTATACGAGGCCACGTTTGTACCGTGGTGTTGTTGCAAGGTCACAGACACCACCTTTGATGTGTGGGCGCCCTTTGAAGGATACGAGGAGTGCGGCAGGTGTCGTTCGTTATCCCACGGACTATGCTTACTACCGTGGACGAGGAAGAGAAGAACGCCATCAGTCAAAGTAGATTTCCGCCGTGTTACGTTGTCTGCTCGGCCGGAAAAGCTCTCCAACTCCCCCCAGTTCTGGATTCTGTTGAAAAGGGTTCGGAAAATACGACTTTGATACGTGGTACTGTTCATACGTCACGGTATGACGAATCTACTAGGAGCGAGTGAGCTCTAATGCTACCTTTTCAATTCAACTCATCTTCATGGATAACTAGACCATACCCGCGACTTCAAAATCCGTGCCCAGATCCATCTCCTCAGCGTCCTTTGTATCTATTTGGCCAGTTTCTTCCAAACCACAGGACTCATTCAAGCCCAGATTGAATCTCATCACATACATACACTCACTAGCCTTTTCCAAGATGCGTCTCAGTTCCATTCTTGTACACTTCTTCCTTGCCGCCACGACACAGGCTCACGCCGGCGCCGGCCCCCTTGTCCGAAGTGTTGAACCAATCTCAGGCACGTTCCAGCAGCTCATTGATCACAAGAACCCCAAACTCGGAACCTTTTCCCAGCGGTTCTGGTACAGCACGGAATACTATGCAGGACCCGGCTCTCCCATTGTGCTACGTGCCCCCCCTGAAAGTGAATCCAGTGGAGATATCAGCAACTTCACGCTGATCGGCAAGCTTGCCGAAATCCTCGGCGGCGCAGCTATTGTCCTAGAGCACCGATACTGGGGTGGAAGCTCGCCGTATCAAAACCTGACCATAGCCAACCTCCAACATCTAAATCTTGACAATGCCATACAGGACCTCACCTACTTTGCCAACAACGTCAAGTTGCCATTTGACAGCAAAGGATCTACTAGGCCAACTGAAGCCCCTTGGATCCTAGCTGGCTGCTCGTACTCAGGTGCTCTAACGGCATGGACGTACGCTCTAGCCCCGGGTACCTTCTGGGCTTATTACTGCTCGAGTGCTGTCGTCCAGGCCATTTCTGACTTTTCGCAATACTTTGAGCCAATAAAAAAGGCCATGCCTCAGAATTGCACCACAGACATGCAGAGCGCCATCCGATACATTGACGGTGTCCTGTCCACTGGGTCTCAAGAGGACAAGCATGCGCTCAAGTCCAAGTTTGGCTTGGAAGCCCTCACCTACGACGACGATTTCGCGAAAGCCCTTGTTACTGCTCTTCAGAGGTGGCAAGGAACCATGTTCTTCAAGTCCAAGACGCGCGATCCCCAAAACATGTTGTACGAAATGTGCGACTACATCGAGGTAGGAATAGACGTCTACGCCACCCGTTATTCCGGGCCGGCGCTGGTGGCCCCATTGTCTCATTCCTGAACATGTTACTGGCAATGTCGCTGCTATTCCGTTCAATGTGGTTCTGACCCCCCCGTTTCATTTTCCAGAACGTATTTCCCAACAAACCAAGTGTCATGCCGGGCGCCGAGGGGGTTGGCTTGGAAATGGCCCTCGACGGGTTCGCGCGGTGGTCCAAAAACGAAGTTCTCAAATGTAGGTCGTTTCTTGCGCGGTAATCAAGCAAGAAGAAGCTTGCCTGACCAAGTTTTCGTCAATAGCCTGCTCAGTCTCTCCTTACTGGAAGGGCCAAAACACAACGGCTTGTTTTGAGAAGCACAACAAGACGAATCCCATGTTCACAGACATCTCGGTCGGCAACGCAGGCGACAGGCAGTGGCAGTGGCTTCTGTGTAACGAGCCGTAAGCTACCAGTCCAAGGACAAGCCTTTTCTCGTACAGTAATTCGCTGACGACGGCTTGGCCCGTTGTCTAGATTCCAGTGGTGGCAGGTTTCCGGCCCCAGCGAAACCACCGGCCTCATCTCCAAATTCCTTACTGTGGAGTACCAAAAAATGCAGTGCGACTTTTACTTCCCAAGCGACGGTGAGTATACCAACGGCCTGGCGGCCGGACGAACCGCCGAGCAGGTCAACAAGAAGACTGGCGGCTGGGACATGGGCGAGACTAGGCGTCTGATGTGGGTGGATGGAGAGTATGATCCATGGATCTCGGCCTCCGTCTCGGCCCCCGGCAGACCCGGAGGTCCGTTGAAGTCGACGGATCAGGCTCCCGTGTGGGTGATTCCCAAAGCAGCGCACTGCAACGACATGATGGTGGTCAATGCCGACGTCAACGCCGACATGGCGAGGATTTTGGGTGAGGTTTTGGCCAAGATGAAAACTTGGGTAGATGAATTCTACGTCGAAAAGGGCAAGACGCGTCCGTAAGGCTGTCTCGGCGCCGAATGAGTTCCCTGCAGAAGAGTATTGTTGGGTAGGTACATGCAGATTGCTTACTGAATCGGGAGTGCAGTATGTCAGAGTTTTTGATTTGAGTGGGTAATATTTTGTGCCAACACTATGTGAGTTGGGTTTATGCTTTAACAAGCTACAAAAACTATATCCCGAAATCATTTTGTATACCAGGTCCCGCTGCAGAATCTGGGGATAAACATTGAAACTCGCCTAGAACAAGGGAAGGAAAGAATAGAGTGATCGAATGACGGATGAAAATATAGCTTGCGGGGAAGATATCATTTTAAAAAGTAAGCTTATTTATAATTAGTCAAGGAAGAGGCAATCCGCCTCAACGCCTACCGAACACGAACCACATGGAAGTGCCTGAGAGGGCTAAGCCTGCTTTCACACTGTGGAAGCCAGCGCTGTCGTAAAGAAAGTTAAAGGAACGCATAAATTGTCCATGGACATGGTTTATAGTAGGACTCTGCTTCTTCACATGCTTGCCAGAGACGGAGCGCTTGGAGGCGTCATGCACGGTCATCCTTGATCAAGTAGCCAATCCAGTAGCGCGACGCCACCACCTTGCTCGTTGCGAGCCAGCGCCGACAATAAGTCATTAGTCTTCCTAACTAGCTATGGAGTAACGTAGTTGCTAGGCTCGCGTGTGACCTTTGTGTACTCTGCTTACAACACCCATCTTGACAATGCTAAAGAACCTTGCAGTGGCCAATCTCGATTCTGCTAGGCTTCACAACCGAAGAAGTCCCCATCCGATGGGAATTTCATCCCGGCAACCTAGGTGAGACAACGTCTGCTAACCAGAACAGTGGAGAGTGGCGGACGCAGGCAGTCTTTGCCATGGATGGTTGACAAGATGAAACTCGACCCAACGCAACTAAAAGAGCAAGCTCCCTAGTATGGTTCCTAGCCATGTAGTAAACTGACTAGCAACTGAAACTTCCAGTATTGATGCCGTATAACTCCTAGATCCTATTGGGTAGCCAAGCATTGCCTACCGGCTTCCCGTAGCTCAGGACGAATAGTCGCCGGGCGCCGTCAATTTGAAAATTTTGGATGATGCATGGAAGCAGGTCGGACTAGGAGGTAAGTCTAGTGCGCTTGTTTCATGGACCGGCTAGCAATATGAGCAAATGACATAATCTGAATCAGACGGCGGTTCCAGACTGGTCATGGTCTGAACGATCGATAGACACAGCTGAGGCCTTATTCCCTGTTCTTTTCTTCTCGGGCAACTTGTCACCCATGGGTACAACGCCGATCATCCGCCGCCCCCTTCTAGTTCGTCTCTAGTCTGACAATGACTCTGAGCAAAAACATAAAGAGGAAGGAGAATTCTTGTTTGTATAACAAGTTCCGTGAGAGGGACCAGTCGGGGCGCATGAAATGGAAGCCTGCAGATTTATGAAGCTCCGAGGCTGAACTTAGATCGGCATGTACGCAGCCAGTCGCGATTTCTGTCAATGTCACCCGACCAGACCCCCAATAACCGTCTCATGAAAAGAGCTGTGTCACTTCGATCAAGGCCTTCGGCCCCGACCCTCATCGCTGCTGTGTATAAATAGGCCTGCTTCATGTCAACAGCCTTGAGAGGACCAAACACCCTTGATGCGGCAAAAAGAACATTTAGTCCAGTATACTGTCATCGTTTTACTCTAAGCCTGCTGTCTCAGCAGTTGCTCCAGTCTATGCGTTGCCAACGAAAACTGGAGTCGTTGATACTATAAAATATAAAATATTGAGACGAAGCAGCATTTGTTGCTATATAACTTACTGAAGAGCGCGGCATCCGACAGCCAACCATTTCGAAGCATCTTCGCCTCTTCCATGTACTCAGCCCTTGCTGTATCGAAGCATCATGAAGGTCCAAACGCGGCATGTACTCGCACTTACCGTGCTGCCTGGATGTCAGGCCATGAGCTCATTTCCTTGGCGCTTTGGCAACGCACCCGCAAAAGGGGCCACGGATATTACTTTTCCGATCAAAGTAGTCGAAGCAGACCACAACGTGCAGTGGTACTTTGCCCAGCAGTTCAGATTCTTGAACAAGGGCATGGGATACTGCGGGCTACAGCCTCAGGACGACGCGAAGGGAAAATCCAGGATTCGGGGCGTCTTCTCGTCCTTCACAGGGGGGACAACGAGCAACGACACCAACTGTGGTGACGGTGCTGACGGCGGACCTGGTGTTAGCTGCGGCGTCATCTTTGACCACGACTACTCCCACAAGGTGAATATGGTGGTCGAGAACGGCGGCGGCGACAAGTGGATTGGAAAGGCCGTCGATGCCACTACGGGACAAGAGACGCACATAGGGTCGTGGACTTTGCCGTCGGGGAGCGGCAACATCAACTTGGGCGGAGATTCTGGCTTCGTCGAGAGGTTTCTTCACAACGACCAGCCGTGCAGTCAAATTCCCCGCATTGTCGTCAACTTTTACGACCCGACGTCCAAGACCTGCGGAGCTGGAAATTCCTCCATTGGTACCCCAAAAGAGTACGACTTCTGCAAGGGACAAAAGAACTGGACCGAGACTCAGTTTGCTGGTGGAAGGACGATCGGTATGGGCTTCAAACAGGCTGCCGTCGTTGAAGAACAAACCAGCGGCTCGGGGCACGCCCAAGACAAGGATTCATCTTGTTGAAAAGAATGAGATCAATCATCGTTGATTATTTCCTGGGTTATGTATGGTAGCTCGGTTTCGGTATAAATGAAGAGAATTCTCTCCTAGTCGCCTTCGTCTGCACGTTTCTTCGTGGCCTGCATGATAACCTTGCCGCATATGCACAGTAGCATTGATGTCTTTGCAGCTTGCATGAAACCTGGACTAATAACGAGGCGCCTTTGTATAAAAGCCGGCAAAAATATCAACCGCAACAGTGTTGCGGCCGGTGATTTGTGACTAGCTGCAATGCACAAAATGTGCAGGCCTCGTGGCGACCTCATTTGCCACATGTAACAAGGGCTGGTCTTAATGATCAGGGCTTGGAGCAAAAGACTCATATTGCATATAATATCATAGGGTCTCAAAGGCCCTTAGTTCCTCCACCTGAGGGACCTGACCAACCAGGGCTGCATATACATAATAGTGCTTGTGTGTGTAACCTGACTGGGCAACAAAGGGGTAATGCCCTTTGTTCCTAATTGCCTTGATGCATTAGTGCCCGAGCCCACTGGTGGCCTATGAGGGCATCGTGATAGCTGCAACCTTTGTGCATTGCAGCTAGTCATGTGGTTGAAGCTTTTCCGTGTAACACCACACGAGGGTTCTGTCAGTCATCTAGGTTAGGTCACACACAGAGGCATCTTACTTCCTGTATAGCTGTCGTTGGTCAAGTGCCTTTAGATTTAAGAAAAAAGGACCGTCAGGCTACGCGATAATTTATATAACCATCTCGCGGAGATGATTGCACTTATTGGTCCCGTACCTCGGCAATTAATACAACGACAAAGAGACATGAGGCACTGGTGCTGGGAACCACGTGTCCCGAACGCCAAAGGGGACATGTGTAACAATGCGGAAGATTATTTTGGCGGCCCTTTTGTCGATGACCATGGTGAGTGACCCCGGTACATGATGACTTGGACGGCCATTGACGAGTCTTCAGGTAAATTCATGTATGAGTTCTTGATTCCTTTTCATCAGCAGTTGAGAAAAGAAGTGCCGGACTGTATTGTTTCTGAGGACTTGGCGTGCTTCCTGAAATCCTTTAAACGAATGCTATGTTAGCTCCCCGAGGAACGGGCAACAGCCAGCAAACTGGCTCAAGATCCATGGCTGCTTTCTTGATCCTCATCATAGGTGTTTGGTGTTTTGGTGTTTGTCCTTCTGTGTGTGTGCTTTGCTTGCTCGCTGTTTAGCAATGCATCTTCTAGATTTACAAGAATAGTACAAGCTTGCTTCTTAGACCTGACCTCATCACGATCAACTCTACAGTTTGTCAAACAATCCCTCTGGCACGCTCAGACGCTATCCTACCAGTGACTACTCAGCTATTGTAGAGGCTATTCATGTGCAAACCCCGATGAAATACACCATGCAGTCAAGGATTCATCGCCGAAATGAGCCCGCGAGTCCAGCTGAAATCAGTCGGCACAATGGCATCATCGCCCGGCGGCACGCCGTCGCGGTCGACGGCGTAGGAGAAAATACCGCCCTTCCGCCCTCCCGCCGGCTGCCACTGTGCGTATTGGTAGGCCCTGCTCGTTTGCATCGGGGCAACGGCGTCACCCCAATCGGCACCGTGCTCCTCGTAAAACGAAAACCCAATAAGGTACTGCTGGCCCGTGATGTACGGCTTGTACGTGTCAAAGGTGTGCTGCGTCGAGCTCGGGTCGCGTCCGTAAGACTGAACCAAGACGTAGTCAATAGTCGAGTTTACCGCCTGGAACAGCGGCGTATCGCCATCCCGGTTGGTGTCGTAGATCAATAGCTTTCCAGTCTTAGACCTAGGGCCGAGCGATTTAGAGAGCGCCTCAAACACACCAGTTGCCTGCTCGAGCTGTGAGCCGTAGAGGTCTCTTTCGACGTCGACATCCAGGCCATCTAGGTCGTAGACCGTGACGAATGTCTGCAGGATATGCTCGGCCAGCTTTTGGTAGCCCGCAGGCGTGTTGGAGTAGTTGCTGTTTAAAAGCTCGCCGACGTTGATGGACCTGACTACCTTGGTGCCGCGCCCCCTTAGCGTAGGCACGTACTTTTCCTTGAGAGCCGTGTAGAATGCGTCCGTCTCGCTGCCCTCGGGAAACACAAAGGCAATGTCGAGGCAGTCGGGCAGATCGTTCATTGAAACCTTGTTGACGTCTGGATTGCTCGCAATGTCTCTCCACGACCGAAAGTATGCAGCCATGATTTGATGATCGCTCTTCCTGTAGTCGAGGATCTTCTGCAATCCCGCGCCAGAAGCGTGCGAATTGACCTTTGGGCATACTGACGCCGATCCGGCGAATGCCGCCGCAGCGCCGAAAGTGAGATGAGCAAAGATTGAAATCTTCATGACTGCCCTGCTGTGGGTTGTAGGCTGTAGCTCTGACTTGGGTTGATGAGAAGGCGTGCTGGGCGGCTCCGTCAAGACAGTTAAGACCGACGAGTAACGCACGAGTCATCGGTTAAGTACGAATATTCGCAGAGGATATGAAGTAACGTTCTCAATGGCGAATAGTGCAACGTAACACTGCTACAATTATGTGCATTATTTCAAGCGTGGAAGGGGGCAACCGACATGAGCCGGGTAGCCGAGCGCCAACTCGCTCGTTAGATTCATACGCCTTTCCTCGCCACATGTCTTTGCGACCTCGTGATGCTAGTACATGGCGGTGCTAAGCTCTAATCAAGGTCCGAAATGGCCTGAAGACTGTAAAGAGGGTGCTCAACTAGGCAGGTACGATTTCAAAAGTAAAGTTCGTGTAGATACAGCAGGTTGTTCGCAATGTTTGAAGATGGAAGATACTCGGGAGTGTAAGAAAGGAGCAATACAATAGGTCAATCGCTGGAATGTATATAAGCGGTTGCAGTACCTTGCAACGAGGAAAAGACGAGACAAATAAGCTTTATTAGACACGGAACAAGGAAAGACAAGCATAGTAAGGTTTACGGTCGTGCACGTCATCTTTACCGGGCTGGATAAGACTTGTCTCGTTCTTTCGCAAGGACGGATGCCGAATGTTGTGCACTACCTTAGAGCCCAGACTTGTTCAATGTTGATAATTAGATGTCCGAGATAGGGAGCATGTGTGGAGGGGGTTTCAGTCGCGCTGATGTCTTTTTCAATGACATGGAGGGTATTTACAACTTGCTATTTATGCATATGAAGCGTGGCCTCTGTCTACGCCACTTTTATGCGCGACAGTATCCCAGTCTCTCTTCCTTAGCCTTGCACTGTTTTTTTGTACTTCAACTTGTTGGTTCAAGACGTCTGAGCAGAGCACTAGCCTAGGCCAATACCCCAGGAATAAGCCTTCCCAATCTCTGCCTGCTTCCTCCCGGATACGGGAATACGATGGAGGGCCGCAATTCCACCCGTTTCGTATTATAAGGGTAGTCATGTCTGGGCTTGACATGGGGCGTCAAAGGTTCGCAGTTCATTCCAAGAAACCCAGGCCCTAAAGTCCTCTGTTGATCGGCTTACTCGAACACCATACGGCATAACGCACGCTCGTGACGGCTTGTCACCTGGGAATTGGTCGGTCGGCTTCCATCGATAAGCCATATCGTTGTCCATTGGAATTCACATCGCCACATGGACACGTGGCTACCAACCGAGCCCAGTTAGCAGCCTAGAAATGGCGTGCCTGCACGAGTCGGCGCCGAAAGGCCAAACCGCAGGTTCTATGAGGCACGATGCAAAGTAGTTCTTCTCGGGATGGAGGCGAATAATGGGCCAAGAGAGAGCTGCCTAGAGAGCGCCTTCATCGAAGAATGCGAGACTGGTTCCGGCGTGGAGTTGTAAAAGCTTTGCACGGACCGGTTCCTATGATAGAGCTCACGCCGGCCTCCCGTCCAGCGACACGCATCTCATTTTCAGGGCGCTGTCTGGTTCGCAGTCGTTTCACATGGCATGATTGGACGAGTTCAGGCTGAGGCTCAAGCGATAGCATTTCCCCGAGACTATATGCACACTAGAGTCTCAGGTGTGTCGGTCGATGAACTCCTTCCCATGCCTCTACACGCTGCTTCTAGAAACAACACTTATTCAACAGCTTTGACCCTGACGGCATCCTGCTCAAGTGCAAGCAGCGCGCTGCAGTTTGAAACCTCCCGGCATTAGCTTCTGGAAGACTTGGGCTGGATCGTATTTCTTTGCAACAGCCCTAAGGTTTGCCAGGCTGGCTGCCCCGTATCCGCACAGAGGTTGTTGAAATGGCGCTGCGTAGTTGATGTACAGAAACGGGTGATACGATCCGTCCTGTTTAGCAATAGCGGAGGTTGTCTCGACCAATTCTCCCCTTGCCTTCTCCATCATGTTATCCAACCGAGGGTCCGTCCAGCGAGATGTCAGCCACAGAACTGGGCACGTTCACGTTAGTCTGCATTCGCCTCGGGATGGTTCTGACTTTTGTGGTGGCGCAGCTCGTAACACGCACTTATCTGGTCCTGAGCAACATCCTGCAGACCAAGGCTGTTGCCACCGCGCGCAGCGGCGTAGGACTGCTGGATTTTGGGCTGCGGGATGAAGGATATCATCCAGTCGACCTCGTTTTTGCGCTCAAGCCCGTTGTATATATCGTCTGTCGCGTCCCAGATTCTACGCAACGTTTTGTAGTCGTTTCTGAAGGTTAGAGTCGCCGTGACCTGTCTGCAAGGAGGGTCAGCAACTATTCAATGGCGTCGAGGCGGGAAGGCAGGTCCGTACCGAAATCCCTTTGCTTGAAACTTGCTCACTTGATGCACAAACTTGGCCATGCTCGTGTGACGTGCCGTGTTCATGATCCGATTAGGCATAGCAAAGAATGGTGCCAAAGCCTTGGGGCTCTCCTTGTTTTCGGTGTTGCCGAAGGCGGCGTTGATGATGCGCCCACGCCCACCACTCAGGTAGACCGTCATCAGCTGAACTGCCGTACTGGTGTCGAGATGGTTATCCCGGGTAAAGTTGACAAAAGTGGCACTCATTCGGTCTAGGACTACCGGGCCAGTTGCCTCCGGCCCGGTGAGGTTGACATAAACTTCTCCTCCCCAGAGACCCGGGTAGTCGAAAGCGGCAATGTCTACCCTGGTCACGATTCCAAAGTTGGTATTGCCGCCCTTGAGCGCCCTGAAGAGATCCGTATGGTGAGTTTCATTAGCATTGACAATCTCCCCCGAGGCCAGGACCACCTCGTAGTTGACGATGTTGTCCACCGCCCAGCCTTTTTTTGGTTGGAAAAGAGACTGTCCACCACCGAGTGACACGCCGCCGACACCGACATCCTCGCATATTCCGCCGGGAAATCCGATTCCAGTACCATCGAATGCATCGTACGCTTGGCCCCAGGTGACGCCGGACCCGAGCTTCACGTGGCTGCGGTCGGCCGCCAAGCTCGTCAGGTTGAGTCTGCTGAGGTCAACCGAGACTCCTTTGGAAATACTATTCGCACCCGGATTCGCGTTGTGTCCTCCCGACTTAACGGCGAACTTGCAGCCATGGCGGACAAGAGCCTTCAAGGCTGCAGAGACATCTTTCGAGTGCTCAGGAACGACCACACAAGCCGGGTGCAGGACCGCTGTTTCAGACCATCGAGCATTGACGAGTCGGTCGTACTCGCTCTGATGTTGGTTGTACACCTTGCCAGGTAATGCGGCGGCGAGAGAGCCGCACTTTGGATCGGGAGAGTCAGTCATCGTCGTAGGCCGCAATCATGGCCCGAGAAGCGGTCAATGTCAATGTCAATGCTTACACATTCCGACAGCGAGTTGCCGTGCACTCGAGCAAAAAGGCCACACACCAGGGCTGTCGTCGTTTTCATGGTCAGTGTCAGGCGCACCGATGTACTGGCAACTCTTTCGTCCTTGCCGTTGGCTCAGCTGTCGTGATGCAGTGATGGTGCGGGAACCTCGACGACCTTTTATATCCGAAACATCACCATCTCACGGCACAAGGCAGCGAGTAGAGATGGAAAATTTCAAGGATTGACAGGCCCACTGCGGGAGGACCGGGTCAGCCGGGTCAGCAGCCTCGTTCGGTACAACCATCTGATGCCCAAGACCGTATTCATGAACAGAGGAGTATTCTCAGTTTCTCTTAGTTGCTTATCGGACGAGGCTAATAATGAATAATGCCTCCGACCGCCAGGGGTGCTGCATCCCGCCGTTATGCAAATCCGCCCAGGCCGCTCCAAGCTGCCGAGCGGACTGTATTTTCACCCTCAAGTATCTATCTATGCATGGCCTCAAATGCTGCCCATAACAAGCTCAGGTCCTCAGCACCGGCCCGCTGCTTGCCAGTACAAGGCGAGGGAAGACACTATATACATCCACCCAGTCAAGACAGAAGAACGCACTCCGCCTCGACGCTCAATCCTCGACCGAAGCTGGTCAGGGATCCAGGCCCGGCGAAGCGGCATGAATTGCGAACAAGAGGCGGCAGGGCCGGCGAAGACGGCATTGACCCAAAAAGGCAAGCATAATCAGGGCATTGTACTGATTGTGCCACCGCCGCCCACAGTAACGTGGAACGCGGCTATTGTGACACAAGAATCGTACGAACAGTATACTCCGTGCGAGTGTTGATAATAGAGGTCCCACCTCACCATCTTTGAAACATAACACATTACATGACGCAGAGCGTGAACCCCTCATCCTACCGCGTTGCCGAGGACCCAATAATTCATACGACGATGATCTATGCCTGTATACCGCGTGTGAGCCTCAAGGCTCAAGCGATTGCCGTCTAGCAAAGAAGGCTCTCTACAAGATGGAACTCCATGTGAGCTCGTCTGGGCACGACCATGGTCAAATGCGGGTTGTGAACGCTGAATCGAATGCGGGCTTTGCGGTGATGCGCGGTCAAAGTAGTGTGTGCTGAAATAGCCGAGTCGCCACGTGTGAGTACGTTGTGAATGATATATACAGGGGTCAAGCGTGTATTTGCAGCGAGAATATCCCCCAATGGGTGAGCAGGAGGTTGGATTGTCATTGGAACACTACTCCGTATCCCTCCATGCTATCAGTCGGCTGGTTTATCAAATCAACCTCAGCGTCAAACCATTGCCCGCTTCAACAAGGCGCTGTGGTTTCTAAAAGTCATGTCAGTCATTTCATTATGCCAAGACAGCAGGCCGACATAGCTGCGCCCACATGTAGGCGGACAGGAGTTGAAGCGTCATGCTGCCTCTTTGTATAAGTCGTTGCTGCCGAAATGACAAGAAATACAATTCACAGCCTATTTCATAATCTTCTATTGCTTGATATTTTACCTACCCTGACGATGGTGCACAATTTCGTCATGGACATGGCGGAAATGCCAAAACAGGCTACTGGGATAGCCTCATTAAAGGCCATGCCAGGGACTTTGTCCATGGTTAAGTAGACCTTAGCATGAAAGATATCCCATCTTACACATCAAAGCAGGGCGTTTATTCAAGTCGGTACCTTTGCACACTATCTCCTGGCTCAGTTTCCGATGGTCATGGATCCGCAGGAAATGGGTGAGTACGACATTGGCGGCTTGTGGATGCGCTGGATGCGCCATTTGCCGCGCACACGATGCCTTCCAGGGTCTAAATAACCAAGGATGCCCATGCTTAGGGAACAGAAGTCAAGCTCACGGAACGCAGTCCTGGCCATGGCAGTTCAATTGTGAGCGATGGCGGGAGCAACCGGCCAAGACGAGTGGCACCACCCCTAGATAGACGGACGGCCTGGCAGGACAATCCATCTGGACAATTCATAGGCCAGTTGGTCCGGATCCTGCCGTGTGAAACTCAGCCACCGGCTCAGATACAAACTGATGTCTAACGTTTGAAGAATACCCCGTTGTGTGAATCAGAATAAAACGCAGCAAGATTCGCAAAACTACGTACGTCCGAAAAAGCCTTGCCCTGCGTCTTGGTGACTCCTGACACCAAAGAGACAACTCAACGCTTACAAAACACTGTGACTTGGCTCTTGCTGCATGCAGTGAGGGAAATGAAGTGCCAAATTTCGTCAGGCAAGCGTAGTTAGCTTTCGCTCCCAGTACGACGAGCAAAGTCGCTGATTCAACATCGAGACCGACAAGAACCAAGCCCTGCCGTGGCTGTAGGTTAGTAGCAAAGCACACAGCCTTCGTCGGATGGCGTTTGGGCTTGGAGACCATTTGGGCCGCGCAACGCCGCATGGATCTGTGGCGTCATCAACCAGAGCATTCGTGCGGGCTATTGCTCGTAATGCCTATGTTCATTCTGGCGGCAGAGACCAGCGAAAGGGGCTGGGCAAGGGCTCGTCGGCGTCAAAGGCAACGTCCTCATGTCCCGCCAGCCAACTCGTGAGACATGACCCCAAACACGATGAATCGGCGCCCTACCGTGCCTTGAGGTTATATCTTGTTTACTCACCCCACTGGACTCTACCATCAGCAAGCAATCATGTCGTCGTGACAGGTTGTCGTTCTCACTGGCAGAGTCGATTGTATTACGACATGGCCTCACTTGGGGGACAGTATCCAACGTCCCATGCAAGTCATTTCTCCGAGAAAAACACAAGTCCCGAAGCGCCGCCATGGCCAGCAAGGAAGACGGTTCGCACAGTCGTGTGCATTTCGTACGTCGGGGCCGATCGATTGCATACTCTGGCCATTGAACTATCATATGCTGACTGCGTTCTCCTTCCGCCGCAAAGCTCATGGATCATCGTTTCCAACAGCACTATTCTCTTCAACAAGTGGCTTCTGGACATTAAACAATTCCGTGTGTTTACTCTTTTCCTAGCATGATATCGATGTATCATACAACGGTTGCCAAGAAACAACTTACTAACGAGACTCTAGATTTCCGTAAGCCAGCAATCCGCCTCGTCGAGCCCAAGTTGAACTCTTCTTTGCCGTCGACGCCTTCAAAGAATCTCGTAAACTGCATGCAGGATGCCTCAGCTAACGAGTCCCGACCAGCAATCCTATTGACCAGTTGGCACCTATTATTTGCCACTGTCGCGACCCAAGTCCTAGCACGCACCACCACGCTCCTAGACTCGCGCAAGAATGTTCACATGTCAGCAAACACCTACGCTCGCGCCATTCTTCCCATCAGCATCTTTTACTCCCTCTCTCTTGTAACGTCAAACATGGCCTATCTGTACCTCTCGGTTCCCTTCATCCAAATCCTCAAGACCACGTCACCGGCGGTGATGCTATTCGTTGCCTGGGCGGCCGGCACCGCAAGTCCTACTCTTGCCACGGTCGTGAACATTCTCTGGATTGTCGGCAGTGTCATGCTTGCCTCGACCGGCGAGATACAATTTTCGCTCGTGGGGTTCCTGTATCAGATGGGGGGCATTTTTGCCGAGGCAATCCGGCTGATACTGATTCAGCTTGTACTGAGCAGCGATGGGCTCAAGATGGATCCTCTAGTTGGACTGTACTACTTTGCCCCTGCGTGCTGCTTGATGAACGTCCTGATTGCCCTGCCTACCAGGGAAGCGGTGGATATTTCCTGGCATGCGGTGCAGCAAGTGGGCATTCAACTACTCTTCCTGAACGCCTTGGTTGCCTTCATGTTGAACGTTGCAAGTCTTTGCCTGGTAAATATGCCCCCCGTTCGCCGTTTGCGGCAAGGATACCACCGCCCCTTGATATGGGCCATGGCCATAGCTTGCCAGCTAACAGACGATAGATTGGACAGACGTCCGGCTTGGTCATGACACTGACGGGGATCTTGAAGAACATCCTCCTCGTTATTGTGTCCGTGATGATTTGGAACACGCAAATCACGACCATTCAGGTTGTTGGCTACACGAGTGCCCTTGCTGGCTTGATGTGCTATTCGTTGGGGTACAACCAATTAGTCAAGATGAGCCAGGCCGGCGCAGCGCGGATTCGCAGCTGGTCGGGAGCACATTCGCCCAAGGGCCTGCCTCGATGAATCCAAAGACGTGGCGGTCATTGCGATGACCTTTTTCGTCATGGGCAGTTTGGTCTGCGGCCCAGAATGGGCAACCATCACAAGCAAGACGCACGGATAATGCGAGCCAGCCGTACAATCTAGAGCACTCGAGGATAGACGCTCAGCATGAGGAGCCTGGGTTGTCCAGAAAGACAACTCGATGCGGGGAGAGAAGCTAGCCACGTTTGAATTCGACAGTGAACCATTGATCCTTGATTTTCATCTTGACATGCCAAGAGGCCTCGTCGTCGGACTGCTAGAAACGCTGGCTGCTTCGGGTTTTCGACACGAGATGGTCGCGATGCAATGATGAAATTGAAAAGACCGGCGCTAGGCAGCTAAATTTCAGTGCCATTCCAGTCTAGTCATAGCTTTGGATGGATAGCTTCAACAGTCCCATCTTAGCCCCCCGAGACTTGGACCTGCACCGGTCCAGACTTAAGACTTTGACACGTGGCACGAGAGCGCCTGCAAAATCCATTTGATCGTTCATGACTCGTAGCCTTTTTGCGACATGACGTGTTGTTCCGGGGCTACATGGCCCGAGAAGTTTCAAGTGGCCAAACTAAAAACGAGGCGACGCCTCAACCCTCCCCTCTACAGTCTACACCGTGACGGCGTCCTTTACACATTGAAGCTTCAAGTTCTGACAAGATGGCGTCGTACAATGACAACGGAGACGACCAGCAGCGCACTGCAAACCAAAAAGACCTTGTTACGGTGCTCACTCCCTACGGGGCTTGTCAATACAAGACCGACTGATTACCCGGATCGTCACGCACCTTCTTGGTCGAGACTGTGTCCAACCACGACGAAGACGTTGAGAGGAAACCGTAGGATGCTGTAAACCATGGCTCGGGACTTGTCCTCGACCAGTTCGCTCTTCAAGCTCGCCATGGCAGGGAAGTAGGCTCCGATGCAGGCTTCAAGGAGGCAAAAGGCCCAGAAGACCAACACCTCGCCCCGGAGCACGACGGCCGTGGCCAAGGCGCAGGCGGCCAGCAACACCACAGTCAGGACGACATCAGCCGAGTCCTTTGATGCGGCCGAGGGCTGCGCAAGCCGCGCAGCCAAGGCAGATCCGGCCATCATGGCGCACATGAAATTGGAGAAAATAAGCCCGAACGGCAGCTCCCCCGACGAGCCGGCTTCGTTCCGTGCACTCTGCAGTGAGGCAGACCAGAAAAAAATAAAGAGATACATTGTACCCTCAAATACGCAGGAGATGAGGCCGACGGACAGCATGCGCCCATCCCAAGCAACGGCCCCGAGGCCGGATCGGATGCCGTCCGTCGCGTCGGAGCCCAGCCTGGAGGCTCCGAAATTGTCGCGCTGCACACCCATCGATTAGCAGCAGCGATGGTGAAGCGTGCTCGGGCGAAAAGCCTACCCAGGTCAGACATATCAGCGTGCCACAAGCACAGCAACAGGCCATGGCGATGATAAACGGCCAGATCCGTGTGCCGGACGCCGCAACAACCGCGTCCCCCAGCACACCGCACGCCATGGCGACGAGGCAGCTGATGGTGGTCATTGCACTGAAGATGGAGCCGGGCTGCAGGGCGGAGGCTTGTAGACCTCTCTCGTGATAGTCCGACATCATCCACGCCTCGAAGACGCTGCAGAGAAGCGTGGTGCCGACGCCGCCGGTGAATCGTCCCGCGAACAAGATGGGCAGGTTGTCGCTCATCATGGTCAGGCATGTTATCATGTAAAGAATGCAGTATAACACACAGGCCTTTTTGCGTCCGAACCCATCTGCGGCGCCACCCACCAAGGGTGCGCTGATGGCACCGGATATGAAACCGACAGAATACAAGGTCGCAACCATGCGCTCCGAGAGATGCTTGTCGTACTTGTACAGGGCGTATAGATGCGGACCCTAGACACACGTCAGCACAGCAGAGGGCCGCATCTGACGGACTGCCACCGACCTGCAGCCAGTCCGCGGCCACGGCCAAGGTATATGGCAGCAGGAAGTTGAGTTGAAACTCGCGAACTTGGGTCCCGGGCCGCGTCCCCTCGCAGCCTTCAACGGCCCGCTCACTGCACGGTGGCGTGGCATCGGGTTTCTGTCTTGCTCGTCGGTGCTGGGACCAAGCTAGGTACGTGTTTGCAGCGGCAAACACAGCCAGGTTGGCCTGATAAAATCCCATGCTACCCGGCCAAGTTTTTCGGTGGTGCTTCAATCATCCGGCTCGAGGCAGCTATGTTGTCTAGAGGGGATCAGCACAAGAGACTATCGTCGAGAGAGTTGATCTGTTTTCACCCTGCGGTTGACGTGGAAATGTTCCACCTGTTGGTAGGCAATTTCTTCTTTTTCCTCGCCGAGGTCAACGTAGTGGTTGGTATTGCAAACTTGTGGGTGTAGACATGGATGACTTCATAAAAAAAAATCGATACGTCTCCAAGGTACTTGGTATGGCAAACTTTTGGGGGCAGACATGGATGACTTCATATAAAACATTCAACGCGTCCCTAGGTCCTTGGTCGAGGACCGAAGCGCGACACCGCTGACTAGAGTCAAGGGCAAGCCCTTGACGGGGCGAGCCCGTCACACAAGTGCTCTTTCATCAATCTGCTACATGTAGCTACGTGTGAGTCACCAGGTATTGCTGCAAGTGCGCTGGTCTTCCCAGGTGGAAAAGTTCAAGCCTCGGCTTGTTGATCTCCCTGCCCGTCTCGGACGCTATTGTATTAGCACAACGCGGGCTTCACAAGTCCCCTTTCCGGCTGGTGCTTCTGACGTCACCTTGCGCTGCTTAAACAAAATCCAGTCCATTCTGCGTTGGGGCGGAGGCGAGGCATGCTTTGGTCTAATTGTCCTGCTCGCGAGTTATGCCAGAAATCGACAAGATGTCAACGTGATGCCACGTTAAGCTCCGGGGCCGCATGGCGCCAACAGGGGCATCAAGGATTGAAAGCCAAGAATAGAAAACTTTATTCGTCTAGTAACTACTCCTCCATACAAGAGGGTCATTTCCTCGTCATGACCTGCATTGTTGGCGCGCTTGCACAAAGACTCCGCGCTTAGATTGCCGACGACTTTGGACTTATTTTGTCTAGTTTTGCTCTGTCGCGACTCGCTGTGGTGTTTTTTATTTCCTGCTCTCTTTTTTTCTTTTAAATAAAAAATCTCCGAAAAAATCTTCATTCCCTTCTGACCGTCTTTCCACCGCTGTCAACATGGGCATCGGCAGATCCTACCAACACATTCTCATGATTGCAGCAGTATGGGCTGTACTGTTTTTCATAGCGTATTTAGGCCTTGTCCTCAACCAAGACGATGTGAACTTCATAAAAATGCCCTTTACACGCAGCACAGTTCGACCCCGGTCCGCAGTTCGACCCCGGTACGTCTTTGTCGATCTCGGAGCCAACCGCGCCGACTCGCTCGATATTTTTCTGCAGAGGAGGGAAGCCAAGTTCCAGTACGAATTCCCTCGACCCGAGTGGGCTCGCCACGACGAGGCTGGTACGTGTTGTCTATACTATACTGCAGATATTCTGGAAGCACGGCGGATTGACGTGGGAGGACAGATATCTACCTTTTCGAGGGCAACCCAGGATTCAACGAGGCACTTGTCGAGGCCAAGCAGCGATGTCTGCTGGAAGGAATCAACGTCAACATCTTCCCCTCTACTATTGTGGACGTCAGGGACGGAACGCGCACCTTCTTCTTGGATACGGTCAACCACGACCATGACTACTGGGGGTCATCCACGTACGCTCATCACCAGGATGCCTTGAAATCTGGATCCAACGGAACCGAGTTGACTGCCGTTGATATCTCGAGGTGGCTGTTGATGAACACGCTGCCCCACGACTTCGTTGTGGTCAAGATGGATATCGAGGGCAGCGAATACGACGTCATTCCGCACATGGCGGACATGGGCGCGTCGAGTGTCATCGACTACCTCTTTGTTGAGTGGCATTACACGCTGCCCGAGCAGGACGCAATCCAGAGGGCGCAGGTAGCGGCCGACACGTTGGTTGCCAACGGAGTAAACATGCCTCATTACGATTCTCCCTCTTGAGCTGTTTGCCATTTGACACGGCGCGTTTGCTGCGGAAGAGCGCCGTTATAGAGTGCCCGAGTCGGAGCCCTAACCCTGCCCGGCACGTTGCTTTTGTGTCCAATGAACCCGCCATGGCAAAGTGTTTTTCTTGACTCACACAACGACAGCTGCGAAAGCAATGAACTCCATAGTCTTGATGGGTTGGATAGCGGCTGTGTATCCTTCATGGTAGCATATTGAGAATTTAATACCCCCACGTCGTCGTTCCTAACCCTCGTGAGGCTGTGGGAAGATGCATGCCGGTCCAAAGGGGAAAGGAAGATTGAGTAACTATCCGTGGACGGATTGCTGTGTGAGACCGTGGCGCCACGGCGAGCAGCCACCGTTCGGTACGGAATCGAAAATACGAGGAAACGGCCCACATGATGGTTACTAGCTGCGCCTGCGCGAGTCGAGACTGTGTGATGCCTCAAAGGGGTTTACGCTCTGCTGTTGTGGCTAGGGGGGACGTTGGCTGAGCGGTTCTCGCGTGTTTACTTGGCCGGGCCGGTATTATTCTGTTCTTTTACTCGGTCTGTAGTCAAGGCTTGAATAGCTATCTTGTGTTTTTTGTGTTTTTCCCGTCGCAAAATGTCGGCCATATTGGCGAGGCACCGACTACAATTCCTGATGCGCTACAAGGCCATATCGTCTAAATGGCGAAGAGCCATCATGTTTATAGTCGCCGTCTGCGCCTCCATGTCATTCTTGATGCTCACACTGAAACAAATCAGCCGGACATGCTACGGTAGCTCTTGTGGTTTCCTGGGTCTGGGAGAAGTGCTGAGCGTGTTCAAACACGACCCAGCAAGATGCGGCCTGGGAAGCAACATCACCAGCAGCGCTGCAGCGGGATCCAGATTGCCTCTCTACAGAGACGAAGCGTGCCGAGGCTTTCCGGATGCCTCGAATGTCTTGCTACTCGTCAAAACCGGCGCCTCTGAGGCCTATTCCAAGCTTCCGGTCCATCTCCTGACAATGCTCAAGTGTCTCGCCGGAAATTTTCTCCTATTCAGCGACATGGCGGAAGACATTGCCGGCTACACGGTTCACGACAGTCTGGAAACTGTGCTGTCGACGGTCAAGGATACCAATGGGGACTTTGACATCTATCATCGGCAAAACGGCTGCCCCATTGCACACGAGCAATGCAACGACGGCTACGACGTGGGCTACGAGGGGTGGAATCTGGACAAGTACAAGAACGTCCACATCGCAGAGAGGGCGTACGCGATGCGGCCAAACTATGACTGGTACTTTTTCATCGACACCGACACGTACGTCAGCTTTCCGACCTTGATGGAGTGGTTGCCCGTCGTCGACCCCAACAAGCTGCATTACATTGGCCACAAGAAGTACTCGGGGACCTTTCCGTTCGCGCACGGCGGCAGCGGATATCTCATGTCCAAAGCAACCATGAGGCACCTGTTCCTCGGCAAGACGGGCGTGGGAAACAAGTATGACGAGCCCACCGAGCGCAGCTGCTGCGGCGACATTATGTGGAGCGAGATTGTGCTCAACGAGACCGGCCTCACTCCCGAGAACATGGTGTGTAAAGGCCCTCCCCCATATAGATGTCTCGACGAAGCAAGGAGGGACGCTGACTCACAGTGGCAACCCGTTAGTGGCCCGTCATCAACGAGTTCAAACCACGTACGTTTAGCTACTACGACGGCCAATGGTGCCAGCCTCTCATTACATTGCATCATGTCAACGGGGAGGAAATCAACGACCTGTACGCTTTTGAGAGGAAGCAACAGTTTGCGAAAAGCATCACGATCAAGGACGTGTACGACCGGTTCGTGGCCAACCATCTGCGTGAATCACGTTCAGACTGGGACAATGGGAGCGAAGACGTCTACTACCTGGATCGCGAGGCTAAATCATACGGAGAGTCGGAGCTGGACAAGGCCAAGACGGGCGACTTGTCTGCACAAGAGCGCGAGGCGCACAAGAGCTCTGCAGGCTGCAAGGAAGCCTGTTACTCCCAAGAGGACTGCTTTCAGTGGAGACATCGGGATGGCATCTGCGGCTTGGCATATGGCAAGATACGGCTCGGAGATGCTGTCAAGGGGGACGGCGATGAAGTGACACGATCGTCTAGTGGATGGCACATGGAGAGGATCAACAAGTGGGTTGATGAGCAAGGCAGTTGCCATGAAACGTACGAATGGCCGGTGATGGATGAGCCACGGAATGGGTATTCGAGGGCATGACAATGAGTGACTCGACTGGGCCGGCAAACAATCAAGTTCCATCCTTTTTCTTTCCTTTCGTCTTGATTCCTTCCAAGCTGAGCAGATAGTATGTGACAGCCCTGCCACGGGACAGAAGCAGAACGAAGCTCCGTGATGATCAGACTGGACTGGCTTCGAGAGCTGCTCTGCGAGGCGGCGTCGTGGCACCCAAATTGCTGATATTGCCGCCCCAAAGTTAGTTTTGACGAGGGCTGGCGTGACTCGGTCGCAAGCTAGCATTGTGCCAACAGTTGAGGATCAATCCACACGCCTGGACAAAGGGGCGGGAATATGCGGGAAGCGAAGCCATGCCGCAGGATGGAAGAAGCCCCGTCGTCCACCTCCAGCGAGCAGTAGATGGATGGCTTGATTCACTGGGCCCAAAGGCGTTTTGCTGGATGAAACACTTCCCCTTGGGGCCCAGCTACGTAAATGCATGCGATTCGGCTTGTGGGATGCATGCTCTAGATTTATAAAACATGAGGCCCGCGTCATGCCATGGAAACCTCACAATAGCTTCCGCTTCATTCCCGTGCAAAATTCTGTAGGAGCGGTTGTAACAGCCACCGCCACCAACAAATAAAGGCCATCCTTCAGCGAAGCGGAGGATGAATAAAACGCCAGCCGGCCCCTGATTGATTTCACAGCCCCCTATTCTCCTCCCCAGGCCTCGAGTCACCATGATTACACGCACCTGGTCCATCACACACACAGCACAGCCAAACACACACTATACCTACCTTGCATCGAGTAGAGAGTCCAAGTTGTAATTCCATTCAGTCCCTGCTCCTATACAATGTGGAGCTAACTGGCTCGCAGTACGCCGAGGAGCCTCGTGTGATAAATAACTCGCCGGCATCGCCCAATACTCCAACTCCGACCCACGCCCGCCCAAGATTAGGACTCGCAATCGACACATGCAGATACCGCGGCCAAAGGCTCGCAATGAAGATCCCGAGATGGGCCAAAGTCGGCCTCTGCGTAGCGGGCGCGCTCACCATGTACAGTGTAGACACCTTTCGCCACAGGAGATACGGCAAGGTTCAGCATGTTGAAGCGCGTCCCTTGCGCACATACGGCGACGGGACTTGTGCCGACGGCATCTCAGTCTCGAGGGCGCTCATCGAAAAGGCAACGACGATGCGACAGCAGTGTCAAGACTCGCCCTCGCCGCTGCGGGCATACGGCACCTGGGGCTCACGGGTTGCGACGGTCACGACTCACTTCTCCAGCCGTCAGGATCCCCAGCGTTTCTACCAAAAGGCCCTCGAGACCCATCTCCTCCACAACCTCGTCCACGGCTCGCAGCTCCACGTCCTGTGTACGCCCATCGTCGACCACATGTGGAACAAGCAGGCGTTTGTGCAGTCCGTGCTGCTGAGCGAGCTGGCGAAACCGCCGCAGGAACGCCTCGAATGGATTTTCTGGGCGGACCGGGACACGGTCGTGCTCGACTACTGCCGCCATCCGACCAGCTACATCCCGGCAAAGGCACACCGCCGTGGCTACGGCCAAGGCGCGGACGAGCGAGACATAAACCTGCTGATAACGCAGGACTCCAGGGGGCTCAACGCGGGCGTCTTCATGATTCGCGTGGCAGAATGGAGCGTCAACTTCCTCAGCGACGTTCTTGCGTTTCGCCACTTCAGGCCCGAGGTCGAGCTGCCGTTTGCAGAGCAAACGGCGATGGAGCGGCTTCTCCAGGAGGACCCGTACAAGAGGAACGTCGTGTACATTCCCCAGCATTGGCTCAACTCGTATGCCCTGGACAGTGCTGCGGACTTTGCGGGCCGAAAGGACGCCGAAGGCTTGGAGGACTGGGTTGCGAGGCGCGGCGACTTTCTCATTCACTTTGCGGGAAACGACGACAAAAAGCTCAACATAATAGAGTATGCGGACGTGGGCGAAAGGATATTTAATATCTGGGAAACGCGCGACATCTTGCGGGACATCACGATGGATATAGAGCCGTTCTGGGGAAACCACAGCAACGAGAAAGTCTGAGAGGCCCCAAAGAAGCCATGGATCGAGTGAATGGTGGAAATCAGGCATTGGTCGCAGCGTCTATATATATCAAACTATCCAGGGTGACGAAACCCTTGTGCAGAAATGGTACTAGAATTTGACGACAAGTCGAATAAGTCCACCAGCTCGAGAGAGACGAAGCAGTCAACAGCCCATACCGTCAGCGTCAGCAGCAACCCTAACCCTAATACGCCTTCCACTGCGGCCGTGCCCCTGAGCCGGCCAAAAAGCAGAACACATCCATCACGAGTCGGGATGCTCTCCACCCAACGTCCGGCTCGTGGTCGTGCCGCTACGCATTCGATAAATGCCTCGCTCCAAGCCCGTTGACGCTAGCCGGCCTTTCCTTGGTCTATTTGCGGCCCAACGCCGCCATCGAAATAGTGCGTCAACATCTCCAGTCCAGACCAGCCACCAGCAACAAACCATCCGGCGGCACTCAATGTGGATCGTAGACACTCGGCATCTCCCATCGAGAACAAGCCACGGCCCGGTAACCCTGAGATGGCGAGAGCCCATCATAGGGCTGTGAAGCCGAAACGTCGTCCACCACGGCCTGGCGTGTCGTCGCATTCGACATTGGCATCACGGCAACGGCAGCGACTCTGGGCGCCCACAGCAAAGATGACTCGGAAAAGCCGCCAGTGCTGGCTCCGGACCATGGCTCTCGGACTTGTGCTCACGATTTTATTCTACCTCGGTCGTTTGCGCAGCTCTACCGCAGCTCCTCTCGGTCCCCGGACCAGCCGCGGACGGGAGGCTGCAGGAAACAGCACGCTCGGGTTCGGCACGATTTTCTTCATCAACATGCCAACTCGGTACGACCGTCTCGATGCCGCATCGCTCCAGGCCTATCTATCCGGCATAGACATCACGGTGGCCGCAGGAGTAAGCCCGGACATGGTCAACGACGTTGGCATGCCACCCACGCACGCGCCGAGTGCGCTGTCTCATGGGCAGAAAGGCTGCTGGAGAGCACACGCCAATGTGAGAAGTCTCTTTGTCGCGTCAAGTCGGGACAGAAACAGGCGCGGCCATGTTAACCCGTCCTCAGATCTGGTCAAGGATGCTCCGGGAAAACACGAGGGCCGCTCTCATCGTAGAAGCCGACGCCAGTTGGGACGCGAATCTCCGCGAAATCATGATGAATCTCAGCGGAAACCTGACACAGTTCCTGCGACACATCGAGGCGCAGAGACTGCCAAAGCCGAAGCTGAGGAGCCGGCTGCACCACCAGCCCGCCGACGCTGACGCTGACGCTGCCTTGTACGCGGACAAGGACAAGGAGGACGACCCGTGGCACAGCGACTACTGGGACGTCCTCTCCCTCGGGCACTGCTCGGAAGAAACGCTCAACAGCAACATCACGTGGATCTACGACGACGCCCACGTGGCCCCGGGCATGGAATACTTCGGCCGGAGCCTGGGCAGGGAGAGGGTCATCCGTAAAGCCGGCCACCAGGGATGCACGACCGCGTACGCCGTCAGCCTTCACGGCGCGGCCAAGCTGCTGCTCAGATCGGCCGCGGATCTAGACCAGGCCGTGGACATGGGCATGTCGAGCCTCGTCCAGAGCGGCCATCTCACCTCGTATAGCGTGTACCCTCCCGTCCTCGCTCAATGGGTCTACGTCGACGGTATCGGCATGGACCAGCGCGGGTCGAATAGCGACATGGGAGGCACGGCAGGGTTCTCGATTGGCGCCGATTCCGATCCAAACGAGGTGGACTGGACCGATGCGAGGAGGACCGGCAGCGTATGGACGCCCAAGAAGTTCCCGTCCAATGCGGCCTTTGAAGACATGGCCCTGGAGAGCGCGTGGCGGCAGATCTTTGGAGACGCTGACCCGTTTGCGGGAATGACAGCTGCATACACATTCTGATCGCTCGACTGACGCGGGCGAAGGACGGGGTGGCTGTAAGATCATGCTCGAGGCAATCACCGTGGCAGAGGAGTCGAGAATTATATGGGTGATATAAAATCATGTGGCTTGAGAAACTACAAGTTGGCAAAGACGTCATTTTTGCTAGCGATATTTTCGAAAACGCCTCTCTACAAACTGTCTACTCAATCATAAACACCACGAGATTTTCAGCTCGCTTCAATCATAGCCGTCGTTGCGCATGCACATGGTGAGACGGAGGGAGCTGGCTGCAAGGAAACAGACTATCAAACTTAGAACGAGCCAAATACTCCCACTAGAAACCAAACCAAATTGCATGTCTCCTGTCAGCAGCAGCCGTACCCTGGCTTGTCAATCTTCTTTCCGGCCGTACCATTACCTCGCCGCCTTACTCCTACGCTTTTACCTCATCCAAATCATCAATCTCGTCATCCTCATCTGACTCTTCAGCCTCTTGAGTGCGCATCTCGTCCGAGCTACTACCCGCCGTACTCTCGGAATTCGCTTCTTTGTGCAAAAAGAAAAGGGAATTGCTACACGGGCATGACACTTTGGCTACACGGGCATGACTCTTACACGGGCATGACTTTTACCACTTCTGATTGGTCGCATACTTTCTTGGCCCCACAGATACTTCCTCGGAAAGGCGGTGTAGCCAACTTCACTAACAAGCTCCTACATCACCATGAATTGCAGTCACTTATCGTTGTGGGCGCGATTGGTCTTCTGCTATCTTGCAAGCCTGCATTTCGGATTAAACTACCGTCCTTGTACTGTTAGCCAGTAACTGTCAAATACTGGCAAAAGACGTGATGTGGTCTACTTAATTTATTGCCTCACAACGATACAATCTGGATCTTCGTCATCACTCTTAGCCAGTTCCCATTGACTCCTTGTCCTGCGAATGTTTCGTTGCGTCCTCCGTCCACTGTACCGCACGCCTGTCGTATTCCCAGCATTTAGGACTTTAGAAGGTCTACCTGGCCCTTGCTGGGCTGAGATGCCAATTTGGCCACCAGTTTGTGTGATGGTTTCTCGAGTAGCTTTATGCACTCTCCTAGCAAGAGTTGGCTTATTGAGACTTCCTGGCGGTCGACCTCGTCGCCCACTTGGTTGATTATCAGATCGGCTACTTGATGTAATAGCTAGGCTTTCTGGGATAACCTGCGCTGTATTCTTTGGCCTTCCACGTAGTGCAGTGGCAACTTTCGGGTCAAGAATTCGTCGGTATGGATCTTGAGATGCCGATTCCCGTAGTCGCCAGCGTGGGTGGACCTCCCATTTAGTGAAACGTGTGTCAGAATCTAGCTTTGCGTAGACTTTATGATAGCATGGGATTCCCAGCTCAATAGAGACCGTACAGTCGTCGTCGCAAAGTCCAATAGAGTCGGGGAAGGGATTCTTCCCCGTCGGCAGAAATTTGCGAGCAATACAGTATTGCTTGTTGATTAACCCAAGTCCTTTCGATGACATGGTTGTTCGTAGTTCACCAAGATAGTTTCCCATCGAACCTAGGTATTGTGGAGCAGTCAGGACATCATCCTGTCCACAGGCATCCTTAAAGGCACGTTCTTGGTCATGTATCATATCCTGCATTGCCTCGACGAGTCGGTAGAGGTGGCTCATGCCATTTAATAGATAGCTTTTGATATTATTGTTGCTTGCTTCTGTGCCGGACGTAACTCGGATTCCGAAGTTACGATAACGACGGATAAAGCAACGTGCCCATTGAGCACTAACAGGCATATAAGTCGAGTAGAGGTATTGTAAGATCGCTCGTTGGTCGTCGAACTCTTTACAAAGATCTCTCCATGCCTGCTCAAACGCTTCCTCAGTCTCGGCATAGAGAACCTTTTTCCACATTAAAACAACGCCTTGGTAAGTATGAGGAATCTTATCACTACTCGACCGATCTTCGATCAGATGCTTATCTGTAGTGCTCAACCCGCCATCCGCCTGTGAGGGAATGTCTTCACTGTCACTAGCGCTAGGGCTAGTAGTACTGTCCTCACGTTGGCCCGTCCACCTAGTCTTCGATTTAAGCAAAACGTTTGAAAGGATATGATGAATACAAAGCTGTTGCTGTGCATTTGGAAACTGATCATTAACGGCAGCTTTCATAGCCTTGTCGAAGTCTGTGATGATGACATCTGGTTCCCTGAGTGAGTGTTTTGTAATGAGCTTGCGAACACTCTCTGCAAGGAATTGGAACCCCTCCCTCCTCTCGTTATCTATTAAGCCAAATGCAGCATTGAACACAGTTCCAAGACAGGTTTGGCCAGTAGCCTGGAATAAAGGAAGCTTGAAGCGATTAGTGTTATATGTGTTATCAAAGCTAATAACCTCGGGGAAGCGCTTCCACATCTGTAGACAGTACGGAAAGGTCCAGACAAGACCAAGCAGTCTATCTGGATCATCATCGGCCCATTTCGCGATGTATGGGATCTTCTTCTCATCAAAGAGTTTGATCAATGCCGCAGTAGGTGTATAGCCATTTAGCTTCTCTCGGTTAATGAACGAACGGGCATTATAGATATCCTTCCGCAGGAGTGTTGTATCGGGGAATTGCTCCTCAACCATAGCAGCTACATCACTGGCTCGAATACCCGCGCGACGGCTTGCTGACTCGATGGTTGCTTTAACTGGTGTAGTAAGGCGGCGGTGGGAAACATGCGCAGATGGCGTAATACTCCGTTCATGGTTATGCTGGTGATGTTTCGGGTCTCTATGTTGTCGAAGAAGCCACTTGCCTTCCTCTAGGGCTTCAGCAATTATCATCCATTTGCAATCACACTTCCGAGACCTTCGGGTTCGAAGACCAGAACCCCCCGAGGCCCGAGATTGTCCAAACCGGTCGCATTGAATGGAGTACCTAATCAACCGTCCCTTATAGGAATATTTATTCCGCCGAATAATACCAAATCCGTTCTCCTTTGCAAATGCGTTGGTTGTTTTAAAAAGAACTTCGGCCGAGGGCGCTGGGTCGCCAGGGATTATTGGGTTCGGAATTGGCTCCGGGGCGGGAGATAGAGACTGTCGCATAGGCGAGGAACTAATATTTTCGGGCGTCGGTGATATTCGAGGAGGTTGTGTGGGTGACCTACGAGGTGGAGAGTACGGTGGAGGAGAGTCATATGCTTCGAAACTTAATGGTGACCATCCCCATCTCTCTCGCCAAGCTTGTACACGTTCGTATGATCGAGCAAGGTCTACAGTTAGCCTTCGACCTTCGCCGGTAACCTCTCGTACTATGCGCATTGCGGACTCGAACTCGGCTCTTGTCCTTGTTGGGAGATGCTGGGCGGATGGGGGTGATTCGGGAGGTTCAGAGGCGAATGGATCAAATTCTGGGCCTGGTATAAGCGCTCTGACTCGCTGGCTCCATCTTTTTCCACGGAAGAAGTCATTTTGAAGATATATCTCATAGTCAGATCGAAGGCCCCATGCAGGCTCATGGCGGCCCTGTGAACCATGGGGGTGTGGGAGACTTGAAAGTGTTTGCGGGAAAGAGGCGAACAGGTTATCGAGTGCATTTTCGTCCCCGAGGCCGTAGAACTGACCGATACTCGTAGCAGAGCTACTCGCGGATTGTGGTCGGTCTTCAACTGTGGAAGGACTAGATCTGCGTCGCCGACTGGATTTGTGTCGCTTTCCTCTTTGTGATTGATCACTGGGACTAGGGCTCCGCGACCTGCGAGGAGGTGTGCGAGGCAAAGACATTGACGTCTTGAGAAGAGAACAAGATTGTAGTGAAAGAATTGGTCGCTATCTCTACAGCATAGGGTGCCGTATTATGGTTTATTAAAAGCTACGAAAATGAAGAAAGCAAGCTCGAGGGGGTCGCCCCGACTGCGCGACCACTGGGTTGCTGCGTAGTAGCTTAGCCGAAATGAAGTAATTTACACAGAAGCAAGGTTAAAATGGCCCAGGTACTTGCGGCTGAGGTGGCAGAATCCAGCGTCGTTAACAGAGACAATGCGACCAATCAGAAGTGGTAAAAGTCATGCCCGTGTAAGAGTCATGCCCGTGTAGCCAAAGTGTCATGCCCGTGTAGCAATTCCCAAAATGAATTAGACACGCTCATCCACAACAATCAGACCACTATCTGCTTTTTTTGACTATGCCTTCAGGGTCGGACCATACTTGGTTTGAAGTGGCGGAATGCGTCATGATGTAGATCATACAATGGTTAAACGTCAAGTGACCGACATGTATTACGCATCTCGGAGCTCGGCTGCCCTTTAGTACTTATGCGTCAATATGCCAGCTGAATTTGTCCAAGGAGCTCATATTTGTTCAGCCTGCTCTGCAACAGCGTAAAAAAGCCCAGATCTCTCCGTGAGGACCAGGCGAAACAAATCAGCCGGGACTCCAAATCAGTCGCGTCGAAATGGCTTCGCCAATGCCGATGAAGCACATCGAGAGAAAAGATCTCTATACCAATCTCGAAGCGCGTATCCAATATCTGCATTCCTTTTTGACTTCTCAAGCAGTACGTCGCCCCTCGACCGCCGGGAGCGAGCTCGTTAAAGGCGAAGAGAACTCCATTCCATTGACGCTCCGCAACAGATGACATAGAAGCGCTCATTTCGGGCGCCAAGTACATTAAAGCGCTCGTCCCTGCCGTCGTCAACATTGTATATCGAAAGCTCTTACAGTACGACATTACTGCAAGAGCCTTTACTGGCAAGAATACAACGCAGGGCGGCGAAGTCGGAGAAATGCTTCACGAAGATAGTCCCCAAATCATGCATCGAAAGATGTTTTTGAGAGCACACCTTAACAAGCTGTGCTCGGACCCCAGCAAGGTGGAATTCTGGGAGTACTTGGACGAAGTTGGGTAAGTTGTCCCAAGAGGTGGCCATTGGTGTCGGCCAGTGACCTTGTGCAGAGTACGTTTTCGTGGCTAACGTTAGAATTGCCAGCATGACGCACGTTGGACTCGGGAGAAGGCACCCCTTGCACATCGAATATGTTCACCTCGGCGCATGTCTAGGCTTTATCCAGGACGTCTTGACGGAAGCAATCTTATCGCACCCGCGACTGCACATGTACCGCATGATCGCGCTGGTCAAGGCTCTGAATAAGGTCATCTGGATTCAAAACGACTTCATGGCTAGGTGGCACGTAAGAGAGGCCGATGGATTCGGCTTGTTGGAGAGTGACGTGTCCATTGAGAAGGAGGGGTATCTTCATGGGAGGCAGATTTTGGATGACAAGCTCATGGCTGATGCCAACACAAGGCTGCCAGCAACTCCCAACGTAGGTGAGTCCGGGAAAAGCCAATGTCCATTCTCGAAAAGCCTTCCCGGTCCATCGCCTTTAAGGAATAGTTTTGAGGCAGAAACCTGCGACGCTAGCTTGCGCATGCCAGAACTACCCCAAAGTTGAGTTAGATAAGAGTAGATAGTCTGTGTCGAGGAATGAGGCACAAGAGCGACTCCACAGGATCAAGACGGTATCTGTTCCTATGCAACAGTTTTCGTTATAAATACCTCTAGTCCCTCAATAATGCAGTGACCGTGGTACGAACTATTCCAGCAGCGCCAAGTCACCGCTGAAAACTCCGAACAAGCTCTCAATCTCTGCGGCCACAATTTTCAATTCATCTGCAACTTGTCCAGTAACAAGCACATAAGCATAGAGCAAAGCATAGTCGTCCTCAACAACAACGGCACTGGCCTCGTTCTCGGTGTGACACAATCTAATGCCACAGGCACTACCCGATCGAGTCCGGTCTAGGTTCGCTCTCAAAGCTGCCATGTTCTCTTCTCTGAATCGAGATATTTTGCTCAGAAGACGGTCACGGTTTGCAAGTATATTCGGTATCGCATCTGTCAATGCATACTCTAGCGTCATCGAGCTAGCCACGACCTGAAAGATATGGCAGACCCGATCGCATAGAACAGCGCGCTCTTCGGCCGTGGCTCGGAGCAAAGCCTTTTCGCCCGGCGTTAACCTCGCCCTCGGCTGGGTCACCAGGCTCATGGCAAAAAAGCTATCCAGGATCCTGTTCGCACTCTGCAAGATCCGTCCATTAGCCTGGAATGGAAATGGACCACGTAGTTCGAATTCAGACGCGGCTGACTGGCGAAGACCTTCGAGGCGGTCAGCATATCGTTGCAGGGCAGCCTGCTCACCAGATTTAAGATAGCTTTGGGAGCAGTCAGAACGCAACAGAATCGCCAGCGGGCCCCGTCTCCATATCAAGCCCATCTGAAGGAGCAGAACCGATATGCCTTCCTTGAATTTCTTTCGAGCAGATATAGGCCAAATCACTCGACACACAATCAAACCCCAAAGAATGCCGGTTGTCACTGAAATCGCTCTATGCTTCACAATTTCCATAATGAGAGGGTGCACCCCGCCCTCGTCGTCATCCGCATCGTCCACTTTCTGACTGAGGCTATATGCGTAAAGGGTCGAGACATTGTAAGCCAGGATCGTCATTCTTCCCAGGGGGGCTTGGCCGCGTGCCACGATGAGATAAAAGTTGAAAAAGCTTATGGCCCATCCCAGAATAGCTAGCACGACGGCGTTCCCTTGGCTCAGGTTCCAATTGATGATGGAAAAGGCCGCACCGAGAAAGGTGCCAACGAATCGGGACCAGCCTGTCGTGTTGGAAGCCCCGACAGTCATGGAACAAACAATCATAAACGACAGCAGGCCCCATTCCCCACGGTAATGATTATATGTAGGCCGTGTGGCGTCCAAAAAGGCAAACATTGCCCATAACGATGCTCCAATTCCTACCTTGATACCAAATAAAACTAAAATTTCTGTCAGCTTCAAAAATGTGGCAATTTCCCAGGGCAAAGACTTACTATCGTCCCGGGCCACTCCCCTCAGAATTTTCAGCAAAGTTCGTGATATTCCAGCGAGCCATTTATTCTTATCGGGAGCTGCCTGCCAACTGTACGTATCCCTCCGCTGCAGCATCGTCTTGGTTATTCCCCGGGGTGCGTACGGTTTCTTGATCGGCTGAATGAGGCTCTCCGAGGCGGACACTTGGAAGGGGGGAGCAGACATGCTGTAGCCACGATACGCTTCAGCCCTCCACCACAATAGCCACATCCAGCTTCGCTTAGAATGATGCTTGACATATCTCAAATCCTCAATCATGTCCATATATTTTTGTATTTCCTCGCCAAAAGATTGAAGGCTGAAGCTGAAATGTCCACAGGCTGCTGCCATTTCCTCCAAGGCGATGTTATTGGAGCTGCGGTAAGAATCTGAATTCTGTGCAACTAGGTCGTAGACGCATTGCAAAGCGTCAGCCCTAGATTCTGTAAATGTAGCCAATGAGGCCGTCAAAGCCGAGCGAAAGCTTTCATTAATGTGTATTTCGTGCTCGGGTGGACCGCCGAATACGGGCTCCCGGAGAACAAGCGAAAGGGTCTCGGTCAGAACTTGCATTGACGGTCGAATCATGTTTGCAAATATCTCAAAAAGATCAGAGGCGAAATGCGAGGGATCGGTCGCGATGCTGTTGAGCAAGGTTTGTTGTGTTTTCGCAGCACTCCTCAAGCCTCCAAGAGATTGCGCCAGCGTCTCGATGGCCTGCACTATTGATCGTTCCACGACGCAGACTTTCTCGCGACCAAGACAGTAGTGTTCAAATTTCGCTTCTCTCAAATTCGTGACAAGTGTGACGTGCACTTGTTTGTACACAGACGAGGCTCTGGATATGTCGCTCGGGTGGTCATGCCACGCATCACCTCGGAGAAAACTCGAGTTGACGGGGGTCAGCACATGGCCAAGTGCCATTGAAGCCTTCGTCATTGACGTCCGTAGCTGGGTTCTTGCCGACACGGGCCAGATTAACAGGTTGACGGCGGCAGTGCTTGTGATGCCCATGGCAAGCATTTTGAGAACCTGTGCTATCTTTTGATTGGAAAAGACGTTGTAGACAACGGCATTCTCCTTGGTGACGACAGAAATGATGGCTATTGAAGCCAATGTGCTGCCAACATTAACAAGAGGGTTGTTCATTCGTTGTTTCACCCAGCCCATGAAGCCAAAGCCGCCTCCTATGAAGACAACGATGACCAAAGCATGTGCAACTGTTACCAGGCCCATCCTGGCTCCCACTATGACTGAGACCACCATGGAAAGGATGGAGATGACTTCAGCGTACGCAACGGCAATGATGGCGACGAGAATGGCCTCAATCATGGAGCCAGCAGATCTTGCAGCATGGAAATACACCGTGATGGTGGCCACGACATGTTTGCCATCAGGCCTGCCCAAGAAGTCGGACAGCGGCCCAACGAAGGTAGACAAGCTGGCGAGCGTGTAGGCAAAGGTGCATTTCAACACACCGCGGCCTTGGGGCGAGTCGAGCCATTCCACGGAGCGCATTAAATGGGCTGAAACAGCATTTCCGACTTGGCTGTAGTGCTTGAGTGTACGTGTTGGCTGGGGAGAGTGCGGCAATGGGGCTGTGTTGGCCGGCGTGTCCGAAGCTTCCATGGTGGGCAATAATGAATGTTGCGCCATTTTCGAAACTGTTGGACGATATTACTGCAAGCGTTGTAGAATCATGCTGCGATACGCGAATGTCAGTCTGTGCCAGCGAAGAGGCCATACGGTCCGTCGACGTCTTTTCGGTTGCTCGTCTGTGGTTCCGGTTGATGTGCGTGAGGTGGTGAAGTCTGCGTTCACCAGGTTGCGAGAAAGCACGAGGGACGACGTCTGGAGGCGCACAGCACAGAGAGGTGCTGCAATATGTCTGACGGTCCCAGATGCAGACGAGACGACGGAACTCTGATGCATAGATGATGTTGAATGTGACTGAATGCGCACGGCCGATGTGCCATTGACCCGTGGAGCCATGTCCAGGCTGGAGCTGTTCGCGCCTGATGACAGATTCACAATGAACCAGCGACGATCAACTGATCGACTCGATGTCGCCCGTCCTTGTTCCTGGCCCCACTAACTAATCATCGGACCCCAGTCGATTGTCCTCAGGCCCCCACCAACTCCAACCCTAGGTCCATCAATACCCACTGATTATTGCCGACAAGCCGTGACGCCTCCACGACAAGGAACCCAACTCTCCCCACCGGAACAATTCTTCGAAGCCCTCGACGGAATGAGTCACTGCCGTACAACAGGCCAGCGGTGGCCTGCAATGGAGGCTGGCTACTCGGTAGTGACCAAGCAACCTTGAACAAACGGGTCCAAACATTGAGCAGTCACCACAGAGTTAGGGCCATGACAAAAATTGCGCGCATTCAATTGTAAACTAACGTTAATAACAATTTCTCAAAGTCTACCACGTCCGGTAGGGGGAGAAACCTCAATGGCTCATCGACGACTTCGGCTCGACGCTTTCTCCATCTCGACGGTGGGCAGAAATGAGATGCAACTCGTCAGCTTCGACATAGTTGACTGTAAAAGACTTCTGGTACCATATACCATTGGCATCCTCGCCGGCAACCTTGCCACCCATTCCATATTGGGAGCCGCTGCCGCCTCGCCCAGAGTTTGCCTCGTTGTGGGTGTTGTCGTCGCTTCTTCTGTCTGCGTAGTATTGCTGAGTTGTTTCCCTGAGCCGGGGGAACAATCGAACTAACAGCATTCGAAATGACGGCATGCAGACGCATATCATGCTAACGTTGATCTCGGTGTCAGACCAGATGCCAACGTCGAAGAAATCCCAGGTTGGGTTTTCGGTGCTATAGGAGAAGGTGATGAGAGACCTCAACCGCAGAATGCTGACTATCGTTACACTATCAACGTGTGCACACCGGTTAGCAAGAGAGACGGCCACGCGGCACTGGGTTCGAGGTCTTGGAAACGCACAATGCGCCGACGGAAAACATGGCAGCCACTCCGGCCTTCTTTTTCCATCCCAGCCTGACAGTTCGCAGCTGCCACAGAGGGATACCAAGCATCCACAAGTCCAACGAAATGCTGATGATGGCATTTGACCAGGTTATCGCATTGATATTCAGGCACCGGCCTTGGTGCTGGCCATCCCACATGACCCAGAAGTGGCTGATGGGCTTGCACTGGAAGATGGCCACCAGAACAAAAGCCAGGCCGAAAACAATGTCAAAAACAATAGTGCCCCAAAGTAGGCGTCGAACGTCTCTGCTTGGGAAGATTCTCATGTAGAAGAAGAGCAGTGCGAGCTTTGCGAGCGACACCTCGGCAAGGTAGACTATTTCATCAATGTAAAAGTACAGGCTAAAGTTGGTGATTTGTTCTGGCGTCAGAGTCCAAATATCTCGGCCAATACCGTTGACCGTCAAGAAATGGGCATTGATGACGGTGCTTGGGATCCCAGTCACAAGAGTGAGCAGAGTGAACCAATCGTCGAGGCCCAGCTCAAGGCGCGCATAGAGTTTGAATGCAAATCGTTGCAAAATGAACAAGGCGGCTATGATGACGAGAGTATTGCTGACAACTTGGTACGTCTCTGCCTTGTCTCTTATCGGTCGGCTACACGCTGTCTGTGTCGTGTTCAGGGTGACTACAAGTCTCGTGGGTTAACAGAGGAATCATGGCCACGTCCCGGGTTAGAAACGAAGCCACATACCCAAACCCTCTCTGATGGTGCAGTTCTTTTTGACGCAGCTTGTCATGGCGTCATTAATCATGCTGCTTTCGCAAATGCACGTCTGGTCTGTCAAGCTGCAAGGCGATTGAGACACAGCTGCGAACAGGCAGTGAACCTAGGTCAACAAGGCGCGTGAGTGTCATAATTCATGATTTAATCCGCCTGAACTGTGTGCAACTGGTTCTGGTCATTCTACACTCACTGCGCATTCTGGCATTTCACCTATGGCGGCCAGGAACCCATCCGTATCAACGCAACAAGCGAGTTGAAGAAAGGCCAGTCCGGCCAAGAACCATGCGATGGCCACCATTCTTCGTCTTAAAAGCCTGCCCCTTGACTCTTTCAAGACCAAAACCGTGATGGTTTCGAAAAGTGCAATGCGCGAAGAAGACGGGCTTGGTTCGCGGCGGCAGAGGGAGCGAAAGCAGCGTCTATAATAACCACATTGTCACACAGCGACGTCGACACTGGGAGACACGACGGTGATTATTTACGATGCAAGAAAAAGCAAGCCTGGTTAGAATGTATACGAGGGGTTTTCCCGACTCGCTCCAGGGAGAACTCGCAACAGACAGCACCAGAGTCACATCACACGGTTGACGTGAATAGTATTCATACGTGCAAAGAAGAAAGGAAGCAAGGGTCCCCGGTGAGTCGGGCCCCGAGTCTCATTCAGCTGCACAGTGACTCGAGGGTGTGGCGAGCCTAGGTAGGTCGTCGACTCGTCGTTGCGTGCGTTATGTCAAGCATCTAGGCTGCAATTTTTATCTGTCACCCGGAACTTTCTGCGAACCAAACGTCGAAGAGACAAACTAAACACCCGAACGGGAACGTCCTCCGAGCTGTGTGGACCATTGTTTTTATGGAACCAGGGGCGGCTTTTTAACAGCCGCTCTTGAAGCTAAAGCAAGGGACCGGATGGATGCAACCGTCCATGCATGTCCTCGACCCTCGTGGCTGTGCTGCAAAGGCGGGTGCAGGCTCGATGTACGTCTATGCTGAACGTACGCCTTTGTCCAGCGAACAGAGATAGCGACGTCTTTGGTGATTTATGTCGACATGTTGGCCGGCCCAATAGAGCCCCAAGACAAGGGTCGATTTACTTGTCCACGGTGTCATCGAGTTGGCCGATGCTGCATCGCCTTTTTACGCGTGGAGAACCTTGGACACGGCAAGATGACGGACCAGACCAGCCACAAGTTGGGATTAGTTAGAACTACCTAGGTAGTTCTTAGTTTGACACTTCGCCCTGGCGTCAGTGTTGACAAGTATCGCCGGCAAAACTGCTCCCTTGCCAGATTAGTATACAACCAACGGTCTGCCGCTTAGCGATTGGCTTCAAAGCTGGCTGCAACGCGTCTTAATGTCGGTGGGGGTCAGCACTTTGAATCGGATCCTCAAAGCCGGCCTTTCTTACTGCCGCTTCGATGATTGCTCGAAGGCGCTCGGCGTCACGCGTACCGGCATCTAGTGTTGAAGCATTGTGCGGAGAACAGGAGCTCGCGAGAATCATCAAACCTGCTATTCGGCATTGATGGCAAATACGAATGTGCTTCACGTCAACGCTGGACCAGGGAACAAATCCGCCCAAGGATCCGCGGGCGGCGAATCCACGCGCAGGCCGGCGTAATGCCCGTTCTTGGCAGAAGGAACATAAATGACAGAGTTACCGTTGTATTTATTAGGCCTTTGTAAGCTAACTCCGTTGCCCGCAACGCAAGGGTTCAGTGGTGGCTTTCGTCAACTTCCAAACTGACCGCCGACACCAGCACATCCGCGTCCCGACCCGAGGCACCGAGTCACGTCAAAAAGGACAATATGCGACGAAATGAGCTGAGGTATCCGCTCATCCGGTCGCCCCGCCCAGTCGGTGTTGAGTGTTGCCTCGGGCGTGTTTGGAGTCGCCATCGGCGCCACCGGATTGATTGATGGGACGACGAGAGAAATTTTCATCGTCGACACGCAGCTACCGGGGTTGTTGGTTGCTGGCATGGGCAGAGAGTGAATGCCTCGGGAAGTCTGGCTCTCACGACGGGCACGCTTCAAATCGGACGACACCAACGACTACTCCGTCGGGACTTTAGCATTGGACTGCCGGCATGTTGCACAAACAATGGCTACGGAGTAGATGTTTTCAAAATACTCGGTTCGCATGCGAGTTCCAAATGACGCTGCAACACCAAGAACAGTGGAGATGCCACCAGACCAGACTCTGTCATGGTCCATGGACATGACGGATTAGCCTCGGTAGAAGTCGATCAATATCTGTGGATTCGCCGGCAAGCCAGGGCCAAAGGTTTGGTTTGCAACGAGTCTGAACCCCGCATTCTTTGCGTAGCCCGTTGTATGCTGGGTGATACCAAAACGGATGGATCGACGTTGATATCTGCCTTTTCCCGGACTCTGACCCGGCGACCGAGCATCCACACATCGACACATCGCCATCACCGTCCTCCTCGTGCATGCCCAGAAAGAGCAGCCAACCATGGCAGGCGGACCATCTTTGGCTTCTTCGGGAGCAATTCTAATCGTTGCAATCCTAGCAGCCTTCTTTTACGCTGCAGAGCTGCCTCGAGCCAAGGTCGTCCTCGGCTTTGGACGAAGGCAAAACCGCACCGTCATCACGAACCCCAACGACTTCCATGCCATTCCCGACACCGTCCACTGCGAGGACCTTCACTACCACGAGCCCAGCAACCTCCTGTTCACTGCCTGTGAAGACACCGAGGACACTCGCTATGCCTGGTTTCCCCCTCTGGCGCACTTGGATGACCCCAACGTCGGCCTCAAAGCACAGGGCAGCATCAAGATCATTGACCACGGTGTCCGTATAAACTTGTCCTGACCCTTCAAAGCAAGCTTGTCTTGGCCATGTTGACACAAAGATATTGACGCCCTCGTCGCGCAGACAATGAAGGCCAAGAAGCTCAAGTTCACCAACTTCAACGGCCCCTTTGTTACTCACGGCATTGACGTCATTGACGACCCCGACAAGCCCGAGGGCAAGGCCGTCTACATATTCGCTGTCAACCACCTCCCGAACCCAGCGTACATGGACAACAGCGATGCGAACGAACCTAAGGCACGCTCCATCATCGAAGTCTTCTACCATGACATTGGCGACGATACCGTCGAGCACATTCGCTCCGTGTGGCACCCGCTCATTACGACGCCCAACGACATTGTCGCCATGTCGCCGACTTCCTTTTTCGTCACAAACGACCATTTCTACAGGGACGGCGTCATGCGCGACATAGAAAACGCCTTCTTCGGCGCGAAGTGGTCCAATACAGTCTACGTCGAGTTCGCCGAGCTCGCCGACGGCTCGTTCCGCGACAGCGATCGTCAAGTCAAGGCTTCGGTCGCGCTTCGTGGTTTGCACAACAACAATGGCCTTGGTCACGGTCCAACGCCGTCCGAGATTTTCGTCACCAGCGCCGCCAGCGGCAGGGTTCACATTGGCGACATCGTCTCCCAAGAGAATGGCGACGCGTCCCCGCGCATCACCATCAAGCAGTCTGTAGACTTCGATTCATTGGTGGATAACCCGAGCTGGTTCCGCGATCCCTATGCGAACTCGACCTACGATGCGAGCCGTCTTGTTGTACCTGGTCTGACACGAGCTGTTGACCTGCCCAAGAGCCAGCGTGGTCCTAGGGGAGCAGACGGCGTCATGGTATGGACGGCGACTCCCTCCCGTCGTGATAAGACTGTCGGCGTTGGCAACAAGGAGACGTGGATGAAGCAGCTTGTCTTTGAGGACGATTCGACCCGAATCCGAACCGCAAGCGCTGCTGTTTTAGTTGCCATTGATCCGGCCCAAGAGAATGGTCAGCGCAAGGCCTGGTTATTCGTGACTGGATTTCTTTCAACCAGCGTGGGAGCAGTCAAGATTGCCTTGTGAAGGACGAAGCGCGCCCTGCACCACCTATGCGGCCATGAGGGGACAGCACCCGCGTAGCCGCTCAGGTTGGGGTTTTCCAAAGCAAAACATGTATGTCGAGGGAATTTGGCGTTGGCGAATACGACTTTGACTGCTCATGAACGGAAAGAAGGAAAGAAAAGGAAAAAAGTAGGCGCGGCCGGTGGTGGGTCATTGATGTCGGGGAGCCAAGCCATCGGGGACGTGACATGATATGTCGGGGCTATTTTATAGCCATGCCCATGAGTCATGAACTCGATCGACGTCTTCCTGCTGCTGCCTGTGCTCGGTATATAAACAAGACTGTTCAGTGTCTGTCAAGCTGACGATATGTAAGCGTCTGTGCCACCGTGTAGTGTACCCCGACTGCTGCCCTGGCGTGTGCTCCGACAACACGCCTCGTGGCCGGCATAGACCGGACACAGCGTACCTCTGTCGCACGCCGCGTTGCCTGTTGCCGTCTCCGAGTTGTGTGGTGGCAATGGCATCCAACTACCATGCAATTGCGCGCCCACGTGCGTGGCTCATGGCCGCCTGCTCGCCAACGGGGACAGTTGCGTCGCTGATGAGCCAGCCAATGGGCAAACGAGGTTTGGTTTTTTCCCATTGTTGTTTGTCTGTCAACGTAGCGACGCCAAGCCCGCTGTGGGAATTTTGCTCACATGCCGAAAGCAGCATAGCGCGGCTTGAGCCCCGTGATTCTCTCGGTGCCACCTTTTCGGCCGTAGTCGGCTGTTCAGTTCATGTGGCGGGTGTCTGTGATTCAATTGGCCGAACCGGCTGACCACTGCCGAAAATTGACAGGAGCTCAAATCGTCTCCAAACGAGATCAGCCATGGACACTGGCGTGTCCTTTTTTTGTTTCTTTGTTTCTTTTTTTTTCCTTTTTTCGTCTTCTTCACCATGAGCAAATAGACTGCGAAGCGAATCCTTGGCCATGGATCTTCATGCACGACATCGAAAGAGGATGGATGCTGGGTTGTTGTATTGGGGCAAGTCCGTGCCCGCATGAAACACCATGCTTGGTGGGAATTCTACACCGTCTTGGCTGCGGCACCGGGATTTAAACTAAACTCTATTGGCTTCGACTGTTCATCTGAGCGTGTTCCATGGGCCGACGACGCGGGGCCGTGGGCACGGGGAGTGAATTCCCAACTTGTCCAACATGGCCATGGGCTGTCTTGGTCACCGCCCGCTCCCTATGCTAGGTTTCTTGTTGTATAAATGCTCCGCTCCTCGTGCTTGAGATTGTACTCTCCCAAGCCATGGCTGGCCAAGTCGCCATTCTCGCACCATCGTCCTCGTTGGTTGAACATGCCCGGGCTACGGTTCGCCGGCCTTGCGCCTGTCTTGGTCTTGTGTAGCTTGCTTGCTGGAAGTGCCAATGCCGGCAGCCTGGCGGATATCGACCATGTCGTCCTCTTCATGCAAGGTAACCGGATTGTTCATGATTCCTCGCGTGCTCGTGCGCGGTCCACTGAGTTGACTCGGGGAAACAAATTCCTTAGAAAACCGCGCATTCGATCACTATTTCGGGACCATGGCTGGTGTCCGCGGTTTTGCTGACGCCAATCTTCAGACGAACAACGGTGTCCCTGTCTGGAAGCAGCGCACTACAAAGCAGCAGACCACCAAGACGGATTTCGTGACGCCGTGGTACCTCAACTACCTCGGCGGCACCTGGCCTGAAGCTACTCAGTGCATGACGGCCGGCAGCAATGGCTGGTTCGAAAACCACGCCGCCTGGAACTTTGGCTCCAATGACCACTGGGCAATGAACAATACTCCCTGGAGCATCGGGTTCTACAAGAAGCAAGACCTCCCTACTCAGTGGGCACTGGCTGAGAACTGGATCGTCGGTGACATGTACCAGGTAAATATCTCTGCTTCGACTCGTTGCCTGCCGCGGCGGCCTTGAGGATTAATCATCAAGTAGGAGTCCGTCATCGCCTCCACAAGTCCAAATCGTGTCAGTTGGATCTCGGGCTCCATCAATGTCCCTGGCTCGCCGCAGAAGCCTGACCAGGGCGGCAACCCCTACATTGACAACAACGAGACTCCTGGATGCGAGAGAGGAGGTATCAACTGCTTTCCACTCAAGTGGAAGACTGCTGCCGAATACTACCAGGAAGCGGGCGTGTCTTGGAATGTGTTTCAGGACGCGGACAACTTTGACGACAACCCATACGCCTGGTTTGATCAGTTCCGCAGAGCCCCCCGCGGCTCTGCTCTGTACGATCACGGCATCAAGGGCTCCTCTCTGGCCTCGTTCTACGACCAGGCCGCCAACGGCACCCTGCCCGAAGTGTCGTACATCGTCGGCCCCATGCAACTGTCGGAGCATCCTCCCTACTCGCCGCACGACGGCGCCTGGCTGCAAGACGAAATCACGCGCGCCGTGCTCCACTCGCCGAAATACAACAAGACTGCTCTGATCGTCTCGTACGACGAGACGGGCGGCTGGTTCGACCATGTCGATCCATACCATTCGCCAAGGGGAACCCCCGGGGAGTGGCTGGATGATCCGCAGGGCAAGGTCGGACACACCTTTGCCGGCCCCGGCTTCAGACTCCCATTCTACATCGTCTCTCCGTGGACCCGAAACGGCGGCGTCTACACGGAGCACTCGGATCACAGCTCGCAAATCATGTTTGTGGAGAAGTGGCAGGCTGCCAAGGGCAAAAACGTCCAAACCAGCCAGATGGTTCCCTGGCGCCGCGACAACATGGCCGATCTCGTCAATGCCTTCGACTTTGCCCACCCAGACTACAGCATCCCCCGCCTGCCCGCCGCTCCCAAACCACACGTCAACTCCAAGGGGCAGTACGACGGATCGTCCTACTGCCAGTCCAGGTTCCCAAGCCCTCGGCCGCCGGTGCCGTACACGGGGGACGGCGTCATCGCCGATCTCGCCACCGTGGTCGAGCACGGCTTCAAGGCTGTCCGCGGGAGCCTCACCGAGGGCCGCTACCTGGTTCTCGAGACGGATGGGCAGTCTTTGACCGACGCCGGTGGAGAGACGAGCAAGGACGCGACAGTCACGAAAAGCACCCCCGACCACGAGGACATTGCGCACAGGTGGATCGTCCATGCCGTGCGAATCGGGGGCGATGTTTTCACCTTGCAGAGTGCGAAAACCAGGCGGTACCTCTGCAAGGGTGGGAGCCTCTGCGCCGACGTAGAGAACGCCGAGGCCTTTGCGGTGCAATTCACTGCCAGCAAGGGACATGGCTGGAAGCAGTGTGACGGGGGACGGTATCTCTCCGCAGAAGGGGGAAAATTGGATTTTACTGGCGATCCTAGGTACTGGAAGGTTTTCAGCGTCAGCTACTAGTTTCTGAGTCTCGGCAAAAAGGCGCCGCTGGGAGCCGGGGTTTATATTTTGGAATGCGGACATTTTGGCTACACAAGTATCCGGCATGCCTGTTCTTCGAACAGATTGCCGGCGTGTATGCGATTTCATCCTTGCAGCACCAATGCCGACCGTCTTGTCACGGAGCCTAAACACTAGAGCCAGACGGCGAATGTAGATTATGGGAACCATTTCAGATGAGGTCCTGGCACCGATGACTGACTACCCGATCAACCTGGATCCCGCCGATCTTTCCGGGGGGTTTGGATGCGCAGGAATGGAGCAGCGCGTTTCTCAAAACAGAGCATGGTGCCAGTTCCGTTTTGCAGGGCAGAAAGCCAAGTTGTTCATGTGAGAAGCTGCTGGGAAAACGGTCGACATGGACAGGGGCGCAGAAACGGCATCGCGTGCGACTTCCGTGCTTTACATCTACGCCCTCCGAGTGGTATAGGCTCGCGAGTTGGCTGATAACGGCGCGCCGTGAATCACCGGTGCGTTCGTTCCCCAGACATGCGGCGAGAGGACCTAGGACTTGGACGCTGTTATGATGAGCGGCCAGCTCTCGATTCTGCGGCCGACCGGGGCTGGATGTACTAATTGCGAGTTTGCGAATCTCATGGCGCAAGATAAGAGGTGTCAACTGGGTCGACGACCCGAGACGCGGGACACCAGTTGAAACAATGCCGGGGACAAGACGTAATGCGTACTCACTTGTGAAACACGTAGCGCTGTGCTCCCGGAACGGTATATTCGCACTTGTCCATGACGCCAGCCGCATTCATTGGTCTAGACTGTAGAGTGAGATTAGGGACCTTTGACCATACGATATCATGCGAACCGAGTTCCATTATTCCAAGACGTGCCATCACCAACGTGACCCAGCCGGCGCTTGTTACAAAATGCGTCCGTGATAGCTATAGCGCCCCGATTCGCGTATCCTTTCCAACATCCCGCTCTTATGTATGCATGGGATGTCGCATTCCCTGCGAAAGTCCAAATATGCTCTGAATGGCTTCCATCCAAGTCAGGTCTGGGCGTTGCGAGGCCCAGCCTCCTTCACTGCCTTGTGCCTCCGCTCTCCAGCCTCTCCAGCAGCCTTGTCCGTGGCGGCGCCGTGCGTAGAATCTTCTGAATTCGCTATTTGCTTCGTGTCAGGGCTGAAATGGGCCAGGAAAAGTTCGACATACAACAGACACCGATTAGTTGGACGTCATCTTCGCTCACGTCGCGGTCCTTGATGCGGGCGTCTTCGGCCGTGCCATCCGGCGACATGTTTCTCCTCTGTGCTGCGGCAGAAAACATACTGACGCCCAGTCCTTCTTTGCAATGAGAAATTCGTCAAAGATTACGAAGCTCAAGGTTGAGTAGCAGAACAGCCAGGTACGGGAAGCTGCCGGGAGATGCACGGTGGCCGGCGGTTTCTGACGATCTGGCCACGTCACGACTCACACGTCACTTTGGCGTTGGAACAACGCTGGTAACATGACGTGGTGGCATCGAGGCCTGCTTTGGATATAACTTTGTCGGCACTCAAGTTCTCTTGCACTGCAGTTCTTGCCCTTGTGCCTAGGCTCTCGTGGAAATCAGATCAGGGCGAGTGATAGGATGGGGTGGCGTATGATTCAAATGGAAGACGGCGATGGCAGCTACATTGGGAAACAGCACTTTATCATCCAAGTCTCGAAACATGCCATTGAGCTGGCGAAATGACCTCGGCTGTGACCGGTTGTGCTGGAGAGCAATACCATCAGGCGATTTTCAGGATAGTGATTCCTTTCGGCCGAGCTCCATCCTAAATGTTGATGGCTTGATCTACTTCTGGGTCTGGATAATCTGTCAACAGACCACGCAGACGCCGAAATCATGCGACAGGTAGCACGCTGTGAAGCGACGATGGGTTGATCTCGGCTGACAATGGTCCTGCTGGAGGATCTGGAGACGCTGCTTTGATATTACTTGAAACTATATGAGACAGGCAGCACTTGGAAAGCCGAATGTTCCAAAGATGGACGTCCTCGTCATGTTATATGCGTATTAATGGTCCGATATCGACGCCAAGGTGCCGGTCCAATATCCGTCCTCGTAAAGATGGTTCAACTACGGGATGGCGTTCAAATTGTGTAATACCTGGACGCCGGAAGCATCTCGAGGAGGCGGGACTGAAGTTGCCGGCACGATTACCATTCACCCAGACTGTCTCTTCGTGTCGTCCGCTTACGAGTTCCGCGCAGTATTTTACTTCTATATGTGGTTATTCAACTTGGCGTGTCGCGGCTTCCTGGCCGCTTGCCTGATCAAGTGCGACGCAAAAGTTCTGACGTCACACACGAATCATCAAAGCAATGCTCTACTGCCTCTGGGAGGGCGCAGAGATATTGGACTGAACCGGAGTGATCATTGCTTACTTTTGCACCCGCAACGTAGCATATGCTAATCAGCTTCGGCATCATTCGATTCTTGTCATCTCCCACCATGCCTCGGCCCTCAAAAAGACCGAGGCAGTCCACTTCCGCTGGCCGAGCATCTTCGACTGCAATACGAGAAAGGGATCCAAGTCTCTCGAATGAGGACGAGAGCTCAGACCAGAGTAAGCCGATATCGGGCAGCGTCCTCGAAGCAGACTTGGATCCCGTCCTGCTGGATGACGACGTAATGCCAGAAACCGGAAAGGCTTCAGCCGTCAGAAAGTTGACGAGCGAGCCAAACTCGCGAGCTGACGGCGGCTACAACTCCCTCAAGTCATTCCACGGCCAGTACTACTCCGGGATGGCGGTCGGCGGATCTCACACTTGGAACTACGACGGCGGCGTGTGGCAAGAAGTCAAAGCCGAACCGGACTTGTGGAAGGTCAACTACGAGACCAAGAAACGAAGAGCCAAAAAGGCTCCTGAGAGGAGCGGCGCGCCCGTAGGCACAGAGTACCATTGGCTAATTGTTGCACACCAGGTGAGTTCCAGGAGATCAAGGCCAGAAAAGAGCTAAAGTGAATCATGTCTGTGCAGCATGTCCGGAAACTCGACGCGAACACCTACGAAACGCACCTTGAGGGATCGAAATACAAGCTAGCACATAAAAGCGCAACGTCCGACTCGTGGTCCATTCCCACCGTCAAGGGACAACGAGATCGCGAGTTGGAGCTGTTGGAGGACGCCAAGCGACGCGTTCGAGGGTTGCCACCGGTATCAGGCAGTGAGAAGGTCAAGACAAAGACTGTTGAGGAAGGGCAGCAGAAGCTTGATGACATGTTCTCAAAGGCTAGCTTCAGCCGGGGCGGGAAACGGAAAAGAGGCTGATTTTGGAACCGGGACGCACCCAGACTATTGCTAGCGTGGTCAATTTGGACGAGTCCTGGTCCATGGTTCCTGGACGTTTCTGTGTCCTGAAGTCTCCGTAAAATTGATTGAAACTTAAGCCGCGACGCGAAATCATGACGTCAAGTTGGTTGCGTCACTTCAAACATTCATCAAACATCATCAAACATCATCAAACATCATCAAACATCATTAAACATCATTAAACATCATCAAAAATCATCAAACATCATCAAACCCATCGAGTCAACCACGTACTTTTGCCCGCGAGCTTGGGCTGGTCTCTTGATGTTTTATCATCACATCCAACGCCCTATTTCTGTGCTTCTGTCTCTCTTCCGTCACGCGGTTTGTCGTGCTCCCACATGTATGCCGCCATGACTATCTTGCAGCACATCCACGCCATAGTCGATTATTTTCTATCGTTTGTGAAGCTGGTGAGTTGCAATAGAATACGACTCCCGTAGTCGCATCACTTTGACCACCTGCGTAGGAGCAAAACGCGGAGATTGGATGGCCATCACTCAATCGCAAGGTAATAATTGGAAGCTTTTCATTCGTCGTACCAGACCCCCCTAACTTGAACTGCAGACCGGACAATTCGAGCGCGAGCAGCAGACACTATGGAAGAAGCTCAAACTGATAGTTCTATTCAACCCCTTGATGGAATGGATTGACCGCACACATCTGATGCGTTTGTACATGCACGAGGAGTCCCTCGCAGAAGGTCTGTATCAAAAGCATGCCCTCATTGCTGTATGAATAGCGGCTGATGGAAAAGTGCAGGGCAAAGAGAGAGAAGGAGCTCGTCCAGGAGGCGCGTCAAGGCCTTTGTTGACGCATACGGCATCAACATGCACGAGTTTGAGCCCACAGACATCAGTCTCTATCCTACTTTCGAGGACTTCTTCACCCGTGCCCACAAACCCGGGTCACGTCCGATCTGCGATGCCGACGACCCTTCCCGCGCCGTCGTGGTAGCCGACTCGAGAGTCGTCGTCTACGACTCAGTCAGCGAGGCAAAGGCTCTATGGATCAAAGGCAAGAACTTCAGCCTCAACAACTTGGTCGTGAACAATGAAGTGGGCGACAAGTTCAAGCATGCTGCCATCGCGAGCTTTAGACTTTCACCACAAGACTACCACCGATACCACTCGCCCGTTGAGGGCACGATACAAAGGTACCAGAGCCTACCGGGCGACTACTACCAGGTCGACCCTGTGGCCTTGCAAAGTCACGTGGACATATTGACGCGGAATCGACGGGATTTTGTCGTCATAGATACGAAGGAGTTTGGGGAGGTGCTGTTTGTTGCCATCGGCGCCACAGAGGTCGGAAGCGTGCAGTAGGTTTCGAGGTGCGCAGATTAGACGGCAAGACCGTGGCTGACGAGTTTAGAATTCACGAGAAATACCAGAGAGTCGGGGAGCGCGTCGAGAAAGGGGACGAACTGGGCCTCTTTCAGTTTGGAGGCTCATCCATCATTGTTGCCTTCCAGCACGGCCGTATCCGGTTTGACGACGATCTGCTGGCGCTGAGTGAGCGGAAAATCCAGGTCTCTGTGGAGGTTGGCATGAGCCTGGGATGTGCTGCGTGAGGATGTGATGTGTCGTTTCAGCTGCTTCCAGGACCAATTTGACCTGAGCATGTAAACGGGCGCCAGCACTTCTGCCGGTGTTGTTGCTGAGAAGAGGCTTCCGTCACTATTTGGAGAGAGAAACGTGGAACAGATCCACCGAGCTGATTGGGCATTTTTATCTCCTAGAACTCAGCCATCCTGTGACACCATCCCGCATCTATTGTCAACTTGGTTGTCTTCCCAAGCACCCAGCTAACATTGCTTTGGCCTTTATGGGTCCTTGCCATGTCGGACACGAGGTGGGGTTTCGTTGGCAGTTGATAAGGTTTCTGGCTCGAAGGGGCCACGAAAGTATGACACTTGCCCAAATAGCCTGTTGTGCTAGGTATAACCGACTTGGCTTGTCGTTTCTCGGAAAAGGGGTAGTCGTGAGCCGTAACACTGATATCACGGATGCTTAAAACGGCAAAATGATGTACGCCTGTATCCCAGTAGCGCAGGTGCAATGCAAGAGCTACAGATTGCAATGCGTGAAATGGGTTCCAGTCTGGATTTACAATACATCGTCATCGTGGACCTGACAAGCACCGGCGCGACGATCAGTCACTCTCTGGGCGCAGTTCTGCGGATACAGCTCCTACGACCCTCGTTGGCTCAGGCAATTGCAACAAAGGTTCAACAGGCAGATGATCTTCATTAGGTGGGGTTGCAAGGGTTTTCTTCCTGTTCCTAAAGCTGGAGTCGCAGCGTGACATGGCGGAATCCTCAAGGCGCCACGGTGCCGAGATGCAGCAAGAGATGCTTGGGTACGCGCAACCTTCAATATTGTCAAAATCTAGGCCTCAACTTCTGCGGACTAGCTCTTCGAGGGCATGAAGGAGTAGCCCCTTCATAGAAATGCTCAAGACAAGAGTAGTGTTGAACATGTTGCGGATTGATTAAGTACTTGTCAAACTATATATCGTGTGAAGTGAATTTCCTCAAGCCGACAGCGGCAAAAGAGCAACATGCCTCTGCTGATCGAACCCATAACAAACTGTGCCATCCAAGTTTCTGGACGAATACTGACTTGGGCATGGGGAAATCAGCCCGCCCTAAAATTCAGCGCTTTGAGGTTGAGCCTTTCTCCAGGGACGCCACCGAGTTCAACACAGCCAACAGGGTCAATACAGCAGCACGGATGCTCGACAGCCACTTGGCCCGGGTTTTATCAGTTGCCCATCCGGGGGCATCGTAGGACCGTGAGGCAGGGATATGAGATACGTCGTGCATGAAGTTTCAGAGAGACAAAGAAAGATATACCATAAAGCAAACCGTGTAGGACATGACCTAGGCAGTCCTATAGGTAGGCTGCTGCTGCGCAGCTCGGCTGTTGACGGTCGGGTCGAGCTTGTTCATCATGTCGGTGCGATGAGGACCGGCCGTGTTCGGGGCGGGTTTAGGCGCAAGAGGTCGAGCTCCGTCGCCGGCATAGCCAGAGTCGACCGTCGGATCCAGAGCATTTGCAGCTCGTGTTGAGTGCGGTCCATACGTGCCCTGCGGAGCGTTGTTTGGCGGTTGGCCGGAAACCCCAGGAGCCACGGAACCTTGCTGGACGGCATCTCCAGTCTTGGTGCTGTCTACCCGCGGATCAAGGACGTTGGCCAGATGGGAGATGTGTCGAGGCTCGTGAATGTTCGGTGCAGCGGCCCCTCTCTGCGCTGATGGATTCATCCCTGGGCCCAGGACCCGAGCACCTCCAGATTGGCTATCGACGGTAGGATCCAACTTGTTGATAACGTCGTGACGATGTGGCCCTGCCGTGGTTGGCGCCGGGCCTGGCTGGTTTGCGCCCTGAGCTCCCGCCATTGTTGGTGGTCCAGTCATTTTTGACGTTGGTGAGCCTCCAAGTCGCTGACCAGTCAATGAGAGACGTGCGTTTAGATGAGGGTATAGAAAAGCACTATCAAGCGCTGCGATAGGCACTGGGTAGGTTATTCCCATGGATTCGTACTGGGGTAGTAGGCTGGTACAGAAGCCCGTCCAATGGGCAGGAGTCAATAGTGCCAACCACCACGAGCAACACCGGCTTGTTTTATAACTTCTGTTTCAGTCATTTGGTGCCCTTTGTTGCCATGTGTGGTCAGCCTAGGCCGTGGTGGAAATCGTGTTGTCATAATGACACGCGACTTCTGGAGCTTACAAGTGGCCGCCATTGCTGTCTCTCGGGCATCAGCGACGTCATCGGCACTGGAAATTGCGATCAACATTCCAGAAAATGATAGAGCCGTGGTGGGCGCCATCTGTCGGGCAATTTTGGTCGTTATAAACGGCCGACTGTGTGGCGCGCCATACATCCGTTGCGTACCCATGACGTTTCCCATGCATCAAGTCGCCACGGAATCTGCCCACCTTACAGCTCAGCATGATATCATCCGGCAGTTTTGGGTTTTTCCTTTTTGTTTTTTTTTCTTGGGTTCATCTTCTGACGTCAGACCAGTGTACCCTTGGAAAGGTTGCCGTCCGTGGTATCCCGCTCAGATCGGTGGAATATAAAGAGGACCACAGTTGACGGCAAGGTGCGTTGAAACCAGACCAAAGATAAATCCTAAGCCATTCACTCGATTCATCATCTTGAATACAGCTCACAAGTCCCAACTGTCAATTAACCATGGATTCCGCAAAGGAAGCCGTTCGCAAAGTTGCCCACCCAACTACGTCTAGTGATGATAAAGGCGGCACTCAGGACAAGCCCGGTCTCGAACGAGACTTGGAACCAAAGCCGACCAAGGTCCACCTTCAGGGCGCAGAAGGGCAAGCTCTTTACACCGCGTGTGGGAAGCTCAAAGGCAAGAAAGCCGTCATCACCGGTGGAGACTCTGGAATTGGTCGATCTGTGGCGGTTCTCTTCGCCATGGAAGGGGCCAAAGTGGCAGTCGTCTATCTTCCTGCCGAGGAGGAGGATGCACAGCACACAAAGGCTCAGGTCGAAAAGAACGGAGGAGAGATTCTTCTCATCGCCAGCGACCTGAGCCACTCGGTTAACTGCAAAGACGTGGCCGAGAGGATCAAATCTACATTCGGGACGGTCGACATCCTCGTCAATAATGCTGCTACTCGGAACGAAAGAGGCAGTATTTCTGACATCTCCGAGTACGTTTGTACACAAGCCACGTGAGCCCATTTCACATGTACTAACTTGCAACAGAGAACAATGGGCTTCGACTTTTCGCGTCAATATTGATTCCTACTTCTATCTTACCAAGTTCATTTTACCTTGCATGGCCAAAGGTGGCTCTATTATCAATAGCGCCTCGGTGGACTCGTACATCGGCGTCCCTAGCAGACTCGACTATGCTACGACCAAGGGCGCTATTATTGCCTTTACGCGCTCATTGTCTAATGATCTCATCAAGAAGGGCATCCGTGTCAATGCCGTTGCCGCCGGGCCGGTTTGGACACCGTTGGTTGCTTCAGGGGTCGATAAACCTGGACAGAAAGGACACGGGCTGGGGAATTGGACGCCAATGGATCGAATTGGACAACCGGTCGAGGTTGCCACCAGCTACGTCTTTCTCGCGGGCAATGACAGCCAGTTCATGAGTGGGCAGACGCTGCATCCCAACGGAGGCATTGTAGTTAATGGCTAAATGTTTGGGAATATGTTCCGTACTCTATCCTATTGAGTCACAATATGGAATACTACATGCACTTTTGATTGACGTGTCAATGAGCAAAACGCCATGCATATTTGGCAGTCACGCCTCGACTGACACTCGACGCGGCCCTACTAGCTCATAGTTCGGGAGTACTATATAGTCTCGTATTGTAAGAAACCCGGCTTTTGCTGCCGTTTGATCATGTAATACTACTAGACCTAGGGCATATGTGAAGCACGCCCGGGTGCATCTGCTATGCCCGAGTCTGAACGCCCTTATTTTCACGGCCACGCAGTTGCAAAAGACTGGAGAAAACAAGCCGCTATACTCATCGCTTGCCTCGCGAGAAATCATAGCGACGAGATCAATTATAATGACGCGCCGCTCAGGTTCATCTAGTTCGTCTAGTGGGCCTTTTGCCGAAACTGGTGGGCTGTCGAAGGAACTGTATGCGAAATAGATGGGGATTTGGTTGTACTCACTGTTAAGGTCACAGCTTGCATCACATATCACGCGAAGCTGCCCCTCCGGCCCGGACAAAAGTTTGAGTGTGGTAAAGGTTAAACCTGTTGTACTCACAGGTAGCTCGCGACCAGACGGAAAGACGTTGCTGTAAGCCGCCAGACGTTCAGCTGAATGAGCCCCTCCCCGATCATAAGCTTTGAACAGAACGAGGAGAAGATGGAGGCATAGTTATCATACAAAAAGGCGTAGCCAGAATATAAGGTACACATGCTTTGGTCAACCTGCTTACGTCGCTCAACGGTAATCGTGAATGTCCTTGTCAGTATGTTCTTTGCGTCTTTGCGTCCGACCCCCAAAGCTCCGTGGGTTCCGTGGTGCTACACGGAAAACGCCCAACCACGATGCCTTCAATCGGTCATGAGACCTCGCAAGGGCCACAACGTCTCAACCACAGCTCACAGGGTCAATCGGGGATCGTGAGCTTCAACGTCTTAATGCCCGAGGCAGCCTAAGGCAGTAGCGGTGAGGGTGATATAGATGACTAAGTCAGGTTACACACATAGACTGCCTCTTGTATATATATAGCTCGTAGGTCGAGTCCCCTAGTCTGTTGAACCTAGGACCTTTGAGACCATTCGAAATCATCATCATTTCAATAAGAAGCTATTGCGAGCCCCTGGTTACAGGCCCTCGTGACAGGTGGGTAGTTGTGCAAGCGGCATCTTGCTATTCTACGGTTTACTGGGCCACAGTAGTTCACGTAACACATGTAGTAGCTGCGGCTACAGGTTTCATTTCTCTAGCCATCAGCAGCTAATGGCCTGCAGCGTAAGAAAGGTAAACGTTGACCAAAAAACTACTCCCTACGAGAAGCGCAAAGGGGGGCGTGTTGACGCAAAAGTGGCATACTTCGTAGAGTGCGGCATGGTGCACGGAATGATGTATGCACATATGTCGATGCAAATTGAGCAGTTGCTGTCAGGCGATTTGAGCGGGCGTGATGGCCGGTGGTGGTTCCCAAGAGCAAGGGTGAATCGAAAGTGAGACTGTCTGTTCCGAGGAGATGCCTGGTTGACACATCACATGCATTGAATGATTGGATGATGCACCATGATGCATCAAGCGGATCCGCAGTTCCCGCCGGGCGGAACCGTGCCTAGCGCCTTGGCTTCACGCCGTTTGCTCTGCGCCGTTTGCTCTGCGCCGTTTGCTCTGCGCCGTTTGCCAGGGCCCAGGGCACGCTAAGCCATTTTGGGCATAAACGTAAACAGCCTCCTAGGAGTCTACAAACGGCTTCTTCAGATACATGCATTCACAAGGCATGCGTTGGATCGCTTCAACAAATTTAAGGGTCTCTGAACAGGCGAGGCTCCCACTGCATTGCATCTGGCCAGAGCGCACCGCTACGGATAAAGACGTCGGCCTCCTCCCCAACCATCTGTGCTCACGCATGTGTGAAATTCTTCCCAACATCGTGCATTTTCTTCAACTTTGACTAACTATACCTGCCGAAAGGATCTTTTTTCTTCACCCAACGTTCTTCATCCTCCGGAAACTTTCCATGACTGCCAAGCCATCCCGAGAAGTGCTGCTGGAGGCACTATTCGACCATCTGGTCTTGCCGCCAATGCTTCCAGCAGCACCAGATGACGAGTCTGTACCGCTCAACTGGGAGCTCACGGAACGCCTACTAGGTGCTTGCAGGCAAATCAGGTGTCAAGAGTCAGAAAGCCTCTGGAATACCGTCGAAGCGGCCTTGCTTTTGACGCGAAATCTCAACCGAGACTTCGTCTCCAAGGAGGAACTAGCCATGGCACTTTCCGAGATTGCAAGAGACAAAACCGCGAGGTGGATTGTTCTTCATGTTGTGCAACAAAACGCTATCCTGATCATCCATAAGGAAAAGGGGTACGTACTTGAAGTTGCCTCATTCAGACCCTCCGCTAACGAGTTCCGCAGCGCGGAAGAGATAGTTTTTGAGGCGTTTGAAGCCTCCGCTACTGCTTCAGCAGTACTCGAAACTGATTGCGCCTTGCAGTGGATCTTTCCCGATCGATCCACGGCGATATCTCTGTGTGAATTTAGCAAACCCACATTTCAGGATGCCCTTGCAGAGTTCTTGGAGCAAGCCAGTGAAGTTGCATTCGATCAGTTTGCGGTCCGAGGCCACAAAGGGGACGTCAAGGTCGTCGAGTCACGCGACACGCCGAGCCCGGCGCTTATTACAGAAATGCTCATGTCATTTCTCGAGGCTTCAGGAAGGGCGTTTCCGGTCCACGCAGTTCAAAAAAGGGTCAGAGATGACGTCGTACTGGGATCAAAGGAAACCCCTTGGAGGAGGTCTCCCTACTGGCTCGGACTTCGAGTTGCTATCCAGCGAATTTTGCTGACTTGCAACAATAATGACCTTAACGTCAGTCAGGTCTATTTCAAGTTTCTCATGTCCATCGTATTTGCTCGTCTTTTGGCGGAAACCCACACAACGCTTCACCCTGAAAAGACCATCATGTTGCAGTCAAAACTGTGCCGTCGATTAGCCAAGTTGCAGGCTGGCATGTCGGAAGCTCCAGCTGCACTTAAACAGCTGTATCAACGAGAATTTTCAAAGTCAAGTCCATTTTTTGAATCGACTCTAGCGGACGCGAAGCGTGCTGTTACTGCTGTCTGGGATGCGCACAAAATGAAAATAACTCGCTCTATACCTGTTCTTCCAAGGCGTGCTCCCCAGAGCGATTTGGTTTTGAAACTGGCCAACAGTGGTGAGACTTTGGCAAAAATACTGGCTACAAGATTTGATGCACCCGAACAACAGACTTTTCTCGGAGCTCCTTCGCTCGTCGAAGGAACGGTGACTCAAGTCAATGAATTGGCAAATCGATCTGCTTCGCTCATAGTTCGCGCCAGGACGGCAATGTTATCATTGGACGACTCAACTGCTTCTTCTGCCGCTAAATGCATCAGAATATCCCAGGAAATAATGGAGTACAGGGAGGCAGTTGGCACACAGTACTCTGGCGATGCGATTCTAATGAGCCAGTACCTCCTCAATCTTTTTGAGCTTTGGGTAAACATGGACTCTCTGGCGACAGTTATATGTCCTCTTCTGCGGGCTTATCATCCCGTTTTTGTTCCAGAGGCTCTCGATGTACTTTGCCTCATGACTAGAAACGACATGGAACGACTTCGCTACGTGCAAGAATATCTACTTGATCGCGTGAATCGCTGCAGCGAAAAAAAAGGGACTATCTTTAGTGACCCGAATCATACAACAGCTTTCCCTGCCTTGTATCTCCGGGACAGCCAAAGAAGTTCTGATCAACACTCGCTCAAACGACTCATCCAAGACGCGTCCGCAGAGTCGAAGGACTCTAAGAGAAGGGAACTAGCCCGACTGATGTCCGAGTACGAGAAGTTGTCATCTGAGATAAACCAGGGGGTTTGCTCTTGCACTCGCATGCCTGACGGTACGCTCGATGTGCGCGGTTGCACGAGGTGCTGGAAATCGCGTTGTCGTAGGCGACTTAAGATTGGGATCTACGAGGCATTCCTTCCTGAAAAAGAATCATCTCAGGCTGCTCTTTTGCTGGAGCTCCACATGCCTGAGTACCTTGAGGCGTACCGAAATGCAACATGGGCATTGAGGATGCTTGCGAAGAACTCTGCCCCACGGAGTGATGCAGCCATGAAATTAGCAGACTTCGGTCCTCTGCAACCATTTCGAGTCACATATGACCCGGACTGGCTGGTCTTGGCATCTCGGAAAAAGTCTTTTTTACAGACTCACTACCGCGAGCTGAAGCTTCCCAAGTCCGAGGCCGAGGTATTGTTGCCCTTCGGCCCTACTTTTACATATTACGACACAAAACACGGCATATGGGCTGACGAGCATAACTACGTGCCTTGGTTTCATCACCTACTGGGCTCCTGGCTTCCTACAAGAATTTTGGACCCCTTTGCTGACGCTTCAGTCTATATGGATAAGACAGAGCGCCCAAGCTCGTATGAGATTGCGGCACACCAAGATGCATGCCCTCGAGGCATGTCCACCAACGAATTCACGGCATATCAGCGAGCCATCTCTGGCACACACAGAAGATGGATGGTACTTGTCTTCGAACTCGGGTCTACAAACCTAAGCCCAAGCAACCAAACGACGCTCCAACTTTTTACACGTCTGGCACTGCAGTCCGGGCCAGCCATGGCAGACCAAACGCTGGGGGCCCTGGGCAAAGTTCACTCAGTTTTCGAAGATGTTTCATTTTGCGAAAAATTGGAGCATCAGATTACACTGCATCTGAGTGGGTTGGATTCTGGACGAAGAGATGTGGTTTGCATGAGCATTCTCACGACATTTACCCTCCGGTTGTACTACTTATGCCCAGATGATTTCAGGCCAAATGTGGACAGCTTGCTGCGCAGAATTCGCAAGCTGATATCACTTTGGATAGTGCAGCTTCGAGAAGAAGTAAGGTGCACAGACAATGGAGAGGCGGCGAAGAAAGCGTCGTCCAGCGCGTTTTGGGCTT